ATATAGATCAGCTCTAACCTCTCAAGAGTATCAGAGTTAAGAGTTTATATATGGATTAGCTTAGCTTACCTCGCGCAAATAAAGACCCTGCCTCGGCGCCCCAATCCCCAACTCAACCGGCTCAGGCGGTTCTCCCGGCAACGTGCCGCCGAGGCTCCAACGCTCACGGATATCCGTGGCCATGGGGGCGTACACATGGGTCTGGATGCCGCTGGGCAGGTCGTGGAACGCAGCCGTGTACGTGACATCTCCGGAGACGACGCCGCCGGGCAGATACGAGATCTTGTCAGTCATGCTCCACCAAGCGCAGCGGCGCTCCTCTGCGGGGGCGTGCGGCGGCGGGTCGATGGGGTGCCGCTCGATGACCAGCGGGTTCAGGTCGATCATCTCGACGTGGTTGTGCAGGAAGTCGACGACGACCTCGCGCGTGATACCCGCTGGTAACGGCGAGATGGTCGTGAACGTGCTGCGCTTCGACATGGCCATTGCGCACCCACTTACACGCACATACGGCGGCTTGAAAAAAATAATCACAAAAGCAAAATAAAAAATGAGGCGGAACGATACCCCGAGGGTGAGGCTGGGGACGCGCCAAGAGAAGGAGGAGGATGAGGAGGAATTCCACTAGGTTAGGTTCGAAGCCTTACGCGATCAGGGAACCGGAAACCTAAGAATGACTCGTGAAGAGGGCGTGCTTGTAATAGGCTATTGCGAAAGCGGGATGAGGGTGGGATTAGATAAACGAGTAGTAGTAGTAGTAAAGAGGTAGGTTAGGTATCTAAGGTAGGTAGCCAACCGCGGTAACGAAGCTTGCAGGATCGAAACCTAGAACAAACAATTCGTACCTGTTATATCGAATGGAATGTAAGAAGGTAAGGGATCTAGGCGATTTACTATAGTATTGGAGGCTAACTAACATAAGAGAGATAAACAAGATCAAAGTTAGTTAAGGGGAAATAATAAGTAAAATAAAATAAAAAAGTCAAAAAGGTATAGTTAAGTTATTTCAATAATAACTACCCCAAAAAATGTTCTATAATAAATAAAGGTTGGTTCATCCGCACACTGCATAGAAAAATGTTTCATTAAGCAAGAAGCTGAACAAACCTCTGTTACACTGCAAAGGTTAAAATAAAGACGAAACAGGGATCATCGTCCCTTCGATTGATTGGTCCCGCTTGTCAGGCGATCAGCAGGGTGCCGTGCAGCGTTGGCGTTTCTGGTTGCCTCTCCTTGCATTATGAGGCTATGGCTTAACCTAGGTATTTGACTTGGGGCTTGACCACTTCGTCCCAATCGTCCCAATCGTCCCAAAAATAGAACGGGCTTACGGGTAGATATGCGCTATGTATTCCATCACCAAATATCCTGGTTGGTTCGTTCGTACGCTATCGATCCTAGAATGCCTACGAGATAGATAATACAAGAAAACAGTATTCTTTGTCATACATAATTGGAATACATACCAATATTGCCAAAGACTAATACAATAGTTGGTGTAAATGTATTTATATCTTGTCACCTATGTAGTTCGCGGCTATCTTCGCCCCCGAAAGGCTGAGCGATGACCGGTCTAACGGTTTTATGACCATTCATTATTTAGATTCCGACGCTATAAGCCATCTATAATAGCTTAGATCTGACTGCACCACCGGGAAAGAAATCCCGGCAGCTCGCATGCCGTGGGAATTTCTTCTAGTACAACATCGAGCTTCCACATCTTGCCCTCTAGACCGCCATGCGCAGCGTTACTACGACCTCCTATACCGGCCGGTATTAGTATGCCAAGTGACACTAACCGTTCCCAGGCTACCGCGGCAACACTTCGACCCCAAGTCCTTGCGCCTGCTCCCAAGGCTAACATACCAGACGAAGCTGACTGCACTCGTTGCTTTCCCATCTGGGAACTATATTCGTCATATGCCATGGCAAAATTTACAGTGTCAGTATGAGCGACGATGTCGAGACGGGCTGCTGAGATGAGTAGCGCCAGCTCTAGATCTGACAGTGTTGCTAAAAGGTGAAGTTTTGATTCCGAAGGTTCGAACGAAATGCTGATTGATGAGGATGAAGGTATTGATAGATCCAGCGAGGAAGTCGAAACTACTGAGAGAGGTAGAATGCATGATGTAAGAAATGCCGGTACAGATTTCGTCGTATAGTAGTGATATTCTAGATGGTCCTCGAAACCCGGATCCTTGCGTAGAACCTAGAATGCGTTAGTAAGATGTACATGTATGATAAACGTATACTAACGATATCTTACCTCGATCTTCTTCTCCCAGTAATCTCGGAATTCATATAGTCCTTCCAAACTAGTGTCGAACCCTTCTTGACCAAGATCCTCCTCGTCAACAGACAGTCCTTGCTTACAGACGTCCCAATAGGCTGGTAATGTTTTTGGAAGAGACATGTAGACATATCGGTGGCTAAACCGACTTTTTACTCTCTTCTCCAAGCTCTCTACCACATCTATTCTTGTAGTTAACCCTAACACTGCAATTGGGGCTTTCCTTGCCTGAGCGATATCGAACAGGTTGTATAGTAGTGTTTGGCGTGCGTGTGTCGCAAATAAGTCAAACTCGTCAATAATAAAGACGACAGACTTGGATGTTACGCCGTCCTCGGCTCCCGTGATTTCTGCGGGATGAGATAGGAGAGCTAACAGCGAAGCCATTGTATCGGCGTAATTGTTTGTCTAGGTTAGGTTAGCTCCTGTACTATTCGATATATATGAAGCCTTTATACCTTATTTATCAGATCATCTTCGAGATTCATCTCCTTGCCGAGTTGCCGCCAGATCTCCTTAAGAGCTAGCTTATCATCGGTGTGGATGAAACCGTTGAGGCGAACTACATGGAATTCCTCCTGATGTTCAGCCCTGAGATTCGAGATGACTTCTTCCATCAACTAGTAACATAATTAGCAACCTCTAGTACTCGAGGTAAAATTGTATAAACCATACCGTAGTCTTTCCAGACCCTCTTGCACCAATAACCATCATCGAATTACCTTCGCCGGCTAATACCGTCTGTTCTACTAGTTGGAACGCCTTATCGTAAGCTTCGGTTTGACCACAAAGCTTAATGCGACGGTTTCCAGAACATCGATCTAACAACACACGCTGCATATGTCGTAGGTGCTGCTCAAAATTGGGAATGCTAGGAACTTTGGACACGCTGGTCACACGTATCTGCTTCTTTGGGGCCGCTTTTGCGCCCGGAAGAACATCGTCTTGCGAACAATTTCTACAAATCCAGTCGCCTTCCGGGATGACAGGTACGTCGTAGCACTTCTGGTGCACCGCCATATCACAATTCTCACAGAATATAATTTCATTCGGCGGCTCGGAATCCGGCTTCGAGCATATAGCACATACTTCATCGTCCTCGCTATCTTGCATGTCACTCGTTTCCTCATCTTCAGGAGATGGCTTATTAATAGTGACGGCTTCTATAGCCTTTCCTCGGGCCTTCGGCTTCGTGGGTTTCGGGGGGTTGGACTGGATATCCTCAAAGAAAACCTCATTCTCCTTCCCACTATCTCCGTCATTAAACGCGACATTCTTGCGTGGTCGACCAAGCTTTTTCTTTTGCGGCGACAGTATCCCCTTAATGGGTGGTGGTTTGGCAGGTGACGTATTTGCATTACGCCTTGGGAGCTGAGCTTTGATTGATTTTGCACTAGAGACGAGCGGATCGGGCGCAACCTGAGCCTTCGAGGGCCTCCCCCTTTTTTTCGGTGTATCTACCTGTTCAGTCTCATTCTGAACTGGAACTGCTGACTGCTTCTTCCGGGACTCCAGCAAGCGTGCACTTACACTCTTCTTTGAGGAAGCGATTGGTGTCCCCACGGCCTTCTTCTTTATCGGCGGTGTAGATTGGATCTCATCATGACTCTCATCTGCTGTCCCTCGAACACCTCCTGCCTCTTCATCCGAATCGGGCACCTCATATATGTTGCTAGGAGGGCGTTGGCTAATATTTGGTGGCCTGAGGCCGAGCTTCTTATGCTTGATGGGAAGATTCTGTATCTTTTTAGTGGCTTCGCCATCGGTTTGAGATTCGGGCACTCCGTTGGAAGTATCGGTGGTCGGTTTCGTCTGTTTAGCGCGGGTATTATCCTTCACGCCCCCTTTTCGATTTAGTCCGAGAGCACCGCCAATGGCAGAAGTAATGGCAGAGAAGCCTTTCGGGGTGGAGGGCGAAGCATTCGCAAGACTATCGAGGCGGCGTCTCTTGACAGAAGCAGTTACGCTTGGTGTAACGGCGGGTGACGAGTCCAGCTCATCTTCATCTTCAAGACGACTTCGCTTCCGTCGACCAGAGGTAGGAGTATGAGCAGTTGCCATGGTGCAATTGGGAGTGCATATATGACGACAGCGTAAATTAAATATTAGCTACAAGGAACTTTGGCCATATTAAAGTATTCCACTTCCGCGGGTTGTATTATTACGGTTATATTATTATAAATGTTGGTTATGTTCTAGATAAAAATGGCCCCCCTTAAGACCCAATAAAACGCGACACGCTTGTTTCAATTTACGCGCTCTACTAATCTACGTACATATGTGCGCGATATGACTTAAACCACCAACCCCGCTAAAACATTAAAACACTAAAACAGAAAAGACATTAAAACATAAAAACGGTACGCGGGGAACTAAAAAGCCGCCAAAGCGCCAAATCAGTAAAGCACTTCGGACCTTTAAACAGTTAAACACTTAAAACATACAAACAGTAAAACAGTAAAACAGTAAAACACGACCCTAAGCCAATCATATTTTTCAACTCAAATATTCTTAATTTATTATCGATCAAAGAGAACCTTTTTAAAATCTTAGACTCATATCATCTCATTCATTCCAAGGATAGGATGCAATGTACATACAATATAAATGACTACTTACAATCCTTTAAGGAGTGGGGTGTGCTATCAACCATGACCGACATATTATTACAATATGAAAAACAAAATAGATCCTTCTCATGAGACCTTTCCTATATTTCAAATTGATTTACGGACTCTTCATATAATCCAACGTTAACCCCCTTATTCGGCTTTCCAACAATCTCCGTCTCGATCTGTTGCGCATACCAGTCTCCGTGGTATTCGATGCGCTCGTACTTCTGAAGGATTCGTACCACTAGAGTCGATTAATTAGCAACCCCCCCTTTCCTCTCACGCTAAGTGAGTATAGCTTGTCTAGAAGGTACTTACTGCAGTACGCCATTTCAGTCATGGCAAAATTCTCTGTAATAAAGGAAGTCAGTGTAAATGTCTGATGTTAATTATGTCTCGGAGAATAAGAGCTCCTTAGTCAACTCAACCAAGGGATTATAACCCCTGAGAAGCTAAAAGGGGGAGAACTCGATGTTACATACGTCCTACGCAAATACGCGGACCACCGTTGAAAGGCAAGTATTGCCACGGTTTCGGTGTCCAGTTCTCCCATCTCTCAGGCGAGAATATAGCGGGGTCTTCGAATTTCTCTGACGTTGGGGGGTATAGATCCTTTCGGCGATGCATCGCGAGGGAGCTGTAAACCACGACATCACCTTTCACAACCGCAATAGGCGGGTTGCCCGGGCCGGTCGGGAGTGTCGTGTCCGCCAATGCTGTGCGTATGTTGAAAGGCACGGCGGGATATAATCGCAAGGTCTCGTTTAGAGTGTGTTTCAAATACGACATATTCTTCAGGTCCTCATATGTGGGGGTTCGTGTTCGGCCGACGGAGTTGAGGACCTCGTTACGAAGTTTATTGTACTTCTCGGGATAGTGAGATAGTTCGTAGAACGCCCATGATAGTGTTGCGGCTGTCGTGTCGCGACCGGCTAGGAGCACGGCGATGATCTGGTCACGGATTACCCGACGGTTACGAGTGTATCGTGCAATACTGTGCAAGAAAGTAAAGTGCTTGTCAGAGTTTGACAGCTTCTCTAACTCTTCTTGCGGCAGCGCTAAAGCTTGCTCGATGTACGGCATGATAAATTGCTCTATCTTCTTGATTCCGTCGTCGTAGGCACGGCGGGAAATTAAGGATCTGAATGGTCTATATCGACGTGTTAGTAGAATAGCAAACGATGACCGAGGTTTCAAGATTTATATTGGTTATTACCCAACGGTCGTAAGCATCATCTGGATCCTTTGCACATCGTTGAATGCGTTTACAAACTCGCCCTTGGGACTTGGCTAAGTTAGTAACAATGGCCTTAATGAAATATTTGGCAGGAAGGGCTTGTATACTTGCGTAGACTGTCAACACTCGCTCCGAGTAGGAAGTCTGTAGTCACATCGAGCGTCATTCGGTAAAGGAGGTCCATAATATTCACTGTCTGTCCTGAGGAAGGAAGTATGGTAAGGAGTATGGAAACCCATCTCTCGAATGTTGCTAAGTCGCTAACTCTGTCTTTGATGAACATCGGCCTGATCAGGCCACGGCTATCGTGCCAAAGCTGGCCGTCAGTTGTAAAGATGGAATCACCAAGGAAAGGCCGCCATAGATCGTGGAACTTTTCCCCTTTTCCGAAGTCAGAGAATTGGGTCGTGAGTACTACCTTAACATGCTCCGGGTCCCTGGTGAGTATATTTCTCTCTCTCGGCAAGAATCGAATCTCAACGCAATTCGGGCATTCGGGAGGTGCCGAGTCGAAAAAGCTATTGAAATGCTTCAAGAGCTGGTGGTTCCTCTGCGCTTTAGCCGCAGCGTAGAACCACACCATCGCTTTGTATATGAGTCAGGAAAGTTACTTTCAAATTTAAACGTACGCCATCTTCCTCGTGCGGCTCTCCGAGGCTGGGCTTACCCGTGATGGGATCATTTGCAAGAGTATGCGCACGCGTGCCGCCTATCTTTCTAATCCTAATCTCGTGTCTTGTCCATTGGACCGCATAGTAGACTACAATGAAAACCAATGATGATATACTGGCCACCGCGATATGAGTAAACGACACATCTGCCAACATTATGACTTAATTGTATCATGAGTATCTAATAATACTCACAATATACATAAATAAAAACGGGTTTGTATTTTGTAGATATCTCATCTGGGGTCTATCTTCTATAAAACTTCGAGATGAGAAAAGAAAGGAAGTCACTTAAGAAGCTTCTACATATAATGGGAACCTCGGCATGTCAGATTTCTCCGTCTATGTTCGGAGCCAAAGTCTAAGCTCAATTGGCTCTCTTAGGGGATCCCTGGTCAACAATTACGAATGAAATACGATGCCAGCCCCTCAATTGACCTCATCCTTTTATAGTACATGCCTATGTAGATATTACAATGTGACGCAACTGCTCAGCCAATTGCCAAATAAGTCCACCACTGTTGAAGCCTTACTATATTCCTCCATGTGTGAGATAACCTATTCCTTCAATGGTCATCAGAGTTCTCCATGTCCATGTTGTCCACCGCCTCTTCATGAACGGGCTGCTCGGGGATAGGTGCCGTGGAATATACAGTCCACAAGTCGCCGTATTGGAACATCACCTCCTTAACCCGCTTATCCTCACACTTAGAGCTTAGCCAGTAGGGGATCCGCGTGTAGATTTCGTGTCGGGCTACAGGAATATCTGGTAGACCCATTGCACGGGCACGTCGTCGGTTGAGGATGGATACTTTCTCGCATATATTCAACATGTCCTTGGTAAATGGCTCAAATGTAGGCCATTGGCCGGCGTAAGACCGTATGTAAGTGACGTACCGCATGTCGACTCTGAGAGGGTATAGACCTTTGCCATGGAGGGCATCGAGGGCTCTTCGGATATTGAGGATATCGATCTTCTGTAGAATGAAGAACCTCTCCTCGTTTAGGGTTCCGATTACTTCTGTCCCTCTGATGATATTGCTGAGCTCCCACATGAACGCTCCAACTGATGTCTCCATGTCTTGTGCAGTCGCCACCCATGCGTTGAAGACGCCATCTGCTAGTGCCGCATCGCGCTCATGTGCCTCGACATTGCTTAAGCACTGTTCGAGGCCACGCATTGGTCCCAAGAACATGCCCTTGAAGAAACCAAAGGGCTGTGCGTGGTTCTTGACTCTAAGACATATTGCCCTCTGTAGACAGTATCTGAGGAGTGACAAGTTGGATTGCCAAACCTCGTGGGGCAAGATCTCACAAAGGTCTCTTAAGATCTCGTCTTCATTGTCGCCGATTCGCAGTCCCCACATGAAGAGGTCTGAAGGGCTTCGCTTGTAAATGTGGACCATCATCTTCCAAAACTTTGGAAGATAGGCCGTGTCTACTCTGGCCTTGACCATTGACTCGTCGGCGTCGGTCCAAACGATCCCGAGTTCTTCGTCTCTCGAGTTGTCGTTGATGCTGAATCGGAAAACGTTGTTGAGGCCAGCGTTACTAGGCCTAGGTTAGTAAATGCTTACAACTGCTATAATAAGAAATTCATTCTACTTACTCAAGGCCATGGATCTGGCCAGCAAGTCCTGCAGCAGCAGCCATTTTTGGTGATCGGATTTGGTGTTAGGTATATATGTGTGTGATATGTGATGAAGAAGATGATTCGTCTTATCCGTGGGTGTGCCTTACTTGCTGTGGTAAGAAGGTAGTGGATAGAGGATTGGTTTTGGGAGGTAGTCTGCAGAAGTTGGATTCTGAACTTGTTGTTTGAGAAAATAGAAAAGCTTTCTGTGGGTGCTGGGGGTATGTATTTATAAAACTCCTTGCTTAGAGGAGCCTTCTCAAAACTTATCTGCACCTTCTCTCCTTAGAAAGGACGTGACGCGGGTCTCTATACCATACGTGGATTGCTAGGCAACTTGCTGCTTGTATCAAGGTGTTTGAGTGAGCTGTGGGGTATGCTAAGGGACCCTCAGTCATACGTTTGTAGATTCCCGGGTCAACCTGTTGTTGCATAGACATAGTAGTGACTAATAGTCTCCTAAAAGTATGCTATTGTGTGTGGGGAGTATTCATCCTCAGAGACTATGCGTCAATGCACAATACGTACCTAGGTACCGACACACGGTCCCTATTAATAAGGCAGAGGGCATGCGTCAATGTATGTTATATGGCAAGAGGCAACGCTTGTCATCAGGTACGTATAGAGAAGCAATGTCTGCCCAAGGTACAAGCGCAAATACGTACCACCAGACGTACCGGACGTACCAGACATACCAGACATACTGTGGAAGAAATCTTCACTTGTTAGTAATAGTTGTGGTCCTAGCAACGACTGAGGGCTGTCGTGCTCATAACAAACGACATTCGTCAGGACGTCCGGTAATTCCTAAGGAATCACTACCCTTGTTCCCATACCATTGAGGCCACCACGAGGTTTCTTATACGTTCATGTGTGGGATGTGTATTTCTTTTATCCTGTAAATAATAACATACCAACCCGCCTACTCACCAGTGCAGCCTTACGTCACTAGGATGACTAGATTATAACTGTGATCTTCTATATTAGGAGCTTAGTTGAGGAATCATGGTTCAGCAAGAATTTGACAGAAGTGCCAGGATTCTATGAGAGGTTTCTGGAAAAAGACGGATGTCTTTGGTATGTTAATCGCTGATTTCCATAGCTGATCTCCATAGCTGTTGGGATGCTGACGAGACATCTAGAACAAAGGATATCTTTAGTGTGTATAGCTCGAGCTTCTATGTCTAGGCTTAGAGCTCCTTACGAAACAACAAATCACATCCATCCATGCATTTGAGGTCTATCTAGTGACACGGAGAGATATAGTTTATAATAAATAAGCTGCGGTTTTGGATAGCGAAATAGTAAAATAGCAAAAAGGGGAGGGAAGGATTGTCAATAAAAACTACAGGGGTTAGGTTCAAAGAGGACAAGGAAGAACATATTTTCACTACAACGTATAGTTGTTGAACGGGGGTAAAGCTATACAGTGATTATTTGTTATCTATATACTCATCCATGGAGAGGAATATAGTAAACATCTTATATTATACACTATTAATTTTATAGAGGGATAGATCTTGGTCAAGTGACAAAAGCAATCTATTTCATACAGTAGAAACATTAGGAACAGCTTATTTTCACGTATCCCTCTAAGTTTGACTTGTATAATATACGTGTATGTAGGCGTTGATGGCCCTATGTATGATATGCTTGAAGACACTCAATAGTTGTCGTTGATTTCCTGCTATTTGTCATGAGTTGGAGCAAGAAGCGAGAAAACAACTTTGTTGTTCTATAAGGAACTCTAAGCCAACTATAAGATCCTACAGCTATACATACTAAAAGTATTCTTTCTGTTAAATGAGACATCTTTAATCCTGATACTATTTTCACATAAGATCATGTGATTTTGTATGTATTCAAATATATATATCTTATATATATCTTGATATCTATATTGAAGTATCAACCTATGTTTATAGTATATATGAGGTACCAGGTAGATAAATAGTATAGAAAAGATATCATGTTTACATCTTAGGTGGTTAAATCAAACAAGATGTAACTCTTACCATGGATGATCCTAACAAGCAAGTTCTTATACTGAATGTGAGTGTGAGCGCTGTTTCGTGAAAAGCCTTAAAGATTTAAAAAGGGGTTTAACACGTTATATCTCTTTAGCTTAAGAAACTCCTAACTACTATGTAATATTTTACAATATAAGTACACACGTAGGATATCCTCCACTTTCTATCTCAAGTCGCTACACTAGCCCTAGCATCCCCATCATCGGGGGCTCTACCCTGTCTCCTCTCTTCTTTAATCGCCTCCCTCTTAGAAGCCTGTTCTTGCTTTTTGCTATTCGGCATGTCAGAAACCGCTCTCTATTATTTCTGAAATGGTACATCCTAAACTCACCGGTCAAGGTCGCTGGCTAAATCTGGTTGCGATCCACTGGCACCCGGTTTGCGCTCAACCACGCTAGCTACGTCGCCCTCGCCCGGAGCGCACATTTGACCGCCATCCAGCTCTTGGCTTCGACCGACTTGCTCCTGAGTACGGCCATATTTTTCCTCTCCAGCGGGCGCACCGTGGATCCCGTACCCTAAGCTCGAAGGCGTAGCATTATCAAGACTAGAAGGTTTATCAGACGGTGAGCGCTCGTCTACGGGATTTCCGTGTGTGTGGTGTTGCGCGCTGTATTGCTCCGAAGGGTTCGAGGTAACGGGGTTTCCTTGCGTTTTGTATGCTATATCTTTAGGAGGCTGTGCAGGCCCTGAAGGGTTCATTTTGATTAATAACTGATGTTTATTGTTAATATTTATAGTATTACATATGCTTAAGGTATATCATATACGATGGTGAGATAGCAATTGATATGTTATGTATTACGAGGTGAAGAATCATATTGAATCTTTGTTCTGTGACGCAATAAAGACAGCTTCTAGTCGATGACGTCGATAGGGAGTCCAGAATAGGGAATTACCCAAATGGTTCAAACGCCAACTAAAGTAGTGCGACCGCATCAGCATAGCACCACTCATCCAATCAGAGACCCAGCATTTATAAGGATAATATAACTTAATAAAGATCCTCTATACCCTTTAAAACAGTTTCGGCCAATCATATTTAAGAGTATATACATGATAATACTAGAAAACTCATGTAACATTTGAAGGATAAAGAAACTTCGAAAAGGAGAGATTTAAGAAATAAAATAGCAGATATAAAAAAGGGGCAAAAAAGGGGGTGGGCTAGAATAGAATAGGAACAAAGGATAAAAAAATGACGCAGGACAACAGCCATGGTCTTGTGAGTGATAGTAGAAAGAGGTTTAGACTAACCTTTTTTATACTGGGTTTTTAGGGACTTTTTTTCTTTTAATTCATGGCACGTTGTTGTGCGGGTGGTATGTACCTAGGTACCTACCTATGTTGGGTAATTCGGTACAAGTACGCCAGCGAGGTACGATACACCAATGAGGGGCAAGGGCAAACACGTGTCACTTACGCAAGGTACTTATTTACATAGGATATAACGTCTCGTAGCTTCAATAAATCACTTCTATCATTAGCCACGATATTAGGTGAGCTTCGAAGGAAGGCCGGGACGATGTCCTTTGAAGACGCAACATTAATGACAAGTGCAGCACTGACACTTGATTAAATGGCAGGCATTCAAGGGGGTTCAAAGTTGCTATACCCATAACTCTCACTCACTAAATATATTTAAATATGTTTCGAAGTTCGTTGTTTATATCTATTGACGTGCGTATCTGAGAGCATTAGTATTCTAAGATTTTCTCACCTTAATCCCTATCTTGTAATATACTTACTTATGTAGCCAGCGAGGGGCAACGGCGCTATTCGCCACATCAAGAGTCACTGAAGGATGAAGATATTATATAAGTAGTATAGTAGTATAGTAGTATATTATATGACTAGGAAAGTAAGTTCTCGCTAGCTATCCAATGAGTGTATAAATAGCCAGCCCTGTGTCCATCCCTAACAATATAGTTGATGATATTTGATAGTACTAAGACCACCATGACTTTCATGGGCCAACTGCTAAACAGCCGATACTTAAAGTATACCGAACGTAACTGGTTCCAAAAGTTGCGAATATAAAGAATAGAAAATCAAGCTAATTCCCTGTAGCTAGTTTTAAAAAGAAGAGAGAGAGAATTGCTCATCAGCTACCCCTTCTACTTACCTAAAAATCGTTGCAACCCCAGTCCCGGTCCAGTATGCTCTCCCCTAAAATGTCCGTTAACCGTCCCTGTACGCTGATTATCTTTTCATCAAACCTGTTTTCTTCAAAGGAATCTTCCGCGATCTGACGGCGGGTAGGTTGCTCCTCGGTATCTTTCGAACTATTTCTAGTAGAACGGCGCAGTTCATCGATAAATCCCGCGCACTCGTCGCCCGCATCGATAACACGGGGAATACAGAAGTCCTCCGTGGGTACAAAGTCCGGCGGAGAATCTCGCCACCATCTGTTCGCATATGCGTAGTAAGAATGACGCACGGCATACTCGAAAGGCGATATGATTTCCGTTGGTAGATCCTGCGACTGTCGGCATTCTGAATCAGGCCGAGGATGAAAGGGATCCGCTCCGAGGTCGAAATGTAGGTCAGCTATGGTAGGATATTCAGCTCGCAGCGCTATCATCATAGGTGGCTCAAAGTTGTCATCGAGTGCATTGAGATCCATTCCTGCCCTGCATAGGCGGTGCGTGAGTGAAAAGTAGCCATATCTTGCGGCTAGGTGTAGCCACGGCTTGGGCCCCTTAGAAAACGACAGCACGCCACGGTCTATAAACAAATGACAGTGTTCCTCATTCGTGGAATGCAGCGCGCTTGTGAAGAGATTTTCGATTTCCTCGTCGGAAAACTGGAAATCCAGGCAGAGTGATAAATCCCGACGAGAGGAACCATTTGGAAGGCCACTAGCTATCTCGTTGGCCCAGCTATAAGCAGCTTCCTTTGCTCCCCGTGAGGATGCCCCATGATGCATCAAGATCTTTGCAGGCCCGTAGGAGCGTTTCTCTAGGCAACATTGAAGAAGCTCGTCAAGATATCCGTCCCGAAAACTTTGTCGGCCTGCTGAGCAGAGGAGCGCGCTGAGAATTGGTTGACTCTCCGTAGATTCATAAAACATAGCCCTCTCTAGAGATGTTTTAGAAGTTGCCTTAGAAGGAACATCTAGACGAGCACCTGCTGCAACTAAGATAGTTCCTTTTATAGCGATGTCTATGGTGTTTTGAAGATTCCATATGAGATCGATTGGCTTAAGCTGACGGGCCCCTGTACATTTCTCTATATCAGCCCCTCCTTTAATGAGTTCATAAACTGCTGTAGCGGTGCCCCTTCGTATAGCAATGCCGAGAGGTGTATCTAATCCATTGCATGGTGCATTTACATCGGCTCCGCACGTGATGAGTTGGTCGAATAGCATGCGTTGCTCTAATGCCGGCATCTCATTCTCTGATACGGATAGAGATCCCCGTATATACAAAGCACATACTGCCAATGGAGACATGCTCCCTGGCCCTGTGCTGCTTATGTTCACTCTTGGCCTAGCATCCAAAAATGCCATCGCATTGGTAAAATTTTGGCACGAAATCGCTGTAGTTATAGGAAGTTCCGAACCGTGTTCTTTGTCTATGTCGGCACCAAGCTCTAATATTGTCTTGATCATACTCTGATTATCACCCTGCCTTATCGCGTGATGCAAAGGTGTCTCGAGACGGCTATCAAGTTCATCGACATCGATTGCTATTGTTAGAACGAGGTGTCTTACCACGGCTGTTAAGCCACGAAAGGCGGCACAGTGTATAGCAGCTTCTTGGAACTGGTTACCAGGAGATTCTCGTTGCGCAAACCACATATTGGCACCACGTGATAACAGAATCAGAGCCGTAGACTCCTTGTACATTTTGATCGCTGCGTATAATGGTGAGTGAAAAGCCGGGACAGCCTTTTGGGTCTGGCGATGATTTCTAGACGGGACTCTCTTAGAGGTCCTAGAATCCGTTGGTACCCCATGGTCAAGTAACCAGCATACAGCAGCGTCTTGTCCCAACTTAGCAGCACAATGCAAAGGACCGCGGGAATCGGCCATGCCTAATGATAAATTATATTTGAGTGCTTTTTCTAGGATATCGATCCTATCCTTTTTAGCAGCCCAGTAAACGGCAGATTTTGGGTAACGTCTGCCATCAGGGCCGCTGGGGGCTGAGAAAACTGTATTAGTGTTCCATAGGATTGGATCAAACACGTTGTGTAGTTGCTTGTTAACACGGGTAAGAGATGCAAGCGCTCTTTGATCCACTTCGATGTCTTCGTTTTCAGTACGAATTGTAAGAAAGCTGGCTATCATATGCGATATTTCTGGGGGTAGTTTATCGAGCGCAGCCATAATTGTTGATATGTTCAAAGGAGAGTATAATTATAATGTATTTGAGTTAAGTTAGGTAGGTAGGTACTGCGTTGGAAATGGCGCTCTATAGAAATAGTTACAGCTCATTCACAGCTCAGTCACATTGCTTTTTGGAAAAGGATAACCTTGGTGGACTAACCGGCCAGACACTTTTCAGTTATATAGTAAATATGACATATCACATTTCAAATGAGAGGAATTAGTTACTTACCTAACTTACTTAGGTAGGTAGATGAAGTTTTTATTTTAAAGAACCAACTGCATACATGTGGTAGATACCAGGTAGGTTAGTAACTTATAACAGTTAAGCTGATGAAGGGTACTCATGGGTTTGATTGTAGGATAAGGTTCGTACGCGCAAAGAGCTTAATTAAATTATCGTCTTGACATTTACTCAAGCTTAAGCACTTTACCCACTACATTCTAGGCTAGGTATGTAAGGTTAAGTTAGGTAAGAGGTAACTTATAGTTATAAGCTTCAACTTTAACTAATAATGTTATCAAGCCATTGTCGGGAGAACTACGGATAAGCGACATGCTAACGCCTATATAAATAATACCTGGGCCCCACAGGTAGTAGACGGTATTTGTCTTTCACCAAATCTGCAAATCTGCACTAATCTGAATCAAATTTGATGACGCATCTCCAAACCATTTGATAAAGCTCCAGTACATAATCTGAGTAACTGAAGATGGCTCGACCAAAGCGCGAAATGCGCGCAGTTGTAGAGGAGTCAACTACGCCTCCCGATCAACTCAAAGAAGCCCAGTCGCTCGCAAGAGTGATCAAAGCTGAGGGCAATAACCTCTATACTTGTTCTCTTCCCGATCAGCGCACCATCATTGTCGAACTCGCTGCGCGTTTCCGCAATACCGTCTGGATTAGGCGTGGGGGGTTTGTCCTCGTACATCTAACTCCCCCCAAGGAGCAAAAGGGCAAAGTGGAGGGTGAGATTGTGAATGTTGTGGGCATCGAGAAGGAATGGCGCAAACAGAGCTACTGGTTAGTAAACTCGGTATTATTGTATGTATAGTGAAACTGACGCCATGTCTAGGCCTAAGGAGTTTGCACGGTTTACCTATGATGATGATGAGGATGAAGACTCGACTGTAGGCAAGATGCCGCCATCGGATTCGGAAGATGAGAACTGACTGCATATCGACTAATCCGGCTGGACTCAAGCGTTTTTGCGTTCTTGTGAAAAATCAGATATCCGCGCTGCATCTTCGTCCTTCCGGAAAGCTATCAAAGCGACAGTTATAGCTAGGACACCAACCACGACACCCGAGCTAATGGGGGTACTTGGAAAGACGTTCCATGCCCACTCTTGGAGTGCCCAAAGCCCATATTGGACGATAGGGTGGACTCCGCTTCGCCAGAGGAGGTACGGAGTGGACCATGCGAGATATGAGTAGAACTGGTAGTGTAAAGTACGCGCGAAGAGAAGCCCGATGACGTTTGCCGAAAGAATGGTCGTCATCACATAGTTGGGGGTCACCCGTGAAGCTACTAGGGGCTCCTCTCGGGGACTGAAGGGCGAGCTGAACTGCAAGAGTGGCATGATTATTGCCGATAGAGGCTTACCAGCTGGCTTCAACCACTTACCGACAATAAAAACCGCTATAACCACGGCGTGCATACCCAGAAGCACCAATGAGAACGGTCGGCTGAGAAATATCTCTTCCCCCACGAAACGCCAGTTAACAGTCCACTTGAAGAAAAATTGCCTGGTTAACTCGAAGGCCTTGCTCGCATAACCCCATGCGTTTGCCTGCAGAAACGGGGTCGCGATGACAATCTGCATCTGAGCCATAATCGCGGCACATTTCAGACTACCCGAAAACCCCCGTCCTAGGAACAGAACTATCCCAACGGCCGGAAGCACGAGAAGTAACGACATTTTGATACCCAGACCCCACGAATATACGATACTACCGGCAGTCCATGCTCGTCGTTGGAGAAGGAATATGGCGAGCCAGAGGAAAAATGCAGCGAAGCAGTCATTGAAGCAGCGCAAAACAAAGACGCTATGAAGTCGTTTCGAGAGAACTAATAAGGGGAAAACATAGGGTGGAACCTGTTCATAGCACCTAATTAGCAAATATTCATAGCAATTATAATTGCTTTGTAACCTACTTTTGCCTTCCAATAACAAGCCATAACCAGCGCCAGCGTTGCCATGTACAATACTGCGAATATCTGCTGCGCAAGAAAGATATCCTTGCCCTCATTCGTCAGGTAGTACAGCGCAGTATACGTGTAGACATGAGCTGCCGGGTAGACAAGGGGCCCCGTAGCTCCCGTAAGAGCAGTATAGTCGTGTTCGCCGGACACATACAGCTTGATGTGTTCCATATACGTCGTCCAGTCGATCTCGGTATCTGCAGAAAAAGAAGCCATAAGCGACCGGTGTTCAGCTGCGCATTAGCCCCCGAATCAACTTACAGGGGATTTTCCATATGATCAGCGCGCAAAGCACCGCGTCGACGAGGAACAGACATGGTGGGATGAATTTCGATAGGATGCTACGGCCATTGGCGACATCGAAGGCCAGGCGCACTGCCTGCGAGACCAAGCCGGGGTCTTTAGTCGCCATTGTGGTGGTTGTTGGCGTTGTTGCTTCGAGGAATTTTGACGCGATGAAGCTTCTAAGACATGCAGGTACAAGTGCAATTACGTAAAGTGGACAGGTAGTACAAAGTAGATGCTTGAATATTGGACAGGTGTTACCAGCCGGTTATTATTCGGCGGTCCGGCTTTTTACCAGGTTCCTATGCCTTAAAGTACCTTGGTTTTGCCTTTTCAACCGACATATTTCACGATAATTACATGTAGGTACTTGTTGCAATTGATGTTTATTAGATACATCCTGTACAAATAGGTGGTCTTTGGATGGGCAAATGATGCAAAATTGAATTTGTAGTGTCATAGCTTATTGACAGCGAAAAGGAGGGGGGGAGAGAAGATAGCTTCATGACCAAACTCCCTTTCTTACTATGCAATCACAACAAAATATTACATCGCCAGATCTTACCATATCACAGTCAAGAACGGCCAAGGATTTCATTTACAAGTCCCGCCGCGTCTTCTGCACAACCATACGATCCTTGATATCCCCAGCCAGCATGTCCGTAATTATGAACAACCCACGTATCGCCAATCCTCTCCTTTTCAATCCTGACACCTCCCTCCCTATAAGGCCGGAGACCAACCCCATGGCGGATAATATCCAACTCATCAACTCCCTTCCCGTCCACAAGCTCCGGCATCATCTCCACCGCCCGCCGCATGATCCTCATCGCGATATTCGGGTCCGGCTGGCTTTCCCAGTGACCTTTCTGGTAAGTCCCGCCGAGGATCGTGCCGCCGCCCGCCGCCCGCATCATTATGTAGCAGAGTTCGTCGGCGGCGTCGTCGGTCCCGGATTTCGTCAGCATGTACGGCGCCTCGTTCCTGACGACGACGATCTGGCCGCGGACCGGCACTAGGTTCTTGTCCATCACCCCGCCAAGCTTGGAAGCGCTTAGCCCCGTCGTGTTGATTACGACGTCGGCCTTCTCGCCCGTGTGGCTCAGGGACGCAGCTTCCGAAATGTGCTTCAGCTGGCCGCGCCGGAATACAACGCCATTCGCCCGGCATTTCCCCAAAAGCCACGGTAGGTACAGCATGACGTTTATGCATGCGGACCCGAACTCGCAGCCCGACGCCATGCCTTTGGGGAGTTCATCCTTGGAGAGCTCTCGAAAGTCGTCGAACAACGTCTTGTACCAGGGGTTCTCCTCGAAGAGCCCGTCGAAATTGTAACCTTTCTTCCTAATTTGCTCAATGTCCTTCTCGCGGCGGTAAACGCGAGATTCTGCGCTCGTCACTTAGGCTTGGTAGACCTCTTCGTGCTCAGGTTACTCACTCAGCAAGTGTATTCCGGCCTCGGGCACCTCGGTAGCGAGCCTCTTGATCTCCGGCCACGTGCGACGCTCCCATGAGCTGTGCTTCTCGGTTGCCATGCTACTCTAAAGTAAGTCTCGACATCGACGTAGATCGACATGATATTTCCTTACGGTAGAACGTTCGCGCCAGCCCATGGTGACGCATACTCTATGTCATAGTCGCCTGGCATATGTTTCGCTACGACAGTTATGACATTTCCTTCCTGCTTCGATAGCAGATAGGCTGTTGTGAGACCGGACACACCCGCACTGCCATCCGATCCGACGTATTAGTGGAACTGGTAAATCTACATAGACAGACAACTTATCAGAACCTCACCCGACGACCACAATATTCGGCATCTTAGCGGTAAAATACCTCGAACTGATACTATAACACGGATAATCCACTTAGTTGATTTGCGCTATAATCTGGAGTCTAATTAAAACGCCGTACCAATGTATATTAAGGGCACGGTTGATCGAGTCCGGCCTATGAGTCAGTATGTACAGGTATCGAGTGATTGAATACCGGTCTTAGGTTAGGTACCTACCTATTAACCTAAGTAGTATTCTGGGGTAATAGACTTCCGATAACGTATTCCGCGCAATGCGAGACCTAAAGCCACACCTACAACTAAGTGCTATGATGCTATTGCGTGGGTCAATTTAACTGGTTATCGTTACTCCCTTTATAAACATACGATAAGTTATGACCTCCCGGATCCGCTTTCGGCGTGTTTCGTGTGTTAACTTATCAATATATATGGAGATAGTCAAGTATCCGAGTACAGGTAGATGATGTGTTCTCATACGTCCCGTTCTGTAATTATTGCTAATAATCTTAGGTCTTCTAATCCACTAGCAGCTTACAGCTTCATCTCGATTCCCTTCTGTGGTAGATGTAGTAGATGTATTGGTCAATATTACGAAATCGTTCGACAGGGTAGTACTAACTCCGCATCGGCACTCCGCTTTTGATCAATGCCGCCATCGATCTCGTTCCGCCGTGGGGCTCCCGAGTCCGGTTTGAGCCCGGTCTATCAATGCTTATCAATACGACGGATAATGCCAAGAATCTCGATCATTTATTTATAAAAAGCCACGGAGGCAAGTTTTATCCTGTCATAAGGAGAGAAAGTATATTATACCGCGAACTTCTGGCGAAAAAGAGTATGCCGTGTTTAGAATGTGCTACTACTGTAGAATACGAGAGTATTCTAATAGGATCCGCTAGCCTTTACCATGATGTGAGAAGGGTGGTCTCTATTGTGTTTCTAGCGAAGCATTGCAAAGAAAGCATTTGGTAGTCGTAATCTGTCCTTATTCGGCATGATTAGGCGACGAGGATGCTGTGTACCATCTCTTCGAAACGTCGTCTAGTCTAGGTAGCAAACGCGATGGTCATCAAACGGCATCTTCCTGTAATGTTGTTACACGTTGTAACTCCTGTGGCTTTGGGCTTTATACGCCTATTAATGCATACTTGGGCACTTGTGTCTTCTATAGGTCATCAATGCTTCATTTTGGGATTGCCTTGCTGGGCTTGTGAGACATCGGGGAGATAAACAGAGACGGTAGCTTAGAACCCCAATAGACTCAGTCTGAAACGTCGGATTGTGAATGAATGCGATGTATTCTAACTGGAGGTGACGTTAAGCGAAAGTCATTGAACAAGCAGACACTACGTCTAAATTTCTACGCTGTTTTTTGATGGGTATGCCGTGATAATTACCGCGTCTATTCCCACAAAAGCATCCTGAAGGACCCGGTGCTAGAGTGACCCCTATATACGATGGCCGCAATTCTGAGAATATACTTTATATGAAGCTAGATTGTGTTACTTGTAACATTTATGTGAGGTAAGTAGGACAACGCTGGTCACTGATGGACTGCCGGCTAATCCGAGTTGATGCTCTCAAAGAAAAAACTGCTATGCCGAGGTAGATATCTGGAAATAAATGAGCTTTGCAAACCTAGTATCGTCGGCAGATTTGAGCATGCTATTGTCAGTAGCCATAATGCTATACCGACCTAGATCGCCTAGGTTATTGTAAATGCGTTTTGATCAGGATGAAAGACCTCAAGATGATGTATACATGGTAGGACTCCTCGTGACTACGAGCAATATTAGGCATATTGATTGGGTAAAGTGATGATTACCCCTACTAAGTTGTCTCATCCCCTTATACTTCATTTCTAGCTACATTCACTAGAGCTCTATAATAAAGGGGTTGACCTGTACAAGTAACGACGACCCCGGTATTCCATAGCTGGAAGCACATCGTAGATCGCATGACAATAGCAAGAGAGTTGCATTAATAACCCTGGAAGAACTGAAGCGAATTGCTGCAGGTCGTCGAATAGTCAAGCGGACTTTAAACGCAGAAGCGCGTCGCCTACTATGGTAGCAATTTCTTCTTATCTAAGCCCCCTTCAGGCCAGCATGTAGTTTACACCAACTAGATCTTTTACGCCATTTCGGTGTGGGTTAGGGAGGGCATTTTAAGATGATATTGCTCTTAATGCAGTGCAACATGGATATGTCATACTTTGGATAACACCGCTTGGCTGGCTCATGGCTTCATGCAACAACCCGACGACGGTTCCCATCAATCTGACACCGGAATCTGCTGGTTTCCTGGCACCGACAGATGGGACCCGAATATGAGGGTCAGTATTGGGGCTTGATCATTTGATGATCTGATGAGGCGCCTAGGAAATCAGCAACGCAGCTCGGTAAATGTGGCAGCCATAATAACTATGCAGAGTATCAGCCGACCTATAAAAGTCAGGTATGTCTCTGAGCTGGATTCGGAGTATTATCCCTCAATGTGACAGCGGGTAAAAGTGTGACGTAGTAAGGTAGTTGGAAATGGTACGATTTTGCTGCATCCAAACACTCGTCTGTCCCTTGACGGATGGCCTTTTGGAGCATCTCAACCTCAACTGGAATCTGGAAAACAAATTAGCAGCGGGTGAGTATCTTGCTTGGCAGCTTGGGTCATTCGGCGTTCCGGGATACATCCGATCTGATTATATTCATATGCACGTCATTACCTCGGCCTATAGACGCGCTTATACATAGATATTACTATAACGAAAACAATAGTGTGTCGATTCTATCTCCATACCGTAGCTTTCGATTTAATCAGGATCATGCGTAGTGACAGACTCCTCATCACGGAGTACACGCATACATAAGTTGACAGCTCAACTACGGAAGAAAGGATTCTGCATTCCGATAATATCCCCTTGCTAGTCGGTGACTAAATCTAAAGCGACTAAGGTGACTTGGGTACCTCGCAGGATTGGAAGCGGTGAAGAAAATATTGTCCATTGAGATCAAAGCCGTACCGAACAGCTGGGTCCTTCTCAAGAGAAGGATGCGGGAAGAGGAGAAGGTAAATGCGAGTCTGCGGCGTTGCTGCGCCAAACAGCCGGGACTGACGCGAGAACGAAAAATAATTATATTTGATGACACATACGTGCGGATGGTCCAGTGGCTGAATTCCCAAGTTCCAAGGACGTAGATGCATATCGTACAGGTAGTACAGTGTGGTTTCACGACCAGCCGGGATGGTGCGTTCCAGTGCATTGGGATGCCAGAGCACGAGTGGCCCCATACCAGCCAACGGGCCGAGAATCCAATTTGTTGGAACTTGGGAGAACGTAGATAGCTTTGCCACTAGAACGTATGGGGTGATGTGTCTTGGACTAGAAATCATGCAAACCGTAAATCATTGTTTGCCGACTGGAACCTCAGGCTTCCATTCTACCGTTCTACCCACAGTGATTCTGGGGCAAGTCCTCGGAGCAAGTTTTAATCGACTGGAACCATTAATATAGCCTTGGCTAAACGAAGAAGGACGAGTCCGCTAATACATAAAAGTCGGGGTTCGGAAACGGAGTGGATGGCGTATGTTGAGGATCCCTCCCGACTTTCTTCCGCAATTGTTGTAGAACGGATGACATTTATTCTTCTGAACATCTAGCTGAGTACGAATTGAACAATCTCTACGTAGGGTTACATGGTGGGCGGGGTACTGCGCAACAGAGCTGTCGACTTTATTGCCTTTCCTTCCAAATGCGGTGGTAAAGAGGGGGAATATCTATCGGCGGCGGCGCATGAGAAGGGGTTGAAAAAAGAACCCCCAGTTGCGAATGTTTAACCCCTCTCTGAAAGTTGTATAAATCATAGGAATGTGTACTTTATGAGGTGAAACGCATGAGATATCGGCTGATTGGTAATATCGAAGTTGGTAGGGAGACACGTTATCGAACAACGTGTCATTACTGACTACGGATTCCCGTCTACCCATAAGTTGCCGAAATATCTGTCTAATCAGATAATACAGCTGAATATAGTAGTTGTGCGGGGCTAGGAATATGTATGTAGGTCTCGCAGCTATCCCTGGAGATGGTTCTCTGGCGGAATGACCTCAACCGGTATTGTTAAGTACAGTCCTCAGCATGGAAGATCAACGAGGCAGTTGAATTGTCATTCTACGTGCATCGGTTTGGATGTATGCGTATACGTACCTAACCTACGATACCTAATTTTATCCTAGTAGAAAGTAGAAAATGGAGTAGAAGAGAGGAGCCCCGGGTATGGTTCCCATTTTGTCGGATTCTCGACCGACAAGCGGGTTTGCACATAGCATCATGCGCTAGCTAGGGGTTCGAAGGGGGAGGCTGGATGTTGGTAAGTCAACCCACGAGATCTCCACTAATGATATATTAAGGTAAATGGGTTGATTCGAAGACGAAGAGACCACATGTCTAACTAAAGCCTGACGTTGCTGCAGAAGTGTCTAAGTCGGGTTTGGTGGCAGACACCATCAAAGGATATGAGATAGGATATTGCGAAGTTTAATAGAGTGCTAAAGTTGCTAGGTTGCTTTTGGGGGTTGCGCGTTATGTAAGAGTCGATATTGGAATTGTAGTGGAGAGAAATAGAAAAGAAGATTGGTATCTTGCTTCCGTCCCATCTGGTTGGATCCAAAATCCACATAACCCGCACTTACCCTCCTATCATTAAGTAGCTGGTAATGATAGGTGCTAACTCCATACCATTAAGTTTCGATGTCCCTAGCTGCATATATGTACACAAGTACCTAAATATGTATGTGCTTCGTACCTCGATACTTTATGTACTTCATTAGATATTTTATATGCCTATCCACAAACGCTCCGCTATGTCTCTCCCAGCGCAACGCACCGTTGGCAGTGCAGTTGCAGCGGGCACGCATACTACATACACATACATATATACAATATCCAATGCCCAGCCGTTCGGGAATCAGGTTCCCCGTCTACCGGTGTGAAGGCATAGCGCGTGAAAGCAACATTCTCCCGGGTTTGATGCAACTGCGGGGATAAACTCAATTCGATTAAATCACTTCAATCATGTTTAAATGCACCAACGGACCATCTGCGTCTTGCCTGCTTTGGTAGGCATCGTACCTACCTAATCTTGCCTAGGTAGGTATTTCATTCAACAATCAGAGGAACGTTGTATTAAACTTTTTCCTTTCTTCTAAATTTTTTTCTTTTACCTTCTCCTCTCTTGTCCACCCTAAACCGTACATACATGACTCGCTAATAGCCCGTCATGGACATGTCAGATCGTCATTTCCGTGCCGCCGTTGGTGACTCGTGGTACTAGAATAATTATGATAGATGATTGGATTCCCAGTAAAATCCTCGCTGACATTGGCGTATCTATGTAAAAAGCAAAAGTAACTAGCGAAGCGAACGCGTCGTTACAGTGAATGAGTATATTATTTTGGGGGGTTAACACTGTCTATCCTTAAAAGGTACATAATATTAAAGTAGAGAGGTACCGGGACGGACCCGGCATGCTGGTTGAAGGTACTATGTATATGATTTCCCGCGTCTGCCTCCCTTAAAAAGGCTGGAGGCTTGAGCGGTGATTGGAGAAGCCATGCTGTTGGAGTCAGGGTTGAAGTAACAACCCGAACACCCCTATCGAGTACCTTAGGTACCTAAACCTACCTGACCCTATGGGCATACAACACTTTACAATACCTACAAGCGAGACGGGATACTAGACCTAGCAGCCGGCATAATGCAATGATCCCCCCTTCTTACTGATTACACATCTATGCGACTTAATGACCTAACACCGAGAGTAGGCAATTATACACTAACCATTTATAATTTCTATTTGTTTAGGTATTCCTATGTAAGATGTCTTTTTATATCCTTCCCTCTGATCATAACATATGTATACATAGACACATTTATCTTGTGTAGCCAAGCAGTTATACTGTTTGGTACTTACATGTAGGTGTAGGTGTATGTAATGCAACGGATATGTACATCCGCATGTACATCTTCATGTCAACTCTTTCCGATTACCCACATGGAGTAGACCGAAGTACCTGCGGCCCTGCATGTACATGTGGTACCTTTGCAAGCAGCACTAATTGTACCCGATTAGGAGGTATTGGACCACAAGAAAGTATCACTCCACTAAAAATACTACATTGCATAGAGGTCAGTGGAAACTGCCAAGAAAAGGCGATACCCACCTGTACGGAGCAATTCGTTGTACCACGCCTGCAAACCTGCAAGCCTGTCTCGCTGGGTTTATGCTGCTCCTGGTAACTGCTCCTGGTAACTGCTCTTGCAGTCCTGGTAAAACCGTCCTTGTTAGCAAGTCCCACATGCCCTCTCTATTTATTATCGATTGGACCTTTAAACCTAACCTTGTAGTGTAAATGCTTCTTCACCTGGGGTGACCTAGCGCCGGGACAGATGGCTTGTAACTAAACCAGTTATTCCCACATTTCTCCGGACTCTTCTACTTTCCTTTCCTACTTCTTTCCTCGCAACTCCTTCTCATGTTTGTCAACCCCGGGTCCTAACAATAAACCTCAATTGATCTTTGGCTTTTATAGCCACCTCTGCGTTCTTTGTATCGCATCGGCTTGTCATTGCATGTAGGATTCCTGTTAATTTCTCTTGACAGTGATCATAGGAAGACGGGCTACTTGGATCTCGGCTCTATTTCATGGCTTTACCAGCTGAGCCGCAACATTGATAATTTATATCGAGATTCCCCAACGCTTAGAACTTATCACACGTTCCGCCTCATAAATACTCGCTTCAGATCTCACAGTCGTCAACCGATCTTCATTAAGGATAGGGGCCGGCACCCTCCTGGTCTACATTTTCTATCTTTATTGCAAAGACTGTTGTACGGCTTAAATTGGACAAGATTAGACAGCTTGAAGTTTCACATATCAAACCCGGCATTTAGTCAACAAGAACAACCGAAGTAGTTGGAAGAAGATAACCATGAGTTCACCTGCAGCCGCCAACCCAGCGGGGTCCATATCGCGAGAGGGAAAGAAGAGGAAGGGCGTACGAAAGGTCTTGTATAACGTAAAGACCGTTTTCAAATGGAGTGCTCGAACTAAGAAGGGGGCTCCACCAACCGCACCTGTAGCCGCGGTCGTGAGGTAAGTTCTAATATATAATATACCTACATATGATACTATTGTAACGTCAGATATTGACTATTTCATAGCCAACCTGCTGCGCCTTCGAAACCGCAGTATGAAGGTGCCACCAAGATTCCTCGGATACAGATTCATGAGGAGCGTGCGAAGAAACTCGGCACTAGGTTTGGCTTGGAAATAAAACCAAGTGAATGGCATTCTACCGAAGGAGATGTGCTCCGAATTGAGAAGTCAGTCCGCATGCGAATTCACCGGGAGTGTCATCAATGCCATTCTGCGTTCGCTGCTGGCGATGAGTGTCCTAGTTGTAAGCACAAGCGTTGTAAATTGTGTACTCGGCACCCTGTCAAGCTGCGCACGGAGGAAGAGAAACAGGCTGTACGAGAAAAGAGGGAGGCAGCCATCCGAAGGAACAAGCAGAATGCTCCTATTATCCCTAGCTACGATTATACGGAGAAAGTTGTCTTGAAGCGTCCCCGTAAGACAGGGCAGGATCTGGTCTACAAGGGCAAGGCCCGCGTGCGTGTCAGAAGGCATTGCCACGAGTGTAATAACCTGATCACCGGCCATGCCAAGCAAGCAAGAGTTTGCGACAATTGCGGCCACAAACGCTGTGCCGACTGCCCGAGAGAGCCGTAAGTTGCCTTCTCTTCGTATCAGTTTACCATTGTCTAACATTACACAGGAATGACAAGAACAAGTATCCATATGGATATCCTAATGACGAACCTGGCACAAACTTTAAAGGAGTTCACGCCTGTCACGAATGTAGGAAGAAGTTTCCGCCAAACTCTGACGATGGAACCGAATGTCGCAATTGTTCGCACAAGAAATGCACCGATTGCCCACGAGTTAAGCCTAGGAAAGTCGACCCCGAACCAGACCCCGATATTATGGAAACACTCCGACTCCGCGTGGCGGCCCTGTCGACTGCGGATAGTTAATTGTTTCGAACATACTTCATAAGCCTAAATGAAACCGGACGAGAATCCCGACCCGACCGAATCTTACTCCCGACTTGATTTTGCTTCACAGCATGTACCCAAGGCTGGACTACCTTTCCACAACCCTTCATATTCGGACCAAGTGTATATATCGGATCTACCGACGGTAACATTATGTGCAACGAATTACGATATGAGCCGCATTATACCACCTTAAAGCACGCGTTGATATTTAAATTTATTCCAACTTCTATTCTTACGAAGATTGACTAGACACCTTGGTACTCTGGAGATAAATAACTATTACGTTTATTGTGCGCGAGTCAGATGGGCGCACAAGGCAACTGGCACTAAGTTGATAGTTTTGCTGCCGAGTTGCAATAACAATCTAATTACCTTTCATGTCGATCTCGACACACCAATATCGAGACGAGAAATATATACGTTTACAATATAGTTGATATAAAAAAAGTCGTTCTCTTTGATGCTCACTGAGCTCTACTTTTAGTCAGTCTTCGTTCGATCTGATCTAGCGGCCCTTGAGCCCAGCAATTTTGGGCATGAGAGCATAACTCTCTTCGGATTGGACAATTCAAGGCCATAATGCTGACTCGCAGGCTCTCGTTACATTGCATCTCCACTCAACCTAACAAGTTTAAGCTTACTCTGGCTCTCCACTCCAACCACTTTGAAGTCTTGCTGGATTGCTGGTCGCACCGCATGTTCCTTCGATCACTCGCATGAGAAAGTAACGAGAAATGCTTATGCATCGCTCTAATGGAGGGTATGCGGCGTTTCTTACAACTACAACCGCAGTTTTCAAGTACGCTCTAAATAAGGTGACGCAATCTTGAGGCACAACCTACTACAGCACATTAAATGTCAGACCAATATCAAAATAGTTTATTACATATCTCAGAGCATGACCTGGCAAATTGCGGTCAGCGTGATTGATTAAACAATCCACCTATGCGCCGCATTAAAAACACATTTTCATAGCTAATAGATACCCTTACATATATACAATACTTATACCACTTAATCAAACTACATAGAAAGTCGTCTCGGCTTTGGTTCGCTTACTCCGGCATCCGGCCGACGTAACTGTCTGGTATCGCCGATATGAGCCTCGGCGTTTGGGCGTAGAGGTGCATTCCGCCCCTCTGGATTCACATATGTAAAAAGCGCCGAAAAGTAGGACGTTATCAACCTAAACCAGCCGTTCGGGGCGGGTGGCTTTTCTTAGTACCCGGAGAAGTTTGGTGGAATGAAACTAAATTGATGTATGCCACCCTCCTTGCTTACGTATAAATAGGTAATCGAAAGGAACAAAAGCGACTGCAGGCTAACAAGGTAACAGGCTACCCTCGCTGTTTAAGCGCCCGATTGTTGGGCGTTACGCGCTGTACGTCGTATCGGTTGAAAGTTAGTGATTCTTGCTGCAACAAAACCCGGCTAGCTTCATCCTCGCCTATCCTAATTGCCTAATTGCTGACAGAATTACATAGTGTGTAGTTATTATGAAAAAAACATGTACGGATCCGTATGTACCTACATATTAAAAGGTACATACCGACGAATGGGGACGGCAAAGAAGACGTCGAACCCAGGAACCAAGGTAGTCCGGGGTTTTCTTTGTTGACAGGGGAGAGAGGGGGCAGAACCCCCGTTCTGGGAAAGGCTGGACTGGGCGAAGTGGAAAGTGGATAAAATAAAAGGACAAATCTAGAAATCTCCTCCGCGACTACCGATGTTTAAACTTGGCCGTACCGTGGTTTTTTAGGTCTTTGACGATGCGGATCTGCGACAAGCTTTCCGCTTCCTACCCACGAAATGAGGAGCAATTGACAGGAGCGACCGTGGGTACCCGGACCCCGCCGACCAGATTTTTATTTTTTGGCTGGCGACCCGGTAGCCTGGATGGCCTATTCTCTGTTTCGCCTAGGTTGAAATTTCGGAACTTCCGAACTAGTAAGCGTTTGCGCCTTATGATGGTTATCTGTGGTACCGAGAACCTTAAAGGAGTTAGTTCCGGGGATTTTTACGGTCCCCTTTTTACAATTGGGTTTAGCGGAACACATGTTTTAATTTGGAACATGTCGTTTTATGCAAAAGTACATAGTTGAATTATTATTCGTCATTTATGCAATGTACATCTTTACATCTTTACGTCTTTATGATATTATGCATAGGTACCGTCGAGCCAAGATCTCCAACATATCGCACTATTTTCTTTCCCACGTTGCCGATCCGGCCACGCTCAAATCACGTTGATCGCCCTTATTCCTCGAGGGCCGTCACGAGGCGGCAAACGGAAACTCCCGCACCTTTTTTTTTTTTTTTTGCCAAGTACCCATATGAAACGTCATTCCCCCAGTCGCCTGTTATTCCCGCCGTCACTTCTCATAAAAACGTGGTCCGAGGAGATGTCGAAATCGATAAGGATTTGATAGGATGTTAATCATTCGCGTGATAGAAAATGCCAAGACTATAATTTTTACTGCATCTGGTTATCGTGATATCCTGGTCCAATCCGGGGTGGTTATTTTATCATTAACTTCCCATCGCGGCAGTCGTTATTATGTAAGGAAAGGCAGAACAGACAACCACAACCACTTCAAATGTTCATGTTCGTGTTCATGTTCATGTATGTATGCCAATATGTGACATTATGAAAAGCGCATTGATTCTTCATAGGTAGTGTTAATGTTGCTACGTGCGTACGGGGCTATGTAACTTTATCCCCGTACAAACTGCTACGACACGGGCCGATTTGAATTTCAAGGACGACGAGGGATACATAAGTCCGAAAATTTCGCTGATAAAAAAATAAATATAACCTGATGTTGAAATAAGCGAAGCAAGAAGAAGGTGACGTAGCCTTGGAATATACTTGGCTATGTAATTGATGGTAGTTAATGAACATACCTTAAGTATGCATGCATGCAGTTCACGTACATTCTGGACTTTGATTAGAGTGGCTGGGAGGATATATATCTATGTAACGTATTGTACATACATAGTGAGAGACGGACCGAGCCTCGCGGACCTGTCCGCGACAAGGTCGACTTTTACATGGTGTATTTGGACCATGTTTTTTTTGGTCGTCGATACTAATACATATATGCCGGACTGCTCTCCGCTCGCTTCATACATACCCATCTTCGTTCGAACCCGCAACGTAATAGCAACTAGACGTAGGTTAGTGGGCTTGCGGGGACCACGGTCTACGTTATTACGTATCCACCCGGGGACGATCGACCGAGGCTCGACGCTAACCTACATACGTATATACATAGGTAGGTAGCAGCCTCGCAAGTCGAAATACGACCCAAGGTAGCGAGCGGGCGAGCAAGGCTGTTCGAGTTCCGTCGCGGTTATGTACGGAATACATACATACATACATACATTTCGTCCGCATGGGGACTAGGACATATACAGGCATTGCTGTATGTACATACATACTAATTCCTGGGGTGTTTGCTAAGAGGCGAAGCGGTATGGGGAAGGGTCTGGGGGTGTTGGTTCAGGCTTGTTAATACATACACTAGGTTACCTGACTATGTAGATAGACGGGCGGGCGGATAGAATATATAGACAACCATAACTATTGCACGTACGGTTCTAGGTACTCCGTGCCGTCAGGATACGGGCTCTTATTATAGTCCACCCTATTTAATGAGTAGTGTATTCTATTTACGACGGGTTCATAAGAGTTCGTCTAGGCATGTAGTGCACACGCTCTAACCAAAAACAAGATTAGCAACGTGTTTTCGACCCAGCCTGTCGGGTCGTCATATATTATTTATCGTCAGCGAGGAACTGCAAAGTGACATGTCGCCAACATGCTTATCTGTCGGCGAGTTTTCCGTAGGGATGATGCTTAACTTCGTGCAGATAAAGGTGGTATTGCTATGGTATTGGCATAGTTATTGCTTTTTATTATATAGATTACCAACAGGGTTAATCATGTAACCCATTCTATCTCGTAAGAGACGAGTCGCCGTTAGAAATGTCGTGTATGACGTTGACTATCCTTGATGTATATGGAAAATACCCTTCCAAGTCGGATTTTTACTGCGATAAGGCACAAGGTAGCGGAATAATATATCCCGTTTACTTAGATGGCTAGTAGTTTAGATTCCTGGATGGATATTCGCTCAAGTAGTGTCACCTACAAGTTAAATGGCACGAATCAAGTCCGAGTCCTAGATATACTTATGAAGACACCCACAAGTTAAACTCGAAGAATTTGCATTGATTCTAGAGTAATTAAGAGAGTTAGATCAACTCCTGCGAGGCCACAATTGCCGGTACTAAGGCGAAAAAAGGCCTAGTAGATAACTGCAATAGAAACATGGAAACTATCCCGTCGGCAGGTAACGAACTCTGCTACCAGAGGATGAATCTAAAAAGAACGAAAGCTAATAAAAAACATGACTGATGATTCCATCCCCCCTATCCTGACCGTGTCCCGCCTTTGCCTCTACCGCCCGAGACGACGGACTTCATTGCCAGCGCCGGTATTATGCTGGATATGCAAAGCCACCAATCAGCCAATCCATCGTAACCCTAAACGACGGTCATGCAATTAAAACAGTCTCATCTATCGCAGTACTGTATGATTAATGAGGATGGTAGGAGTTTCCGGGCCGCTCCACGACGTCAGGTCCAAAAGACAGGACTGTGCCCGGCGGGAAGATACCGGCAAATGCATCTGAACGCGACTCCTTTCGACCGACGTTAAAGCTCTTAGAGTCGCCGCGGTTGTTCAGAGACTTGTGATGAGCGGGCATGAAGTGCCCTTGCTGTACCGTTGCGGCCCAGTTTGTGTCGAGCAACGGACCTAGCTTCTCGGACTCGTGGAATCGTCCTCGGACGTGCGCTTCGGACTTCTTGATGGGATTTTGGATCAGGACCCACTCAAAATGTGTGTTCGATGTGTGCTTCACTCTGTCTCGAAACATTTTCTCGCGGACCATGGCCGGGGTGACATATTTCAGTGTATCGCCGTGGGCAGGCGAATCGGTTTCCTGCAGGAGCCAGAGGTCGCCGTGGAAGAAGAGCTCTTCTTTATCTGTTCCCTCCAGGATGATTTTCCTAACTACCATAGCGAAAGGAAGTTCGGGGTTATCCCACTCCGGATGCTCAGCCTGCTCGAGTCGTACTCGGATGGCCTCGAATGTACAGATCTTTTCGCAGCCGAAGAATACACCACCGAAACTCTGTTGGTTAGGTTGGAGCGTAGCGTCCATGAGGGGGTTGAACAGAGAATACGAGTGGTCGACACGACTTGCGCCTACCTTGGAGGCTTCAACGCTTAGTCCTCCGTCTATCTTGCTGACCTGGGCTTCCAGTGCATCCCACGGGATCGCTTCTATAGGATGATTGACGAACTTGTCGAGGATTGGATGAGGAGCGGGCACACTGAATGCCAGGAATGGTCTCATATCAGCCTCAGGCTGTATAACATCTCCAAGGGCTCTTAGTGAGTGCGACAAAGGCTTTATTTTATGCATAGCAGGAGTTGAGGTAGCTGGATTGCTAGGCAGGTTTTGTATGACAAGCCCCAAGCGGAAGGAAGGGTGTAGGATGTACCACACGACTTCTCCCTCCCTAAATAGCGGAGGCTCGTCATGTTGAATCACCACTGGGGCAGAACTTGTCGCTGCTTGTGTTGTCAATGCGGCAGAAGCGACTCTCTGGGCCGACGTTCCCGACGAGCCCGAGGCCACCGAGGTCCCCGAGGGGCCACTGGGCGCCGGACTGGACGCGGTAGACGTTGTAGCGGATTGTGCTGGAGAATTACCACCGAGTGGTCCCGTCAGTTTCGCGGCAGGGCCAGATTTAGCCGGAACCTGAGCCTTTGCAGTCGGTGTCTTTGTTTGAGAACCGTTGTGTGACTTGCAATGTTTGCAATAGCAATTGGTTCGGTCTTCGCCATCAGTTACCAACCACAACAAGTGGTCAAAGAATTCAGTTGGGGATCTGTAGGTCTTGAGTGTGGCCTTGCTACGGCTTTTGGTCCCGAGATCTGGATATCCATATAGGTAGCAATCCGAAGCGCCTTTGCTTACGGCTGTATCTGAAGAGGCCGCGTCGGAAGTACTTTTGGCTAAAATTATTTCCATAAGTACCTATCTAACCTAGATAGAATAAAATATAGGGCTGGTTTGACATACCGTCTCGGAATTTCTGTCGAAGAGTGTAGTTCTCGGGGAACGACTCCAAGACGAATTTGTAGGCTGACGAAGGTTAGTATGCTCTATTATCTTATCTCATGCGATTGACGAACTTGACTTAGGGTAGAATTGTGCGCCTAACATCTCTCCAAGTTTACGTAGCCAGTTATCTTCGGAACTTGGCATTGCTCTGTTGACCGCTATGCGCTTATCAGAGAATGCCATCCCATCACTTTTCACGATACGAAAAGTGGAAATTTCGTCCTCGGAACCCATGGTGGATGAGGGGGAAGGGTTATTCATTGCGGTAGAAGAGAGGAGTTGAATAAAATTATGTGTGGTTCGAGAAGATGGATCTAATGTATTTGTAGAAGAGGGAAAACAGTGCCCGTATATTCGTTAGGCAGGAACACTCGCATCGATCAAGATGCCCTGACTGAAAAGAAAACTTTTGCTTCCTCACAGGGCTGAAGGGCTGGAGGGAAGAGGAGATGAGAAAAATATTAGGTAAAATACCTAGGGGAGGAATGACAGGTCAAGTAAATAGTTGTGGTGAATTTAGAAGAGAAGGTACTCGAAAATGAGGAAAAAAGTCTGTAAATTTAGTGGTTGCTTAGTCGTCTAGGGCTTTTGAAAAGAGCTCATGTATCATTGTATTCATGTACTCGCCGATTCGAAAAGTTAGTACGGCAATAGTATAGTTGTCGAGTTGTATAGTCGTCAGAGCGTATAGTAGCCGTCCGTGTAAGTCGATAACTAACAACGGACAACTAAGCCTGGATGAACAGAGGCTAAACGATCAAGTACGCAATGTTAAAGATAACTATCTCATCAAAGCGTCATAAAATCTTGGGACGACTCGTAATGATACTTAAAATGTATGATATTAACGCAATAAGAGCACAGATGCGTTAATCTTTTAGCTTATAAGAGACTTACGCAGATGTCGTCTTGTGAAAGATAGTTACAAGTAGACTTGAGTTCTTACACAGGATCTTGAATCTTAAAACAACAAACCCGTTTTGACCAATCGGAAACTTAGAACTAGATCTACAGATGCGAGCTACGCCACAGAGCATCCATCGTTATTCAATTGTGGCTTTATACTACGCGTCTGTTCATACATGTGCATAGGTACATATGTATAAAGTACGAAGTATCGCTGTACCTGACAGGGCTAACCCCTGCAACGGCTTACATATGAGGTACGGATCCGTACATACATAGGTACATACACTCAGGTACCTAATACACCTATTGATGTAGGTGAAAGCCTACAATTGATATAGAAAGAGTTTAACAAAAAGTAACAAGACAATTTGGTAATCACGAATTACCTGAGATAATATCGAAACCAATTTTCTCATATATCGAATATTATTTTCATTATTATAAGTAAATATGCCCTGAATATGAGTTCCTCCGATCACCAATTGTACGGAGTAGAGCCTTAAACCTGTGCTTTAATTATTGTAGTTACCAACAATCATTCTTTCGCTTCCCTGCCATATCTTACCCAAGTGTCAAAAGTGTATGCAGAAATTACTGGCTTCTTATAAATATATTACTGGAGTTTACGCTAGAGGTAATTGTCATCATTTGCCTCATCATGAGCTAAAATAATATAAGCGGCATAGGTCCTTCTGAAGTTCGTACTTATTTATTAGTTAGTTAATCGTATTCTTATTGCTTTTATATAAACGGTTTATCATCTGCACAGTCCTCGGAGTTTGGAGTTAACATAGCAAGACCGGGTTTCCTCCTAGTTAGGTATTAGAAACACCAACACGGGTTTATGACCCCTTTGAATGACGCCAGCCATATTCTAACCACTAACATAATTTGCATATATACTATTAAACGCTACAATACTCAACAGGCAACCACGCGGCCCAATCACTCGGAGACTTTAAAGGGACATCTTCGGAGACTTTTCCTATGAATTTCGTGTGTAGAAGATGAAGCCATCCCGGCGTTATCATGGTTAAGACCGCTAAATGCAGATGGCAGCCCGCGAAAATGTAAGGATTGCTTCTAGAGTTTCAATGTAAGCATCGGCGACATCTTCGAATTGCTCCAGCTGGCGACTATATAGAGCTCGACGATGAAGCAAAATATCTCAGGACTCATTCCAAGACACAAGACTACACCGAGAACAAATCCACATAGCCCTATCTAAAACTACCAGATCTATCTACTCAACGCTATCAGCGATAAATTTACCAACAAAAATGGCCACTTACGACAGAAATACCGAAGGTCTCGAACTTGTTCACAAGTTTGCTGACCAGGTAAAGGGAAGAACTTGTAAGTGTGCTCTCTCACCTCTGGGAGTATGTTATACTAACGTTATCTAGTCCTCCTGACTGGCCCAAGCCCTGGCGGCATTGGTGCTGAGACGGTCACCTCGCTTGCCGCAGAGTCCCCAGCTCTACTCATTCTCGTCGGACGCTCTCCAGAGAAGGCACAAACCGTCATCGACGCCATCAAGAAGATTAACCCTAGCGTAAAGACCAAGTTTGTCCAAGCTGACTTTACCTCGCTCAAGAACGTCCGGAAGGCAGCGCAGACTATCCTCGATGACCCTGAGATCACCAAGATCGATGCGGTGATCAATAACGCGGCCATCATGGCGAGCCCTTTCGAGCTGACGGAGGACAAAATAGAGCTACAGTTCCAGTCTAATCATCTGGGCCACTTCGTCCTGACTAATAAGATCCTGCCTAAGGTCATCGCGGCCGGACCTAGTGCAAGGATCGTCAACCTTAGTAGCTTGGGACACAAGCTCACGGGTGTGCGTTTCGAAGACCCGAATTTCACGCAGCCGGGTTCATACAGCGAATTTGATTCCTACGGACAATCCAAGAGCGCCAACATCCTGTACACGGTGGGCCTGAACAAGCGCCTCTCATCGCGCGGGATCCGCGCCTTCGCCGTACACCCGGGTAGCATCCAGACGAACCTACAGCACTACGTCGACCGGATGGACGGCGCGCACCTAGCATCGATCATGGATCAAGCGGTGAAGAAGATCACAGGCAAGACGCTCGCCGAGCAGCGGGCCTCCGAGCCCTACAAGACGCTACAGCAGGGTTGCGGTACGACTCTCCGCGCTGCTCTAGACCCGGATTTGGCCAAGGAGGAGGGCGTCTACTTACAGAATACTAACCTGACGACTGATCCCGACGTGGTTAAGGATTGGGCGACTGACCCGGAGCTCGCGGAGAAGTTGTGGAAGCTGAGCGAGGAGCTGGTTGGTGAGAAGTTTGATATCTAAGGGCCAGCTGTGTACAAAACAGTGGAGTATTATTGTAGAATGTGATATTGTATTGATATAACTAGTTGAAAATATAGATATGGCATATCTATAAATATGGCTTCTATTCTCAACTCTACTTGAGTGATGTTTTGTGAATAAAAGTAAATCTAGGAAACGTAGGTACATTCGTACTTCTTAATAATTAAATCTCAGGGGCCTTATAAGCCACACTCATACGTAAGGTACCTAGGTACCTACCTAGATTACTTTATGTACCTGTTATGCAGCCAAGCGTCGCTCTTAAACGTCCACTAAACCCCAAGTCCCCACCACTAAACGAACCCCTGGAGAACCTTCACCTCGAACTTACCTCATACATCCATTGCCATCCTCGCTCACCGCGTCGAGGTCCAAGATGTTGTCCTTCATATTAATACAGAACCGGCAGTAAGCAATCCTCTAATTAAGCAATTAACAATTTCCTACCTCCGATATTAACCCCCAACAACAGAGGCAAGACGCGGCTAGCGAAGTGGTACGTGCCGTACAGCGACGAGGAGAAGATCAAGCTGAAGGGCGAAGTGCACCGTCTAGTCGCGCCGCGCGACCAAAAGTACCAATCCAACTTCGTCGAGTTCCGCAACTACAAGATCGTATACCGCCGATACGCGGGTCTCTTCTTCTGCGCCTGCGTCGACACCAACGATAACGAGCTCGCCTACCTCGAGGCCATCCACTTCTTCGTCGAGGTCCTCGACGCCTTCTTCGGCAACGTCTGCGAACTCGATCTCGTCTTCAACTTCTACAAGGTCTACGCCATCCTCGACGAGGTCTTCCTCGCCGGCGAGATCGAAGAGACTAGCAAGCAGGTCGTCCTCACCCGCCTCGAGCACCTCGATAAGCTCGAGTAGCACGTTTCGGATACCCGAGGAAAGAGTCTACGAAGTGTTTCTATAGGGGTACCCAGAGGAAGATAAATATGCAGAGAATTCCTGTTTATAGGATACGTTGGGCTTGCGAATAGCTCATCTGCTAAGCAGAGGCGTATGGCGTTTTGGCAAAATTGGAATTGGGTAGTAGGTTATACTCTCGCGAGCACGCACGCATATCTACCTCCTATTCGGGCATTATTTCCCCCTGCATCCGAGACCAACAGTCGTATTCATCGCGTAATGCAGCCTAATATCCTACGAATGCTTTGATGACCCCCGAGTCTTGTTAATAATGCAGCGTCTATTAAATTAAAATAATGCTATGGACTAATGCTATGCTGCTAGTACTTAAGATAGCTCTCCATCTGACTCGTTTAAGTCAGAGATAGCTATGATATAATCGTCAGCCATCTCAACGAAATCTGTGAGTATGAAAACGGGAAACATTAACTAAGCTCAGTATCAGCATCCTTTGCGCATGAACATCTGTCTAAATAGATGCTTAGGTGTCCTGGCAATATGTGCAGCGAGTAGGGGATGCTTAAAGTGACAAAAAGAGTTGCAAAGGTTAATGCTACAAAGACCGCATAATTTATATTCGGAAGATCCCGCAAGTGCGAAATTGAATAGAACTCAAGCCACCACCATATTAGTCTTTATCAGTCTATCGTCCAGCTTGGAGGTTAGATGCTTTTAGTATCGGAGTAGCTGTGAAGCGCAGATCGAAATCTCAAGAACAATCTTAGTTCTTCCGTGGCTTATGATATGATATGTGTGTATTCGGACCTTGAGAAAATAAAAACGGGGAGCGAACAGCCCGTTCATCTCAAATGCCTTTCCCCGTGTTTGATGCTCTTGTTGTCCTAGAAGGTATACAGGCTCCTAGGCCTCCTCCATCATCTCCCTGGTGGTATGAACTATCGGAATCGTGCGGTCACTAAAGAGAGAGATAGCTTCAGATTGGAGTGGTAGACCACCATCTTTTTTCTTACTTCCGTCGATATTCATCTCGTCTAATTGATATGTAGAATAGTTGGTAGGCATATCGTCTGTAAGAAGAGGAGCTTGCGTTTTGCTTAAGAAAATTTCAACTGAGAGAGCGTCGAGGAATTCGTTTGCTTCTTTTCTAGCTTTCTCGATGTCTTCAGCCGTGTCTTTAGAGACTGATGCTGCATCCGCTATCAGTTCATTCTTATTTTCAACCGTACCCGAGTGACGATTCTCAGGAAGGAAAGTGTCCTTTGGCGTCATCAGAGAAATATGCGAACCCATAAATTCGTCATTATCATATCCAAGCCTCCCCTCATCCGCCTTTTTCTTGGTCTTCTTTAAATCTAAGAACGGGCGGCGTCGTTCTTCTGGGGGAAGGGTTTTGACTCGCTTTCGATTCTCGCGAGGCGGAGTGGTTGAACGCTCTTTCAGACGATCATTGCTTAAAGAGTATTGGCGAGGAGACTCTTCTTTACGATATGACTCTCGAGTCATGCGTTCACGCGCTGTCCAAGGCGAGACACTTCTACGGTTGTCTTGCGATTGGTATCGGCCGCCTGGATTATAGGATCGATCCTTTGGGCTTTTGTCATGTCTATGGGCACCATGATTTTTACGTCGTGAATGGTACGCAGGACTTCGAGAGCGGCCTCGAGGAGATGGCGTGAAAGGAGAACGGTCTCGGTAATGGGGATATTCTTGCGCAGGCGTCTTTGGTAGATCTTTAATACGAAGACGCTGCTGCGTTAAGGAGAGCTCGTACTCATTTTGAGGGCACAACGTTGCGAAATGCCTGCCAGATACTTTGCAGATTTCACATCGATAATAATATGGGGGTGGCTGGTCCCATTTCGGGTCTAAATTAGTAGGGCAAAGCTGAATCCAGTGTCCTATCGTTAATGTTAGCGGAGTGGACTTTCCTTCTCTATCGGATCTTATTACCTGGCTGATAGCAACGCTTGCAAGTATACCCGGATGAGGGAGGTGTAGTTAAATAGGGAGGTATATTCAGCGAAGAATACCTGTCTGATATGACGGGCTCGTAACTTTTGATTGGACTAGCCCCTATTGAAGTTACGTCCCTCAAACTCAACTTTGCTGCCTGTTTTACAGGTGATGTTTTATTGGCCTTAGTTAAGCTTTCCTTCCTCTTGTTCTCTTCCTTAATTTTGACGATCTCGTTGTAGATGTTGCTCCGTACGTCGGCCTTTAGCCCTAGAGGAATTTCGTTGGCACCCGTCTTCTGCTTTCTCTTATTAGATACCCACGGGGGTGTCGATTCCATTATTTCCATTTCAGCTATATCTTGAGAGTTAATCAGTTTGTTCAGACGGACTAAGGAGTTTCCCTCCTGATTTGAAGTTGACCTTGCGGACGAATCCTTATCTTGCTTGGAGCCACTCCTAGCCTGCTCAAATAGCTCATGGAAATCTAGCTGCACCATCTGATACCTACGTATATCTGCAGGGTTTTCCTCAGCATCTTTTCTTTGCCATTCTTTGAGGGCTTCTTCGACCTCATCTTCACTAAATGGTCCCTGTTGCAGCTTCCCGCCTGTCAAAAGCAGGTTGGCAAATTCTGACAACAAAGACTTCTGTTGGATGTCCTTTTTGATTCGTTCATGGAGCCATCTCATGAATACTTGGAGGACGTCCTGCTTGGATAATTGGTCGGGGTGTACATGTTGAATTTTATCCTCGAGTTCGGTGAGAGTAATATCAGCCAGGTCATCTATACCTAGTGTCTGCAAGCTAGGTTGAAGATCCATGACGATATTAATAACCAGGATCGTGAAAGTACGAGAGAGATGAGAGTAATGTGCTGTATCAGATGAATACAACTGGGGTTTGTGTTTTGAAAAGAACGGTTGTAAAAACGATGTGATTCCTGTTTGTTGTTGATGAATCCAGGCTGCAGCTCCCGAGATGCAAGTAGTAAAAGGGGGGTCCTGGGTCCAGAGTGATAACTTGTGTCCCGTCTAGCGAAAAGACTAATAAGAATAAATTAGGAAGTAAGAATCAAGTCTCACGGGACTAAGATGAGAGGGTAGGATGCAAGTGCAAGTGCAAAGAAAGAAAGACCCATACATATACCATAATAAATTAAGTTGGAAGGAGACTAGGAGTCCGATCAGGGTCACTACGGGCAAGTCCTACATGCTAACTAAGCCCCGTATAACTGAAGAAGAGGTAGGAACTATGTTCGATGCAGTGCGTACGTAACATATGTCTGGTGTAATTACCTAGGCAACTGCCTAGGAGACTATAGCAGGTACTCTACACATAGAAACGACTGATAAACTTGGAAACGACACCCGCATCTCCAGTGACCACCTGCATGTATGTGTGCAGTTAAGTACCTCCTACATGTACATGTATCTACCTTCTTTGAGCTTTTACCCTCCGCCGATGTCTCTAGGTATATATGCATGTACTGTATCCCCTATGTTGTGCATAAAATGCCCACCTGGGCACCTAGATATCTTACCTACTCTAAAGTCTGGATCTTGGCTACCTACCTAAATGCTTTAACTTGACTATTAATTCATGACAACTAGTGAAAATTTGATTAAGCACAAAGAACAGCGTGGTTTTTTTTTTTAGAACCAGTGTTGATAATGTATTTGGGCACACGTAGTTATGTAGCCAGCAGGCTTACTATAAGATACCTATGTAATTCGATAAGGGATGAACCATAAGATAAATCCAAGGAGAAACAGGCAACTCCACCGAATAGCAAAATGTCTTCCCGGGATTTCAAGATCTCCAGGGCCCAGTATTCAGACATATTAACGCTTCAGAGCAGCAAAGCGAGCTGTTAGTTCGTCAACACTCGTCCCATCCTTCTTACTATCGCTGTTCTTTGATATGCCAGCATCAATCATCTTCTGGCTGGGTTTCAGTTCCACTGAGTTCAACGTGATTCTGGGGCGAGGATTATCGGTGGATGGACTTGGTGGATTAACATGTACAGGAGTATCCAGTCCTAGGGATCGAGGAGGTGTTGCACGACTCAGTGCTTCCCTTTCTAGTGCGGCTTTGCTGTCAGGAGAAAGAGATGTCTCGGAGGCCTTCTGTGCTTGGCTATCACTTGGACTATTGCTCGTGTCGTCGTCCACAAATTCCGGTGGTTCCCCCAAATCCTTAGCTCGCCTCGGCCAATTGACCCCATACGCCCTTGCAATCTCTTCCAGATAACCTTGGACAAGCTCTTCTCGAGGTGGGGTGACGCTAAGTTTCTTGACGACCTTTTCAGAGACCTTCTGATCTGAATTTTCCATAGCCGCCAACACGAACTCTTTGCCATACTTCTCACCCAAAAGTGCGCGGACCTGCTGTAATTCTTTAATCTCTGTCTTGGGGGCAGCGTATATGATGCTTTTCACTGCCTCTTCCAATCCAGGATCGCATATGCTGCCCTCTAAGAGGCCAGCCCGTGCTAGTAACAACTCGCAATATAGCTCAAGGATCTCGTGGAGTTCTGTGGTGATATCGGAGCGAATGATATTCTCGACTCTTATCTTAGCCGAATCGATCTTACCAACCTCTAGTAATTGGGCCATCGCCCTTCTCTGCGTCTTCCCCATAGCTTCATCGCGTTGCTGCACCATACGCAGCCGTGCAATGGATAGCTTCAGCTGGACTTTCAACTTCGTCTACAGGTTCAAGTGGTTCATTAGCTATCTAGGTGTTGTAAACGAACGGCTTCCCAGCTGTGGGATCAAGCAATACAAGAATAGCCTTACAGTCAGATTTGCTGATGGAGCCATTTCGACGATACACAGCCCGAAGGCTCGTGAAATCCAACAAATTGGTGGTATTCCTGAAGATAGTCGCTAGAAGTTGACGCTAAACATCTCACTGGTAGCAAAGCAACATGCAACTTTGGAGTTGTTCTTTGATACTCATGCGCGAACCCCGCGATCAAAAAAAAAAGTATTGAATACTTATTGGCGCACTATATATAAGCTATTATTCTAGTTACTGTACATGTCCTTAGTGCAACATATAGAGCTCAGCTACCCCTGCAAATGCAACAGTAACACAAGCCGCCGATAACCAAGATTGGACGTTTTCGTTTGCTTCGGGATGATATCATTCGTAGAGTGCCAAGCCAAATAAAGTAGTTGGGGTAGAGTGGGGCCGAAAATCATTACCTTAGCTTTTTTAACAGCGATTTCAATTGAATGATGAATGGTGTTAAAAACACGCCGTTATTTTTCTATACCACTAGATTATTCAAGATATGCAATTTACATCTTTTAGACATACACCTTTACACACACCTTCACAGTTAATACGTTATACTAACCAAATCACGAGTATAAGTCCTGAGCAATTTAATAACCTACCTTACCTCTTAACTTGACTGGCTCTAGCTTCATTACCATGCCTGGATCGAAATATCCTCTACGGGTGGGTTTCGTCTTGGAATCATCGCAGGGACCATGGCAATAATCCAGCTTTGGAAGCGGAAGCTTCAGCAACAACTTCAGCAATGGAAAGGTACGGTCAAGTCGAATCTTCAGAAGAATAATCTCTGGAAGAGAATGATCAAGAACACCGTATGCATCACTATCAATCTAATCATCGGGCTTGTCCCGGCAGTAATTGCTGTATACGGCCAGTCGACATATCTCGGCGCTATGGCTTCGGTATTTGGACATCCTGGACAGCGGTTTGGCCAGATGACTGAAGTCTTGATGCTCATTATCCTTGGCACTTTTGTCGGGATCGCTTGGGGTATCTTAGGCCTATATCTTTCGAGCCTTGTCTATCATACCGATATTCAAGCAGCTTGGGCTATCAGGGCTATATTCTTCACTTTTGCATTGATTCTTCATGGTGTTCTACGTTCTTGGGCACCGAGGTTATTCATGTTTGTGTTTTTCTTCCTGCTCATCAACATCACCATCCTAACAAGTGCTACCACATCCGTATCATCTGGTATCGTCACACATATTGCGTACCCCATCCTTACAGCGATTGGTGTTATCATACTCGTAAACATAACCATATTCCCCGAATTCTCGAGTGGGTTCCTTGGTAGATCTACGATAGAATCGTTATGCGCCACCATCGATTCTTTCCAAGAGTCTGGAGATTGGTTTATGTCCGATACCAGAAAGTCAGATGGCGGGGATGCTGAGAAAGAAAAAGAAGCCTGGTCAACTTTACGTACTAGGCTCATAGCCTTGACCGAGAAGAAGGCGAAGTTAAGAGCTCAGCTTGGTAGCTCTAAGAAAGCCCAATCAGAGTGTAACTTCGAGCTGGTTTATACGGTGCTCCCTCCGCGGTCTTTGAAGCCTATTAGTATGACTCTGATGACTCGCCTCGTCCAAGTGACTATCTGTCTTATTAATGCTTGCGAGAGCAAGTATGCACTAGCAGGATATAAATATGAAGAGAACGAGCAAGATGCGCCGGGCGAAAAAGCATCTGACGACGAAGATTCCGATGCAGAATCAGATTCTGACTCGGACAGCGAGTCTGAGAGCGATAGTAGCGACGATAAGTCGGAACGCGAGACTAAAAAGTCACGAAGGAAATCTAAATATGCACGAAAACTCGAGCTTATTAAACCAATTCGAGAAATAGAGTCTGGCGACATTGAATTCCTCGAGCATATTCTTAGTCAGATTCGTGGCCCGACTAAGAGCCTCCAACATCAGATACAAGCTGCTCTTTATCTCATAATCTGCGCACTAGCTTATTGTTACGATGCACCAAATCTCCCGTCCGGTGCCCCAACTCCTAAGGGGATTAGTATGGAAGAAATTGATCTCAGAATCAATATGTTTATGGAAGCTTTGACGCAGTTTGACCATGATTCCGCCGCGGCCCTTGAGCATGCAGCCTCTATACAGTATGGCCGAAAATCGCGGGTATGTTCACGATGATTCTTCGTTATTTCAGTAATCGCATTTTATATTAACTGACTATGCAACTATAGAGTGATATTACGCCCAAGATGGAAACACACTTAATCTCGTCGTTCCTAATTAGTGTACGGCATGCAGCTACTCAGATTAGCGAAATGTTGAGGCATTCTAGGGCTCTTGTTGAGAAGAGACAAGCACGACATGGCCGTCGACGGCTCTACTGGCCTAAAATTGGTTGGAAGAAGTGGCTCACAAGTGGCGGCGAACGTGACATAAACGCTCTTCCGGAGAATGCAAGGAAGGAGGCAAGAACTGGCCACGGTATCAGGGAAGATCCGGGGAAACGCGGCGACGAGACGGATGACAGTGAAGAGCAACTGCTTAGACGTACCGAAGATGAAGAAACTGGTCACACTATTTCGAAGCAACCTAGCGTTCCCGAGAAAGGCAAGATCCCGATGCGAAAAGGTCCCCAGAAGTCTGAAGCGAGTAGAATCATGTGGCTACGTGGACTGGCTGCTGATATGGTTGAGTTCTTTGCCGACTCCGACGATCTCGCCTTTGCCCTTAAAATGTGTGTAGCAGCATTTATCGTTACGTGGCCAGCGTTCGTACCGTCATTAAATGGTAATTATGTCATCTACAAGCGTAATAAACTGATAACTAATAATCAAATAGCATGGTATAATTCTATTCGTGGATCTTGGGCATCTCTTCAGCTGGTTCTCGTCTTCGAAGTTTCAGTGGGGACGTCATTTCAGGGGTTCTTTCTTCGAGTTTTCGGTGTCATCTTTGGCTGTGTTGTCGGCTTTCTTGCTTACGAAATTGGACAAGGAAACCGAATTGTCGCTGTGGTTGTTCTCGTATTTGGCATTATACCATCATCTTACATCCATCTCGGTACACCATACGTGAAAACAGGCATAATTTCCATGGTTAGTATGTCAGTGGTCGGGCTTGGTAAGTGGCTATTTTGATATCATATCCGAACTTGTCTGAAATTCTAACAAGCTATTAGCAACAATACTTCAACCGGTCGGAGAAAATGCATGGGAGATATTTGTTAAACGAATGGTATGCTTCCTCGTCGGTGGGACAATTGCGCTTCTCGTTGAGATGTTCTTTTTCCCCGTCCGAGCTCGAGACAGGCTCGTCGAGTCTCTAGCTTCGAGCATCCAGCAGATATCGCAGATGGAAGCATCGATAGCTGTCGGCATAGATTCACCTAGAAATATCAATATCAAATCCAGCTCTCTCAATGAGAACTTCAACGATGCCAAGGAGAAGGCCGAACAAGCTCTTGCTGCCGCCCGCACTTTCTTACCTTTTTGTCTCACGGAGCCGAGGATCAAGGGAAGTTTTAATGGGCAAGCTTTGATCTACGGCGAGATGATCTATGTCTTATTTCAAATACTCGACCGCATGGATAATATGCTACATATTCGCAAGGCCTATGGGAGCAGTGTACTTGAGGAGCTAAATACGGAGGTCCTACCCTATCGCCGCAACGTAGCGGCCAGTATAACGCTCACTCTCTTCGCCGTTCACGAGGCCTTAACAACCCGATTGCCTCTCCCACAATTCCTTCCATCTAGTCGTGTGGCACAATTACGATACATCAGTCGAGTCCGTGAACTCCTGCTTGAGCAAGACATTAAGTCAGCATATAACTCTGGTATCCAGACTCCAGCTAGTCTGGCGAGTGGGTCTATTCCTCTCCAGGCGCATGTCTTGAAATCTATGACTCGGCAAAGCTTCTTGGCCTGGAATGCTAGCTCCGCCGGTATTAGTAAGTAGTCCTTCAGAATCACCGTTACCCCTTTTCCTATTACCTTATACGCTAAATTAGATATATTAATCATATCATAGTGGAGATCATTGAATATCTAGAAGAGCTGGTAGACCTTGCCAAGCTGTTGGTCGGGGTTAACGCGTTCCGCAGCGGAATGCTGGAGCGCCCCAAGTTCCACGAGTATGTTAGGAAGATCAAGGAGCGCGAGTCAGATCGGAATATAGCCGCGGCAGAAGCGGAGACACAAGAAGCCCAAAAGATTAAAAGCCGGAGTGCCAGCAGTATCGTGCGCAGGAGGCGGGGCTTCACGCTCGGTAAGATGCCTTCTCACGGCACTGCTACCGGCACGGCTGCGGGTATAGACATGGGCGACGGTATTGGGTTAAGGCAGCGGTCAAATAGTCTCTGGGGAGGCGGCGGTGATGGTGCTGCGGACGGTGGCCACGGAGGGGACGAGATGCCGGAGGATCTGCCGATGAGCTTGCAGCGGGTCATGACGAAGCGGATGGAGGGGAGGCAGCGTGAGAAATCTGCTAAGCGCAGGAGAAATACGGATGATCCCAAGGGGAAGCGGCCACTTGTCAGACCGGCGCAGACTTGGGCACTGTAGTCTGGGTTGGCTGTGACTACCTACGTTGGATGGCGGGGTATAATACGCAACGGGTCGGGGTTACGGCTTCACGAGCACGTCCACGTTGGTAGCCAATGCCATATAATGGGGCTTTGATCTGATCTAAGTTATGTTGCGGGTATTTGAGTTGACATAGTAAGCCATAAATCATATGCCTCACTATCTTATAAGGTAACTAAGGTATCATCATCATAGGTATTATTTTAGGTCGATTTATGTAAACATGTCCCTATTCTACGAGAGGCGATTATAGAGCTATATCTACCAAGTTAATAACTCGTAATATTCTAAATATTGACAGTTGGATTTATGATCTGAACTGGTAATATATTCCAAAATATAGATAGTCCTGTGTGTCCCTTTCACCATAGTAACGCAATTTGCCCATGCTTGCCAGTTGTTTGATCTAATGACCGCCGCATAGAGACACAAGACAACGAAGTTGTTGCTAGCCAATGCGGGCCATGATCATATTACTTTTCCAAAGCGTTGAGATATCTGCTAGTTATACGAAGTCTGCTACCATAAGTTTCCTCCTTCTGAAAGCCGAGCTCATGCAGGACGTCGTTAAATATGGGGTATCACTGTATTTCTTATTAGTAACTGCAAGCTCGTGATAATATTGAGTAATAAGTGATATAACATGTGGCCGAGTTGTCTCCCGGATGTGATCACAAGGACAAGTGCCGAAAAGGGGGAGGGTATAGAAATGGGAAATTGCTTACTTTGAAGCCACTCGGGAATTAAGTATACTCCAATTGGCACACCCCGCAGGCTTATAAAAGCTTCGACAACGATATAAAGCCGGGCACCGGTGAAGAGGATTAATATTCCAATGGCGATCCCGACAAGAACCGCACAAACCCCCCTCATGATAAAGCGATCGTTGGTTGGCTCATCAAGCCTCTGGATAACCCAATGAAGGATCCTTTTGACAATCCCCAGTGATGGGAGTGTTCCAATGATAATGAAGCATGTAATTTTCCACATCAATTGCTCGGGAAGGGAAGGGAAATCGGAATTCCAGGCTGTTAAATGGATACCCCCATATAACGCCGGGAGTAGAAAGACTGCCACCTTGAGGAGCCATGGAGCGTGACTATGGAGCATGGAAGCACAAGAAATCGTCCTAGTCATATTTACACCAAACGGTGAGTCTCTGCTCTCTTTAAACATTAAAATCCGGTTGTTGTTTAAGCCCCCCCAAGGATACATGTATATAGACTTATGTCTAGATTTAGACCGTTTGAGTTTGGCCCCGTCTTCAGATTGTAGAGATTCCAGAAGATTCTTTAGACGATCAGAAACGTTTGAGAAGCTTAGGATATCGGGGCTTAACACGTCTAGCGGTTTCTAAATTGCAATATGTTACTATTGAATTCTAAGTCAACAGATAATGTAGTACTTACCTCGAACCAGCATATATATAATATAAACGCACAAACAACATGTACCATGGTATGAATCTCTAAAAGTGTCAACGGTAGACCATATGCTTTCCTGGAAATGCACTGCATAACCATCCATGACACCTGAAAGAGAACCAACGTTTTTTTCACTGCGTCTGCCTTGCTTCTGTCGTCGATACTCTCTCGTGGTATACGAATAAACTCGCCTTTTTCAGCAAGACTAACTACCGCTTCGGATAATAGAGTCTTAGTATCCTCGCCGTATGAAACCTGCAGGCCGCCCATGACAACAAAAAACCCGTAACGAAGGTCAAATTCCGGGTGTACCTACTTCTCAATAAGTTAGAAGTCTAGCAGGTCTTGGGTTGAGTCTGACCTTTTCTCCTTCTTTCTCTTCCATCTCCTTATTAAGCTTTTTGAAAAGTAATCGCGCTTCGAGGTACTGAGAGAACGCCATGTAAACTACTATTTCCGGTGCAAGAATTGCAACAATGACCCATTTGATCTTCTCCCATGAGCGATGCTGCCAGCCGGACTTGGTAGATATATTTAGGTGGAGCGAGGTGTAAATACATGCGGTAAGAGTTATAATACAACTCCATAGAATGGCCGAGGTGCTGCGAATACTCTGCGAAGAGACCCAAGGAGGTGCAATTACTGTCTGCAAGGCTGTCAAGTTATTCTTGTGGTCTTCGAGTTCGATACGGATCACATCGGCGGAATTATCTGCCATGGTCATCCGACAGCCGTAAATTAGTGCGAGGAGAGGAAGACTGAGAGATGGCATGGTTACTTGAGGGAGTTTTGTGAGCAACACGACGTGGGAGGGCATTTGAGAAGTTAGAGAAGAGATAAATAGAAAGTAAGGCTGCAAGCTTTTTCTCTCTTTCTGTTATTTTTTTTTAATACGCTACCAAGTCATCAAGTTGCGTGGTCGTACTTGACGGACTTTTCACTTCTATATTGAAGATAAAATTTTGGTCAATTTCGTGACTTATTCTCAGCCGCACGATGTATTCATGCCCTAAGCCTGCTGGCCACGTATATATATAACTGCATTGTTGCCCGACAACTGGCACCGATGACGTTTAATAATACCTCAATATTTACAATTAAACACACCCAGCTATTGTTCTATTTAAAGGGGTATATTATATTGAAGTACGTGTCTACCTTAAATGGACAAATGCCAATTTTTTATATGCGAAACCCCTTCGGGATTTGACTTTACCATTCAGAGCCAACGTCTTGAAATCCCGGGTCTGAGTTTCCACGGCTTCGAGTGCCTATCCATCCGAAATATGTAGGCGGATGGTTACTGCCATCCGGGTTATCCAACCAGTCCTGCAGGAGAGAACTCACTCAACACCTCATGTGAGCACTGTATCGCCACCTCCACATATCCATTCGGATCGCGACTACGGATTTCCACGATATGGCCTACGATACGGAGATTATAGTAAGGCTGATTGAAATGGGTGAAATTATACCGGTAACGGAAAGTCTCAGTATGGTACGGCCCACCGTCCAGCCTCGCAAGCATCTCGTTCGTCATACTGTCCAACATCTCAGCGCTTGGTTGTCTGGCATACACCCACATGCCTTCATCCACATAAGCAAGGGCAGGATCGAATTGCGCGATTACCAATCGAGAGCCTTGATATGATGGGTCTATTGCCTTGCGCGGCAGGACTGTAAGGCGCCCCTGGATGACCTGATTGTACCGGGTGCGAGCGAGGAGGGTTAGGCCATACTGTCTGTGGAGGTCCTTGAGCATGCTAGGATGCATAGTGAATTCGTGTATCTGTTGAATTGACGCAGGTATGCAGCCAAGTATCTTTGCTTGCCTGACTGCTTGTCTGTCTGCTACGGCGTCACTGATGGCGACTAGGGTGCAATGGAGCTTCCGACTTATATGCTGGACATACCCAATACATCCACAGGTCTTATCGTTCGTGTCCATATGCGGCTCTACATCTGCGGGCACGAGCCGGTCGGATGTTAGAAAATGTAGTGTGCCGACGGGGTTCTCGACGATACCGCCTGCGGTGAAGGAGTCGCAGCAAATAGTCTTTCCCGATGAGGTCTTCATGTGTAGGTGGATATGCCGCGGATTCGTCCAGACTACAAGACTGTCATCTTCTGTAGAGTATACTTTGAGAATTCCTGTGTAGGGATACGATGCTGATTGGTTTCGTCTGGCCATGGTCGTTGTAAGTCGGGTTAAAATAGCGGAGATGGGAAGTCGAAAAGAAGGGATTGGTATAGCGAGAAATTTTTGAGGACGGTTTGGAATGATGGTAAATGTTTATATAGTATATATTTCTTTTGGTGAATGCCATTGAATGCTTATATTAGGTTAAATCTGTGTTTTAGTCGGTGCGTTGCTATTAATGACTTGGGATAGTTATAGTAAACTCTTCAGAGGAAATCTACTACTTCCGTTGCTAGGGTAGCTTATAATCATGAATAAGATATTTCGTAGAATGAACGCCAATAAATTCAGTACAGTAAGAGAAGTTTACTATAATCTGAATTCAAAATCAGTGACTCACGTAGTGGGGTCCCTTATTGAAATCAGCAAACTCATCTATGTTCTATCATCTGATATGAATAATAAGTGAGGCTAAGTTGAAGTAGTACAGCTAACCACCTCAATTCTCCGTAGTTGTCTGATCGTTGAGACCTCTATAGCCTCCCTTCGGCTTGCTCAATCTCTAGCTCCGTGCTTGTCAGCCCGTAGCCACCAGCAGCTGCGACATTTTCCTTCTGATATAAGAAGCACTCCTCGGTATCGACATACTGCGGGTCGAACTCGAAGATTCGGACCTCAGCGTTTTTCCAGGGATCTAGTAAATAAAATCAGCAAATACTCGACGCAATCAATCAATAGGTAAAGTTGGTTAGTCACATCTCAGGAGTCAGCTCCTCAAAGTGAAATCCTGACTCCCGAGACAGACCTATAGGGGGGGTGGAGGTGGGGGGTAAACAACAACACAAACTTCACTCTACATACAATCACTCGGCCCCGTCCGCGGATCTGCCGTAATCCTCCTAAGAATATCTCCATGCGCAACAAGCACGATATTCCTCTCCGTTCGACCACGCAGGTACTGGCGGACCCAACGGGCGCGCGCCGTCAACGCCTCTTCGCTCGGGGCCCAGAAGCCCTTCTTGCTAGTCCAATCTGGCGTCAACGGCGTAAGATCAAACACCGCGAACTCGGGGTCCGCCTCGAGGACCTCTTTTGCCGAGCCCGTGTCGCACGGGAGGCCGTTACATTCCTGCGCTTGAGGCAGGAGCACCACGTTTTTCAGCCCGCCTAGGCGCTCGACGGCCGGTGCCCAGCCGAGGTAAGTAGTCTGCAGGGTGCGCCGTAGGGGCGATGAGATGACTACGTCGGCCTCGTTTTGCAAGTCTGGGATTAGACGGGCTAGTGACGCGGCTTGTTTCTTGCCGAGAGGCGTAAGTGGTGCATCGTGAACTTTGCGGAGAAGTTTTAAATCAGTCTTCGGATCTGGACGTGTCGTGTGAGGAGCGTGACTCACTGCTGTAGTCCAGGTCGACGTTGTGCTCGGCCTGAGCGTGGCGGGTGAGAATGAGACGGGAGTTAGGCGCCATGACGTCGTTGGGATTGAATAAGTAAATAGGAAATATATGAATAAGGTATCTATTCTAATTTCTAGTTTATCGCTATACGCAGTAGTCGGCTCTCTTCTATTTCTCTATGAAGTCTAAGGGAAAATAGGGATTTAAGGGAAAAAAGAAAAAAAAAGGTATAAGGAGAAGGATGTAGTTGGATGAATGACGCCGCATTTTGCGGGACTTAAAAACTACTACGGAACTCTGCCGGATCATCGATCTCCACTATATTAGCGATGGCAATGCCGGGGGGCCGTGGCTCCCCGCCGTTGTCGGCGTAAGCCCAAAAGGGACACATTCGAATTGTTGAAGTGCATAAGGGGCCAAACAAGATAGCGTATCTAGGGTTATGTGTTGGTTAGTTCGTCCTTGCATTCAGAGTAAAGAGGAAATAGAAATTACTATACTTTCATAATTGACGACTTAAATTTGTTCACTAGCCGGGACAGTTAGGTATTCATTTGATATGAGTAGGTAGTATATGTGAATTATCAAATACCTCTCTTATGTTACGAATCCAGAAATAATAATGCTGATAGTTTTATAAAAGATATTTATCCCACGTCTACCGAGTAATGATGATTTTACCGCTTATAATTCGTTAGAGAAAAGCGTACATTTGAATGCATTAAAAAGCCGTAATAAATTAAAATCGGAGCTCCTAAAACGCCGTTCCTCCTGGGTATTCCTCACAAGGACCTTTCCGTTGTCGCTGGTCTTCCGTATTCGCTATGAATTAAACTCATAAACCCGTAAACTCTGATAAACTTAGGAAAGATTCAGACTAAGAGCGTAACTAGATGTTGCTCTCCTCCGTGAATCCATTAGAACAGCTTCAAGTTGGTTCTTTGCTGTAGGTTTGTCCCGTTCAGCATAGCCCGAGCTCTCTTCGGTCGGGTCTGGAGTCTCCGAAACGCCTCCTGAACGTGGCGCGCTTCAACGGGAATCCTACCTTCGCTGGGTAGATCGAATAATCCTTGAGTGAGCTTCCGCTTTTTGGTGCCCGGGTTATCACCTCCGCTCCGCTCTTTCCATAAGTCTTCTTGCTCTTTGATTTTGAGCGCCTCCTCTGTGAGTGTCTGAACCATCTCAAAGGTCAAGAAACCTAGGATATCTACGATATCATCTGAGGGTTTACTGTCTGTTACGATACCAAAACCGGCCCACTCCCGGAATCGCTTGCCCTTTCGGTATGTGAATGACGCCTGTCGATATTCGGACCATGTGACGTATTCCTCCCTAGTCATCGCCTTTGTCCGCTCATCGGCTTTGCGCAATCGTTGAAGCGTGATGTAATTCATCTCCTCTTCCTCCTCGTCTTCCTCGTCGTCGCGTTCTGGGACTTCCTGGCCGTAGAACGAGGAAGGTTCCCAGGGGAGCTTAACTTTGGCCTTCTTATTTTTCTTGGCGGCCTCTTCTACTGCGGGGCCACCAGGCATAACGGCTCCAGCAGGGTCGTCAGCAACACCCAAATCCGCTTCTCCGCCTTTGTCGTCGGAATCCTTGGCGCTCTTGCGAACATCCTTCCACGATAAGAAAGTCCTAAGACGTGATACCTTAGGCGCATCGTCGCGGATTTGAAATATCAAGTCATTAATGGTGATAGATCGGGAGCCACGGCGCGTAGCCAGTTCAGTACAGCTTCGCAGCATTTCAATAACTTGCTGCCGAACAATCTCCTCGATTATAGTAGTAGTCTCAACAGAAGGCTCTCCCGTCTCACCAGAGACGTACATCATCTGCTGAATCTCCTGCCTATACTTGTGCTGCTTGCTGTTGTCCGCCATTTTGACTGAAAGCGACGATAAGCAGTCGTAGCGAATAGGTAGTTTTGATAGATAAATAAAGATTTCTCGAATGAATATAATGATCCACAATCTACTACGACTTGATCTGCGGATGACGCAAGAGATGCGATTATGTTTGCGGATGAATGCTGTTCTGTTAGGTAAAGTTGAAGTTGTTCAATGCACAAATGATGAGAGCTAACATTGAAATGCCGACTTAATCTGATAGGCTCCCAAAGTTTAATAAGCCAAGCCACTAACCTTAAATAATGAACGTTAAATGTGAATACGTAGAACTTCAACTCTGGGGAAACTTAAAATTACACTTTGTACAAAGAGGTACATTCAAGTTATTTATATTTATTTTCATCGTAACCGAGTTATATTATTGCTCTCTATTTAGACTCATATTCATCATAAGTCAGTTTCCCACCTTTCAAAACCAGTGCCTCTCCAGCCCCAAGCCACGACGTAATGGTCCGCTAGAAGATTCCATTCTTCAACCTCATCTAACCCCTCTAGACTATCAACCCTTTCTTTTTCTTCTTCCGTGACCCATTTCCGCCATATTTCTCTTATAGTCAAGCTTGTTGCGAGCCGGAATCCGGCTTCTTTTAATCGGGACTGTTGCTTAGCAGAGTCTTGATATGAGTCTAGTGTTGGCATATGTAACCGTCGCGCTGCCAGATTAGATACCATCTGCTTGCCGAAAGAATCATTAGGGTGAATTGGCTCATAGACGATGATGGCAAGATCTGGTATTTTTTCGGCGAAATACTTGATTACGCTTTGGGCCTCTGAAGTTTCTAAGTAGCATAGACAACATTCTGACACTAGCAATGTTGGGATATCTGTTCGGATGCCACTGAGAGCTTCTGTGTCACTGTTGAGCAAGGCTCTCAGATCCAATCCGTGGCACCAATATTGACAACCATTCGGTAGACTTGAACTACTCCAACCGTCCTTCTCATTCTGTGGGTTAGGGATGATGGACCTGAGTTGAGGAGTAGCATTCACGAGCTGTAGCTTCTTAGAAGCAATTGCAGGAAAGTCGATCTCATGATAGATAAGGCTAGCCTGGCTAGGCTGAGAAAAGAGCTTAAAACACCTTGTGTCTGTGCCCGCACCGAGTGAGATAATTTGTCGTTCTTGCGTTGTGGTGCCCGACAAGAAGGAAGATATCAGTCGATCCAATGCAGTAGTCCGTGTGTAAGTCCCTAACACAGCCTTAGCACTCGCTAGACCGGAAATGGCCTTCGGACTTCTTACCTCGATTTATAATAGGTAGTCTCCTAACAACGCCACCAACAGACTGAACGAAATATCGTGCGAAAGGGTCTTGTAGGTAACCCAAATCAACAGCGCTCATACGTGACACAGCAGCATCCGTATCTGTACCTTGAATAGTAGTATCATGGCTGAGGCCGGTAGAGTGTGAGTGACCCCCTCGTCCTCGGCCACGGCCACGGTGCCCTCCTCTTGAACCTCGGAGGGAGAGGAGATTTGGTATAGACGGGGCAGACATGTACAACAATTTATCGTCGCTACACCTAATGTTTAGATAATAGATAAAATTAGATGCAACAGATTGCCTCGGGTTTTGAGAACTTCTTGGTTGTGATGTAATAGCGCTAAAGGAGATTCCAGGATTAAAGAATCGGGCCCTTGTCGAATCAAACGCAATCCGCGGGTCTGGCTCTACTGTAACAGCCCCGCGCAGCAGATAAAATAGATTGGCTCGAATCGAATAGGTACGCGGCTTTTGGAAAAATTTGGGAAGCTAAGCGACGCGATAGGACATAAGGCGTACTATGTATATTGTACATATGTACCTTTACGGTTGTACATAGCTGTGCTAGGCGCACTTTAGTTGAGAAGTAGTGAGGCAGTGCAGAGCCTAATACCTTACGATCTGGGCGGCGGTTGCCTAGATCGTACTGTAAAGAATGCAAAAGTACCTGCACTACTTAGCGATAGGCACGTAAGCAATCCATTATGCTGCCGGCGTTCCGAAGGTAACAATCGTTATAAGCACTGTACGTTACCTACCTATTTCTGGTTACTGCAAGATACTGTAATGTTATTAAGCTACCCATTTTAGGACAATGCCCCTAGCACCCCGAGCCTCAAGGTAACAAATACTAACCCGGGACTCAATCATTTCTAACTGTGCGAATACTTATATATACTGTCGCCGCCTCATCCCGCCTTAAGATGCGGTTTTAGGACTTGCATCTCTCACTCAACTTGTCAAGGAGCTTTCAGCCCTTTATTCTTCGTTTCATACACTTCCCCCCCTTCGTATAGTTTCTACAATACTAGTTATTATCGCTCCTTTCTTTGAACCATCTTATATTTTATCAATTTTGTAGTTTTTATCTTTTCTATTGTCTGTTTTATTTCATCTGCTCAAAATACAAAGTACAGACAATCCAAAATGTATCGCGACATTGCGCACGCGGTTTACAAGCGGGGTGAATCCTCGATGGGAGGCTACGAGATGCCCGGTTGGGGCTGGGGTCTTATACTGCTCGATATCATAGTATTCTTGCCTTTATTTATGACGGTATGTCATCTGCAACACATCACTTGATAAGAGTCAACTCTGCTAACGTGTTTCATCAGGTCAATTACACCCTCCAACATGTGTTCCCTACACTCGCCATCGTTGAGGATCCGTCTCCTCCGGCTTACGAGCCCGTCTCTCTAAACGATGACGCCCAATCCCTCGCCGAAGAGAACGCCCCCGTTGCCGATGAAGCTGCTCGTGGTGGTTCCCAGGCCCGCCTCGTTACCTCGTCCGTCCGTTCAACCTACCGCACTCTAACTGCGATCAGCGGTTTCCGCTCTCTATTCCGTGGTCTTGCCTGCTACTTTGCCTTGACCTTCTCAAGCAGCGTCGTCTTCGGGATCCTATCTAGCACGTTTGTGCCTTCTCTCATTGCCGCTCCGATTTCTGCCGTGGCTCTCGTACAGGTCTACACAGCATGGACACATATCGTCATCTCCGCGCCAAGCTCCAAGACTTTCTGGCAGCGCCTGCCTCCCTTCAAGAAGGCCTTCCAGGCTACTGCGCTCCCAGTCGTCATGTTCTTCTTTGCCAAGGAGCTCTCTACATTTGTTCCGAAGATGCTTGCGTATGGCATGTCCATGAACTTACCCGACCCCAAGCAGCCCGGTGTTATTCCTGAGGGTGACAAGAACGACATCTGGAAGGCGGTCCTAGTTCTTCTCCTAGCTCTCGTCATGAACATCTTCCTCGTCATCCCTACCCAGGTTATCCTTACCCGAGTCCAGGCTTCCCTTCTTCCCGATGAGGATGACACCATCGTGCCTTTCGACCGTTCGTTCCAGGGCAAGGTGGAGCCTGCTATTGTTGGCGGCAAGGGTTTCGTTACGATTAAGGATGCGTGGCAGTCATTCCCTCGCGCGTCGTGGATCCGACTTGTCAAGCTTTACGTCAAGATCTTCGCAGCCGGCCTGGTCCTTGGCCTGCTCTGGATGGCAGTTGTCATTCCTGAGGTGCTGCTTATCATGAGCCGCAGCAAGAAGATCGAGTAAGTCGATTCAATTAGTTAAATAATTATATATGACGACTTCGCGACTCGCTTCGGCATTGATCTAGCTGGTCCTTCTGGCAGGTTTATACTTGCCAATTGTTAGTGGTTTAGGTATATGGTTGGTAGTTGGAGAGCTTGGGACCATGTTTTCGGGTAAAATAGGCAATGTATTGTATTATATACCATCCGTGAAGCTTGGGTAGTGAACTATGAGATAACGAAAAGAGTTGGTCATATCTTGGGTTCAGTCGAACCGTCCATACACCAGAACAGTATCTTTCCAATTACATTTTTTTCAATGAATTCAGTTTCTTTTATGAGGCTTGGGTTATAGTAGAGAAGATATGCTTTACTGGTCTAATATTCATGGCATTGGGTGGTACCTCGAGTGGGACATCGTGATCTTCCAAATCAACTAATACTCTTATATGGGCAATTCCGTATTAAATACCAAGTAAGGCGTTTTTATAGATAGTATAATCAGAGTGCGGTAAGGCTACATTACCTGATAACAGTCGAGATGATTAGTTTTCTAGATGTCCATTGAGGCCAAGCATCTTTTCACAGGTACTCGGTACCTTTTGCTAAGCGACTTCCAAGGTTGCCTTCCATGCTGAAGAGCTGCAAAATAATGATTGGCTAAAAGACCATCACGATCCACGCTAGCGAACCTACGTTTGGGCTATTTGATGCACAATGTCTATTTCGAACAATTGCTTAAAGCTTCAAAGCTCTGACGTATTTCGTACATAACGTAATAAATCAAATATTCATTGTCCGATAAACTTAAGCTATGACCATAGTAATTTAAGGTTTACATCGTCATTGTACTTGCTTTGTTTGTGTGGGACTCTGTGGCTGTTGCCTTAGTGAATTCTGCCGCTTTTACTGATTCTGAGGCAACTCTGACCGCCCTAAGAAATGTATAAATATCTGGCCTCCCCTCCAGTCTTCTAGGATTTCTTTTCTCTTTTCTTCTTCATACTTACCTTGTCCGAAGAGTCCTTGCTCAAGCATAAGGATTCTTAAGGGGAAAGACCTGCATTGCACATCGCGGAGTCGACCCTCTTCTATTATCCCTCGTGGATCGTAGTGGGCGCAATTTTTGTTCTCTTTCAAACATTTTGATTTTCGTTGTGATCGGTGCCTTGCTGCATCGCCATGAGGAAGATCCTATTCAAATATTTTCTAGTTTCGTATTGTACTCTAGAGGTAACTGTTTCGTTTCCCATTACTTCCTACCTGATGTACTTTACATATCGTTGTTAATCCAACTCAAATCGGTGACTCTATTTTCAGTATCCAAGATTTCAGCATAACCTCTTTTAACACATTAACATTTTCCACCACACTATCCATCTACATACCACAGTCTATGCCTCGTACACTATCATTATCTAAGGGTACCTAATATATTGGCCTCGTTCGCCTTGTGCTATTCCGATACGTTATTAGCTCGCTAGATTATCTCTAACACCGGTTGTGGTTTCTGCCTTTTTGAGTCCTCAATCCATTTCTCTATCCTCTCCGTACCGTATCTTAGCTCTATGATCAATAAGCTAAACTCATCGAGATCTTCAGGGTTTGTCTCGTAGAGCAGCTTCTCTGTCCGCTGTGTAGAGATGAGCACGGTATCAATTTCACGACAACCCTTAGACCAGGCATACGCCGATGTTGCATCCCACAAGCGGTTATGCATCGTGTTGGGTACGCGTCCCGGACACTCGCTCCACCCACGCTTCATGTAGAGATATGTCTCTTGAAGGTAGTTAGCGACGAGCCACGTGCGTCGTGTGCTCTCAACCAGGATCCAGGCCTTCCAGAGGACGGCATCCTCGGAATTAGCTACGATAGGATAGGATGCTGCAATATTAGCGAGGAAGCGTGCCGGCTGCGTTAAGCTGTTCTTTGTACTGTCGAGAAGCTGTTGCGTCCAGAGGAAGAGAGTGGGAATCAACGCCTCGGCTTGAGCTCTCATGCGTATATCGCCATCAAGAAGTCGAATAGTCTGGTATGTTAGTAGCGACTGGACCCGACATATGTGATCAAATGTGCCCATTCCCTCACCCGCCCTTAGCGAGGCCTCGAAGGTTTGATCCTCCAGCAATTGCGTAACGCGGTCCTCTAGCACGCGGGCTATCGTAGCCCTCGTGTTAGCATTGCTGCACGTTGTCATATGATATAGAGCAATAGTTGAATGCGCGTCTTGTACACACCGCGGCATTTTCTCACGGTACAGCTGGTGGTGATGCAGGGGGCTGCCGCCGTCCGTCACCCACCGCCGCAGCCAATCCTGAACGCTGTCGATGAAACGTTGGAGCATGCGATCCTGGGTAAGCACAGGCTGTTCAAGCGGAGATGAAGAAAGATCTGTGACCCATGACTCTGGCGCTAGGAACCATAGACCTGCTGAAACGTCTGGACTATTGCCTATTGAAGGCTGTGAATGGTATGTTGCTGCTCGGGAAATCAGATCTTCAACTAAGTCGGATTGCGTCAGCTGTAGCGGATAGAAGTTTATGCCATCGTTCCCTATCTGGTTGATATCATGACAAATCATAGGAAGCGGGTTTGCGGAGTCCCCGGTAGTTGCGGAAGGTATTGCGGCGGCCGCACCCGCATCTACGTGGATGTTGTTACTTTGTCGGGCCGGTGGATATACGCAAGGGATCCCTTTAGTTGCACAACGCCGGCACGCCGGTACGGCTTTAGTACATTGCCGTTTGGATTTAGTGCAGCCGACACAAGCTCTTCGCCAGATAGAAGCCATAGTTAGTTGAATAGCAATTCTCTCATTAACAACTTTTCCCGTTCAAACCCATATATGTTAAATCAAAAGGTCCCCCCCCCCCCCGAACGTCTCACATAAGTATGATAATAAATCCAAGAAATCCAAGAAGGCTTCAGCTTCATTTGTCAGCCCGTAGCGGCGGAGAAATGTGGGTACAGTTACCATGTACGGAAAGATATCACGGACTTTAGCCAATAGAAGCTGCGGAAAATAGGGGGCTTCCCTTCCGCAACTGCATTATTCCCACGAGGTGAACTGCGGAACGGACAGTACTGACCCCGAGATCCAGTCAGCTTTGAAGGGATATTCAATGTAGCATTCCGCATAACGATGACATTGAACAATGTGACTCAACTCGGTCGGTAGTGTGTAAGTGGTGTTATTGAATTCAAAATATGTGTATATATAATAAGGTCGCGTCCCTCATATTCATTCCTTACTTACATCTCAACATTCAAGCCATTATCAGAGCAAGTCGAAATATAATAAAGTCTTATATAATTCCTTCACTAAACAAAGATCAAACATATATATTTTTGCACTATCTAAATACAAGTTCACAGTGGTGAATATGGATTCCTTTATCAAGAAACTGACCAAGACTTACCATAGGACTGTCTACCCAACTGTCACTCCCACCCGCCCCGAACTCTCTCAGGCAGGAAAAACAGTTTTGATCACAGGCGGTTCGACGGGTATCGGGTACCACGTTGCGAAGTCCTTCGTACAAGCTAAGGCAGATAAAGTCATCATCCTCGGCCGACGGCTAGACAAAGTCAAGGCCGCCGGCGAATCTCTATCCGCAGAGAGCCAGGGCACTAAGGTGGTCGCTATCCCGTGTGATGTTGGTAGTCCTACAGCCGTCGCCGAGCTCTGGGGTCGCTTTGCCGGCGAGGGCACGCGCATCGATGTCCTAGTGCTCAATGCGGCGAACATGGGCATCGTAAAGCCTCTGATGGAACAAGGCTTGGCGGGCGTCTGGGAAGCATATGACTTCAATGTGCGTGCGCAGTTTGACATGACGGAACGATTCTATAAACAGGAGCTAGCTACCGGTATTAAAAAGGTAAGACAAATACCTATATATACCTCCCAAACCGGGTTTAAAGGAGTACATCACGTTAACTTCAAGGGGGAAAATAGTATCTTATCCACGTGTCGACTGGCGCGGTCCATAACTTCGACGCCACGGCGGCAATGCCGACTTACTCCATGACCAAGCATGCAGGCGCGCTTACATTCCAACTCATAGCACAGGATATTCCTTCGGAGGATATGCAGGTCATCATTTTCCACCCTGGCGCCATCCTCACCGAGGCCGGGGAGAGGGTAGGCTATACTAAGGATTCCCTGCCTTGGGAAGACGGTATGTCATCCTCAAACATATACTGACCCCTTCTCCTTCCCCTCCCCCCTACTCAGAACGTCACCAACGATATAAGATGGACGACTGGACCGATATAACTAACCTGATATATTACAGCCTCGCTTCCAGGGGGGTTCGCCGTCTGGGCGGCCACTCCCGAAGCTGAGTTTATCCACGGCCGATTCGTATGGGCCGGATGGGACGTCGACGAGCTTAAGACTGGGGAGCTAGGGAAGCGTCTCAAGGAAGACCGATACTTCTTGAAGTTTAACGTAAATGGTATCTAAGGGAGACAAGAATGAACGAAAGGAGAATCAATTTTGTATTTTTATGACAGAATCTCAGTTCAGTTAGAATTAGCTATTTCTTTTTTTCAAGGCCATAAAAAATTCAGTTGGATCAAACCCGCGTGGAACTTTCTCTATGTCCTTTGCTAATAATATCTTGCTGATGTATTACGCGCTTACTACCCCTATACTATAGGGGCTAGTCATGTGTCGTATACATCTGATCTTTGCAGAGTTGTCCGAACTAAGAAATGAAACCAACTACGATATGAGTAGAATCAATATGTAAAACTATATGTCATAATACGTAATCTAAACATTGAATTATACATTAGCGATCTTGTCCAGAGCGCACTATATGCACATCACCATCCATCCAAAATCGTAGCATAGACTTGCATCCCTTTAACCGGCCTAGCAGTGATGCCGCCTCTGATTTCTACATTCCTCTCGTCCTCTTCTTCCTTATTCTTCAGCGAGAACTCAAAACGACCGACCCAAGACGCCAACAGGCAAGCGAACTCAGCCTTTGCGAAGGAGAGACCGATGCAGCTCCTAGGCCCGTGGAGGAACGACAGGAAAGCATAATTGCTCGTAGCACCACCACTGGCAGCTCTCTTGTCATCGGGACCCTTTGGCACCCACCGCTCCGGGTTGAACTCATGCGCATCGGGTCCCCACATGCTTTTATCGAAGTTAGTTGCCCACGGTGATATAACAATCATAGTTCCCTTAGGCACTTTTTGCCCTGCAAGCACAGTGTCTACGGCGGCCTCGCGAATCGTAAGCGGTACCGGAGAGTAGTAGCGCAAGACTTCGTTGCAGACGGCGTTTAGGTAAGGCATGTGGTCGATATCGAGACTGGTGACTTCTCGGTCCGAGTCGATCGGCGGTAGTTTCTCGCGGATTTCAGCACGGAGCCGCTTTTGGATATCCGGATATTTAGAAAGCATGTATATACCCCACGTCATCGCAGTGGCTGTAGTTTCGTGGCCAGCGGCTAGGAAAGTCATCAACTGGTCGACAAGATTCTCTTCCGTAAAACCACCAGACTCCAAGGCAACAGAAAGTATGTCGCGTTCCTTGAGCTCGTTACGTACTAACTTCTCCTTTTTCTCTCGAATTAAATCCCGACATATACTTCTGATTTTTCTTGATGCTGCGTATACATTGGTGTTGCGTTGGATAGGAAGCTTAGACAATACCCATTCTGGAATGAATAGTGCTAGAAGAGAGAGAATTTGACCTTGTCTGGAAACCTTGAACACACTTCGATACGTCTGATTGAGTTCGTTTTCTGGATCCTGGATTGCACCAAAGTCTCTTCCGAGTCCTGAAGCTCCAATAATGTCTAGGGTCACGCGAGATCCCCAAACACTAACGTCTAAGACTCCTGTCTTTTTAGCCTTCTCGGGGTCTGCTATAGACGTCTCTTTCTGCGCATCAGCGATAATGCTGTTTGTCATAGCCTGAACACATTCCCGACCCTTTTTCCAGAAGCTTGGGTAAAGCTCCTTGACGTGCCGGAATGCAAAGGCCGGCAGGAGGTTTCTACGTTGAAACTTGTGCTCGTCGCCCTCTGCCAGAAGTATACCTACGCCTAGAAGACGACTGAGTCCAAATCGAACATTGGATGGCTTCTGGAAATCATAGCTTCGCGCTACTAAGAGGTCTGCTAGGGCCTTTGGCCCTGTCACGAGGAGACGTTCTGAATTGAAAAGGAAACGATACCGGATGATACCATCGTTTGGAATATTGGTAGCCCTTAATAACACATTAGCGGAATAGCGTAAGAAACCAATTGCATATATACATACCACTCTCTCATAGGTATACCCGTTGGCTTTTCTCTTATGTCTTTAAAGTGCCCGTTGATCCAAGAGCCGCCTGTCGGTCCTGGAAGGTGGCGTAGCGGGGAAAAGTAAAAAGGGTACAGGAATATATTCCAAATACCCACCAAGAAAGACTGTAAAATCCATGTAGCGACGAAAGTGTTAATGAATTGTAATATACTCCACGGTGGCCGACGAGATGTAATAAAGTAAGTTGAAATAAGAGATATAGCAGCGACAACTCTCCAGGGGAACGCCATCTTAGATATTGCGTATAATTAGAAATAGCGTAGTTGATATTGAGATGACTGATCCTCGAAAAGTATAGAGTGCAACGATGTATATAAAGACGAACGTGACCTCAGGTCGCAGGTCTTATTAGATGGTCGGATCAGGGGCGAGCCGAACCAAAAGCCATGCACTATCGAAGCCGATCCTACGAACGTCCAAACGGCGGCTGGAAAAATAAATTGTATTGGACGACGGGTTAAATAATAATAACAATAACTTGGTACCGCCGGCTTATATTTTGAAAATGTCGTACGAAAATCCTAGGTTAGTACTGACTAATAGGCCCTGAGTAAGTTGATTTCGTAGTTGACCGAAGAGCGTGTGGCTGATTAAATAGTTAAGACTTGCCCCCCCAGCTATAAGGATTTGAAGTCTATGCCGCCGGCAAAGCAATAGGAGTGCGGAGATTATAGAAATGACCGTGTTACCTAGTATAGCTGTCGTGACCTCGTAACCTGAAGTGGAAAGTATCAAAAATGTCCGGAGCCGTGGAGTGGAGGTCTTCTTTATTTAACGTCAAGACTTGATTACTGTAGCCTGTAAGCCCTTTACTGCGGTAAGGATGGAGATCTTAGATGATCTGGTGAAAACGGGGTGAAGCGAAACCGAGACTGGTCGGCCCACCGACTAGAACTTGAAACTGCGGGTAAAGCTGCAGGGATTCTTTAAATTCTACATGATGTTTTACAGAACAAGTTGGACAAAAAAACGTATGGGAACTTTTGATAATTGTCTGCCTGGAATTATTCTCAAAGGGGACGCGTAAGGTGCTTCATCATCTTCTGACTTGTGTGGTACCGCTTAATTAACATGCTAAAGACGAACGAGTCCTCTCACGAGTCGGGCAAATTCTTCTCTAGTCTACCAATACGCACCCGGAGACATTTGAGTAGATTTGAGTGATTAAGAGACCGGAGAAAGCTTGAAACCTTGATAGATGGTACATGTAGATGGCTACCGTAGGTTCTAGGTACTGTCATGATGACTTGAATACTTTATTAGGCTAGGCAGCCGAGGTACATTAGAAAAGCTTCCACATAGGGCTTCTTAGTCGGTTGCTACGGGGAGAATGATATGCGGATAGGCCGACCCGGAGTAATTGAAGACGAAGTCCATTCTCTATTCGGATAGATTCTACGGTGTCATTTGCCATATGGCTAACTAAACCCTCTATGCCCCGCCGACTCCGATATGTCGGTAAAGGTGTTCGGAGATGGGAATTATTACGATTGGATAACCGTTTATAGATATCCGGATAACTACCACTTGTTATGTATATTTACGTAGGAGGATTAGGGTAGGATTCTAATAACTTATGACATTCAAATAATACTACCAACTTGGCAACTTATACTAGCTAAAGAAATCAACAGGGATCTATCAAATACCAATTATTAACGATTTTATTGGCTCATCATCATCATCTCAGTATATGTAGATTCTCCATACAAAAAGTTACAAAGAGTATCTAGAGTATTGAACAAACAACAAGCTGACATAGCACTAGAATATCAACGTTATCAGCGTAATGCTATACTCTATAACCATCTAAATTACATTTTCATGTTTGCAATACTCTAGACGGCCGAGACAACGGCTACCGGCATTAGATCGTATGCATCTAACCGTGACGATATATAGAGGAATATATTTTCTCTAAGCCTATTGGGCGAGATGATAGATGGCAGACGGCATAATTAGGGGCGCAAGCCACTGACAAACATTCATGCGGAAAGCTCGTCATCGCACTAACGCACACAGCAGCTTTATGTAGGTTAGATACATTATCACATTGTGTAGGTAACATACGTAGCAAACTATCAATTTTGCAAGTACCTAGACGTCTTCACGATACTTCAAGTACTACCTAGGTATACCTTACAACTCTTTAACTTGTGGACAAGGATGTCGTCTCCAATAGCCAAGATCGGCTTAATTTCCATCGGAGACATGGGCGTCGGCATCGCCAAGCTGCTTGTCGCCAATGGATTCTCGGTAGCGACCAACATCAAAGGTCGAAGGTCAGTTACCCTTACCGCTCCCCTTCACCCCCACCCCCTTCCCCCCTCCCTACCAAGCCAGCCTCATACTTAAAAATATATTACAACAGTAACGACACCCTCAACCGAGCCAAGAGCGCACAGGTCGAGCTTCTCAACTCAGACAAGGCCCTAACCCAGCAATGCTCCGTGATCCTATCCGTCGTGCCCCCCCGCGACGCCGTCGCCACCGCGCAACGCATCGTAGACGCCGTCTCGGGCCCCCTGCGCCGCGCCGAAGATAACCCGCTGTACTTCGCAGACTTGAACGCCGTAGCACCGTCCAGCGTAAAGCGCGTAGCCGCCTTATTTGACCAGCGGCTCTCCGTGCGCTTCATCGACGGGTCCATCCTCGGCTCGCCACCCGCACTCAAGAGCGGCGATAGCAGCGCAGAATGGCGGGTTCCCCGGATCCCAACGTCCGGCCCGCACCAGCTCTCCGAGATCCCAGGCTTCGGAGCCAAGCTTGCGGCGACGCTTAACACGCGCCACATCTCGCCCGAGATCGGCGCCGCGAGTGGGCTGAAGATGTGCTTCGCGAGCTTCAGCAAGGGCTTTACGTCGCTCGCCATCCAGGCCTTCACCACGGCGCATCGGCTAGGCGTGCTATCCGATCTGCAAGGGGAGCTGCAAGAAGTGCTGCCTTGGCACTACGAGCTAGCGGAGAAGGGGGTAATAGGCATGGCGCCGAAGGCGTACCGCTGGGTAACCGAGATGGAGGAGATCGCGCACACGCTATCCGAAGAAGGCGGGTTCGCGCCAGACTCATTCCTCGGTGCGGCGAAGGTATATCGTACTGTGGCGGATGATACCGTGTTAGGACAGGAGAAAATTGGGAAGCGGAAGAGGGGCACGACGGTGGAGGATGTGGCGGCGGCGGTGGCGGAAGGGTTGCAGACGAAGAGGAAGAAGGACGATTAAGGGACGTGGGAAGATACGCGTGATGATATTTACTAAGGGTTATGCTACAGCTTAGAGTTACAACTTGGAGAGCCAAACATTCCTACTTTAGGTAGGCGAACAATTTAGGGATACAATAAGAAAGCCCTATAAGAACACCAATAGAAATAAAGAGGACAAAATCACAATGGTTATGGCGAAGTACATTATATAACCCGAAACGCAAAACACTCTCATTTCTCTAGCCGGTTGGAATAAGCCATAGCATGTATACAAATATGAGGGATGTTTGAGGAGCCGATTATTCGATCATATCCACATCATCAATGGCCGAGACAATGGCGCCAGCCGTTTCGGCTGCTGGAGCTGTGTCGTTACCGCCGCTCGGGTTGAAATAATCAGCCATTTCGGCATCAAGCTCCTCCTGTGTCTTCTTTGGGCGCCCATTTCGACCAACCCGCTCTCGCCCATTTGGTGTACCGCCACCTTCACGTCCTTCACGACCCTCACGTCCGTCACGACCGTCGCGACCTTCTCGTCCTTCACGTCGTGCTCCAGGTCGTCTCCCACCGCCGCCGCCACGTCGGCGAGGGAGAGGGCTACGTGATCGACTACCACCACCTGGCACGTAGCGATCGACACCTCGGTCTCTCTCAGAATACCGTCTAGGAGAGAGAGAGCGTGGGCGGGTAATACGCTCGGCCAATGATCGACCAGGCATGTGCGCAGTGTCGAAGGGGTTGCGCCGGGGTGCTGAAGCCAAGACTGACAAACGGATGGGCTGACCTATACGATATTGGTCAATTTTCAATAATTTTTTTTTTACCGGGGGGACAATGTTCTTCTTACCCTTGGCATTGGCATTATCGTACTGCTTAATTGCCTCCATCGCATCGTCGCGATTCTCGTACGTGATAAAGGCTGTGCCCTCGGAGCGTCCAGCACGGTCGTACAACAGCTCTAGCTTGACTACTGGACCGATCTTGTTAAATAACCCCTAAAACCACGTTAATATAACCCTCCAATTAAGCCATAGTCATAGTATCTCCCTTACGTCGAGATCGTCTTCGGTGAGCTCGTAGTGCAAATTCTCTACCTTGACCTTGGTTCCGCGAGTCTCCCTAGCATTGGTATTAGAATATTGCCCTTTTTTTTAACGTAAGGGCTTACACTAACTGGAATCGATCTGGAGAACGTCGTCTCGGGTGTCGCGGGCGATTACGAGCTGAGAAATCGTTAATCCTCGTGGTTCGACGTTTGGGTTGAGAACTCGACTTACAGCTAGGATCATCGAATTTATCGTGAACCCACTCCCTGTGTGTATGTTAGTGTTTATCGCCTATGTGTGAAATATAGAGTATTATACTTACGAATCCAAGTTTCTCGAATCATCTCTGGTTGACTGTCTCGTAGAACGAGATTGCTAGTTAGCTGCTGTCATTGAACGAATATACCATCACCGATCGAAGACCGTGACATCAAGCGCAAGTCGATTACATTGCGGAAAGCTCGAGATAGGAAGGTAGGTGGTCGAGAAGGGAGAGGAAGAAGAATCCACCTATAATAGAATACTGGTTAGCTTAATAGATATTTTATATGTATATGTTTGGTATATTACCTTTCTTACGCCGTCGCGGGGATAAGAGTCGCGCTCTCGAGGCCGGCCTCCACCACCTCTACGAGGTTTAGAGCCTCGTTTTCTGTGCTGCACTTGAAGTTAGCGCGCTAGACTTAATTATAATTCATGGCATTGATGAATATAGAATATAGCATTAATTTCATTCGTACCTGAGACTCAGCAACGATCTCATCGAGACTGCGATCCATTGTAATGTTGTTGTAAAAATGGATGTTTTGGTAGATGTCAGCGATAAATTAGACGCGGCTTTGCACTGAAGAATGTAGGAAGTCTATAAGTCCATAAGGTAAGTACGTGTTAGGTCGTACAGTGTTGTAGCGCTAGAGCTTTGACGTTATTTTCTTACCGATAAGTGAGCTGGTGAGAAGCTAAGGTGGATAAGCTGCATACGTCTAGCCTAATTGAGAAATAAATGACTACGTGTATTAGGCACTGTATGGATACTGTACGTCACCGCCAAATAGGGGCAAACTTTTACGAACTTTACAACTTTTACAACTTTTTGGTAGGCCTACAAAGTACCTAACATTTCTGAATTTCTGCATGCTCTCAGGATAGCTTCCAATTGGCTTATCGTAACAATACTCCAGTCCTTGAAACTATGCACACATGTTGTACAATATCATTATCCTTCTCTTCAATTGTATTAATTTAGCTTAGGTACTTCCTTTAATTGCTACCAAAGCTTTTTTGTTCATAAGAGAAAAGAAGCTCGTGGAAGGTCGACTTTTGTGGTGAATGATTGAGGCTGCTCGGTAGTTTCGTTCGCATGAGAGAAATTAGTAGCCTTTAAGAAAAGTCCAGTCTTCGATACTACTCCGAAGTGACCGTCAATGATATCGACCTTATCGGATAAGCTAGCGGAATCGGGTTCTTGGTCGCTATTTTGAACTACGCCGATGACCGTTGTTGGTGCAATCTTCTGGCTTAGCTCAATTTCGTTCTTCGTCCAATGCGGTTCGATGCAGAACATGAGATATGAACCCGGTGTTACAAGGCCCTCAGATGGGTTAGGATTATTACGTTCATGGAATGCTCTTATGAACATCTCAACATCATCCTGATCTGGTAATGAATAGTTTGTTTCTGGATCGAGCGAGAGTAGTCCTTGTTTGAGGCCCCAGCCTCCTCCTCCACTAACTGTGTATTCGTTAGCTTGATTGTTCATTCTTAGATAAATTCGTCACGTACGAATTTTATGCAATCGGCATCCAGAAGATAGTAGCTCAGAAAACACATTCATAACCTCGAGCGATAATTCCGCTTCCGACTGAGATGATTTAGCTTCGAAGACTTTTAGGCCAAGGAGGTTATGCTTTTCCACAACATCCGGAGGTATGACCCAACACCATACTCCAATAGGTCCGGGTAAGTATGATATGTCCCGTTCAGATCTCGTGTCGAAAACTTTCGGTATTAGAGCTTCTAACTCTTTTGACGCCGGTGTTGTAGTACCGTTGACTTCGACCTGTCGAACGATATTACCTAACCCAGCAACAATCTTTCGAGGGGGAGTCAACGGTAACAAAGGTAAGATGGGCTTTATATGACCCTCCGAAGAAACACGGAGACATATTCTTTGATGTTGTTTCTCTTCTATATCAGTACGCCCCATAGAACCCTCCTCATCACGCTGCCATCTGCTTGCAAATAAGGTGGATCGTCTCCCATTTTGGAAAATCGTATTTGCTAGCGGTAATGCGATCTCGAGCGGCCTGGTATCCTTAGGTAGGGGATCTGATAGGAACGACACGGAAGACTCTCTATCCTGGCCGATATTTGATCCAACATCGTCGGTAGACCATATGCCAGGGAGAATGTCGTTCGAGCCATATAATATCGAGAGACCTGTCCGAGGCTCGCTGAATAGTCGTCCTGGAGTAAGTCCGTCGGTTACTGCACACAAAACATTGATGGGGATTGGGTTATCCTGCATGCCAATCGTCGACTTAAAGAGACCTCCAAGCACGCTGCGTACAAAGTTCTCATCTTCCAACCAGGTTGCGAAATCGCGAGAAGCAAAAATAGCTGCCCCATAACCGAAGTTTTCTGCACTCCGTATACTTGTAGACACCTTAGGCGAACTTACAGAATGGCTATTCAATCTATCTATGGCCGTTTGCTATGTATGTGTCAGTAAAACTCTATAGTTTTAGGATATATCAAACTGACTTTTGTAACCTTTCTCGATAACGTGAGACTAATCTTTTCAACGTTACAAGGTTGACTTCCAAAGCTTCGTTTATATAAACCATGGTACCTAGTTGTAAGACGGTAGTTAAGTATACGAGGCCGCATATTGTTGAGATTCCCTGATCATCGCACTTGACTGTCTCTTTAGCTGATATATGAGAGCTATTATGTACCTAGGTTAGGTTGGACTCTGAACGATTGTATTATGTATTCCCACTGTCCCGGGGTTTTGCATTGACCAATCACATCCAATTGTAACTTATTAACTTATCCATAAGTTGTGGCTGATACGTTATAGAGAAAGTACCTCTTGTCTCTAACCTACATATATCTCATGATTCATCATACATACCTAAGGTAAAGAAACTAAAAAGTCGCCAATGATTTTCTAGGAATGCAGCATTCCTTGTTAAATGATAATCGTCGGACATTACCACATACGTATCTACGTTTGAAGGATTTCCCGTTGGTAATACGTTGTGGCGCTGCTTTTATCAAGACAAAAAAAAGGAGGAAAAAAGAATAAACTTCAGCTGCGTTTCTACGATCCCCACTACCTATTATCCTATTATCCAATTAGGATCCAATTAGAGTCTAATTAGGGTGTCGTGGTCCCTTACACTGCGCCTATGGCAAATACCTACGGACTGACACTTAGCTTAAGCAATGACCCTACATAAATATTGATGCGCCTCGACGGCGTCGGCGCATCTTATCTAGGTAGCTCTACAATCGTCTTTTTTGGAACCCCATTAATTCAATTTTATAATTCAATGACAGACTTAACTATTCGTAACCTCACAATCACTCCGTTAGAGCTTAAGCTCGTGGAGCGGTTTGAAGGACAACCCTCATCCGGTCGTCATACCCCCGTCGGTAACATCACGAGCAAGATTACTGGTATTTTCAACTCTACATCTATTGCGTCTCATGTCCGCATCCAGGGCGAGGCTAAGGACCGCCGTGATGTTTCTATCCTTATCGGACGCTTTGAGACCCGGATTACGGATGTTCGCGCGGCTGATCCGGGCCGAGAAGTCATTCGCTTGACTTTCGAGTCTGAAGGGCACCGATATCAAGTAGACGTGCCGAGTGCTTCACAGCGCAGCACGGTCATGACGAGGCTAGATGGTGCCCCCAACGAATACACAATTGTCTACGTACAGGCCGGTAGTTGTCTTGCCATATTCAGTTCTGCTAATCTCTCGAGTTGGATGCGAGAGCTGCGCGACGAATACCCTTTATCGGCTCTGTCTATACCGGGTACACATAACAGTCCGACTTGTCACGTCGCACTGCCTTCAGTTAGATGCCAAGCGGTCAACGTGCGTGAACAGCTGGAGAACGGTGTGCGGTTCTTCGATATCCGCGTAAACGTCAGCACAGGTTCTTCGGAACTGACACTTGTGCATAGCGCGTTCCCTATCTCACTAACGGGAAACAAATACTTCAAGGATATGCTGGATGTTATTTACTCCTTCTTAGACGCTAATCCGTCTGAGGCCCTTATTATGAGTGTGAAACGTGAAGGTACTGGTAAAGGCACCGACCAGCAGCTGTCCAAGATCCTCAAGGAGCGCTTCTATGAGGATGGAAAACGATGGTACACGGAACCACGTATTCCAAAGATTAGCGAAGTACGAGGTAAAATTGTGCTACTTAGGCGGCACCATAACGACCCAAGCCTGAATGGCGAATGGGGAGGTCGAGGATGGGCACTCGATGGTAGTGTCTGGCCGGACAACTGTGAAAATGGACTGCTCGGAAGTGGCATTGCTCGTATACAAGATTTCTACGAGATTGACCAGAATAAAAACATTCAAACGAAAATTGAGTTTGCGCGAGAGCATCTCGAACGCGCAGCTGAACCAGTATACCCCCTCCCAGGACGGGAAGGCTATGAGGAGAACGCACCGGCTCAGCCCTTCTATGTGAATTTCTTAAGTGCCAGCAATTTCTTCAATACTAACTGTTGGCCCGAGAAGATTGCGGCCAAGGCAAACCCAGCCATCATCGAGTATCTATGTTTACGACACGGGGCTGATGGCAAGGGGCCGAAAGGCCTGAAGGTGGGTGACGGGAGCACTGGTGTGGTCGTTACGGATTGGGTTGGCCAAGATGGCGACTGGGATCTTATAAGATGTATTGTCGGTTGGAATGCAAGATTGCAGTTAAAGCAATAGTCTTTAGTCTCAACTATATCCTTCAGTGGCTTTCTTGAGTTTGATAACTGATGTGTCTTGAAAGCCCAATCCTAACTTAGAGAAAATACCTAGTTATATACAGATAGAATAGAATAGAATAGACTGGGGTATTAATTACTCGAATAGCTTATAAATATCTCAACCACTTATAAATATTAAAATATACGCCATGTTATGTCGATAATACCTAATACTATAAGGTAAATAGCTTACCTAATATACGTAGTATAAATGAAATCGTCTAATAACGAACCTTCTTTTCCTTTCTTCTTTTAACATTTGAGTTAAAACGTCCGAAGTAATAAATTAACAATTAACAACCATTTTCTTTACATTAGTTTGGTCCGAAATAAAACGAAAAGGATAACTCTTATCGTCAAACCGATATACGTCATTTTATATTAGATGATATGAAATATGAGCCGAAAAGCTGTAGGATAATTACTGAGAGAAAGCTTGTGATGTTCTGTTTGCTTGAATTTCTGTCGTGTTACAGCCCTAGAGAAGTATTTCGGAGGTTCCGGCCAATACTTTTGCACATGCTAGCGTGATACGTCATATTGATACTTATAATGATGAGCTGTAAGTTAAGCCCCACTGCAACTAAAATTACCTACAGCTACCTACCATGTACCGTAATTCGTACAAACAATTCAGCTCCCAGTGCACTGGGTCCGTCTTCAGTTACCTGAGTTTTTCTGGACGGATTCCTCCGCCGTCTTACTTCATTTTTTTTTTTGGACTGAGACATTATCATGTAGAAGAGACTACCGATATTCTTTTTTCGGAACGTTTTGCTATGGCGGCCATCAAATTCTAACTCGGCCCGTTTTGTTTTATATTATCGTCAACCCCGTCGCATTCTATCGCATTCTACCGCGTCCCGAGGCTACCGAGGTTCGTCTATTATTACATACCAGCTACATCCTAGGCTGCCTACTATTTTATGTATATACCCACTTCCTGACACGGTAGACTTTGCGCCAACATAAGACAACGTAAACCTAATATATTACTAGCAAACGGAGACGATTCCCTTAGGACAAGACGATTTCCTTAGGAAAACTCTAAGTAAAACCCACAATACAGAATAGAATTTGACTCTAAAGTGACGATACACAAACCGCCTTTGGCATTTCTACTTGCCCACATAGAGGTATGTCTATCTTGAGTTTAGTTAACGACGGGAGCCATACTCGGACGTTATATATCATCAGTCATGGCGGATAGCAAGCCTGAAAGCTCTCGGCCTCAGGAGTCTCACAGCAGCCCTCGCAGCTCTAAGCTGCCGCGCCTGGGGCAGAGGCGCCATCAAGATCAAACTCAAACAGCAGATTCTGATTCTAAGCCAGGTTACGAGAGAAATAACCCAACAAACGGACCTACGCACGACATTAAATCTGTATACAGTAAAGAGCGGAAACCTAGAAGAATTTCTGCTTCATCGAGCATTGTATGTCTGCTCCTACCGTTGGGTATACTATCGAGAGCAAATATTGATCGAAATTCCTACCCTCTTAGCCGATCCACGATTGCCTTAACTTCCCCAGTCCTCGTACTCCACCTCGCACGACCAAGACTATAACCGGCGGAGTCCACACATCCCGTGTAACCAGCGACAGTACCCCTCACCCATTTTCTTTAGGCAATTCGAGCTCTTCATATAAGGATTCACTCAGCGCCGCTCGAGCTGTCTTGCCTGGTCCAAGTCCTACTACATCTCATATTCCTAGGGCCCTCGCTTCTCAGGCAAGCCCGCCACACCGGGTCTCGAGACGTAAATATCCCAAAGCGAGAGATATTCCTAAGATGGACAACACTTTAAAGAAAGAAAGGTCTACCAACGGGAGGGCTAGCACGAAGGACGACGCCCCGGGAGCCGAGCCGACCAGGCTGGAACCTCAGAAAGCAAATAGCGAAGAAGAGGCGCAATCCGACGATAGAGACGAGTCTGGAGAGAAATATGGTTCTTCAGGTCTTGATAGGAGTGTTTATTCCACGGAAGAAGGTTACGAAACCCCAGTGAATGGCTTAGAAACTACCGCAGATGGGGATAAGACAGATGAAGCTAGTTACGCTTCTGCTCTTAAACTTGGTTTGAATGGACAAGACACAGACATTGTACCATATGGGCGTGGTCTTAACTCGCAAGATGACGATGATTCCTATCCTGAGCTGGATGATCTAACAATGGACGAAATTTATTCGCCGCCAAGGCCAAGTCCTAACGGAGGGATCCGGTGGGCTCCGTGGAATGTTCCATGGAAACGCAGAATGCAGACACTTGTTGTGCTTATGCACTGCATGTGTATCGCCATAACGGTTTCCATCTTCTTCGCGCTGTGTGCCAATCCCTTTGCTTGGCCATTGTTGCTTGTATACCTTCTACATGTGTTGAGCTCGAAGGCTGCTACGGATGGATCGTTGAGATACCGATCCGAATGGTTTCGCAAAAGCTACATGTGGCATCTCTTCGCGGGCTACTTCCCAGCCAAGCTTCATAAAACTCACGACCTGCCACCCACTCGGAAGTATATCTTCGGTTACCACCCGCATGGTATTATCTCACATGGTGCGATGGCGGCTTTTGGCACTGAGGCACTAGGCTTCTCTAAGAAATTTCCCGGCATCACGAACAGTGTTCTGACTTTGGACTCGAACTTCCGCATTCCACTGTATCGCGAGTATATACTAGCTTTAGGGTTACGATCAGTTTCGAAAGAATCCATTGTCAATATCTTGACAAAAGGCGGACCGAATGGAGAGGGCATGGGCCGCGCCGTCACTATTGTTATCGGTGGCGCTCGTGAGTCTCTTGAAGCGCAACCAGGTCAGATGCGTTTGATTTTGAAAGAACGCAAGGGTTTCGTCAGAATTGCTGTTAGAACCGGCGCGGATCTAGTACCCGTGCTCGCATTTGGTGAGAACAACCTATACGACCAACTACATCCTAAGGAGCACCCACTCGTACACAAACTGCAAATGTTTGTCCTAAAGGTGTGGAAATTCACCCTACCATTCCTACACGGGCGAGGTATTTTCAATTATGATGTAGGTTTGATGCCGTACCGCCGCCCGTTGAACGTGGTGGTCGGAGCTCCGATCAAAGTTACGCAGTCGGCCGTCGTGGACCAGGCGGAGGTCGACCGATTGCATGACCAGTACATTACCGAGCTAGAGAAGCTGTGGGATCAATATAAGGACAAGTTTGCTCCCGACAGGAAGGAAGAGATGCAAATATTATCCTAGAACAGCCTCACTATACTTCCATAGGACTTTTCTTTTTATTTAGTTCCCTTTGTATTACATGTATGGTTAAAACAAAGGCGTATAGGGTTACTCGTCGAGTAAAACTCGGGAAGGTGGGCAGAGGATAAGCATCATTGCTTTTTGGGAGATTCGCTGTACTTCTACCTAAACTATTATATCACTTAAAATAGTGTTGTCTAGTTCTAGTTCTTCACTATGTGAGGGGACTAAGAATAATAGATTAGGATTCTTATACTTGTTTAAGTTAGATATTCCGTGCTGTATTAACTTAGGTACGCTAAGACCATATAATTTAAAATAGTTTACATACTAATAGAATATGTTTGTATCATACGAATATTCGCTAAATCCTACCTATGTATGACAGGTGTGACAATGGCACGTAAGGGCGTCTCGAGGTTGCGTCGGGAGTCATCGACGTATGCAAGTTAGGAGGTCACAATTTCAAGTTGGAGATCAATTACCTTATTTTTCTAGAATATCATGGGGGGTGTGCATGAGCATCGCGATGTTCATAGTCTAATAGTAGTCAAATAGTCTAAGATCTTAAGCGTAGATGAGGAGTAGGATGAGATCAAGATCGCGGGTGCCCTTTTAAGTTGGAATCGCCACTCGGATTGGAGGTTTACATAACCCCGGATTTGCTCGGCGCCCCACATACCCGTGCATAAGATGTCAGTCCCCATAATTCTAACGGTGAGAGTCAATTACATGGGGTCGAAGCAATGTTAGCTTTTTGTATGTAGTCATGTAATGTTTACTTGGCGTTCCGACGTGGCGCCAGGGGAAATTGATCTGTTGTACATACGAGTTATGGACACGAGGGAGAAGAGTTTTGTTTGAAGTAGTTGTTGAAAAAGTCAATTGTTCTTTTAAATCGACTTATATGTAGTAATATTTGATTGATGACTATTTTGGTGTATAAATTATAAGATGTCAGAAATGAACACATAGGATCCAGACAGTATTGTTATGTATATTTAGGTACAGTGTACACAAAGCATTGTATATTACCTATGTTAGGTACCTATGTAGTATATGAGTGACCTACATGTATCCCCATATTTCACCTCTGAGGCTGCTGTGCATAATAGGTATACATACCTAGGTACATGTGCATAATACTACGGATCTGATTTTAGGTAATTGCTAGCTCATCCCCAAAAGACTCCACGACTTGTTTAATCGTAACACTTTTTGGTCAACTTTCGATTGCTTCTTCGTTTAAATATTAGGTATTTGAGTCGCCAAGTCCTTGTCATTAGATATAAAAAAAGGGGGGTTCAATTGGGGATCAATTCGAGTTTTATGCATCCAAAGTTGGCCGACGCTAAGTAAAGTTAAGGTTAGCTTCATGAGGCTAGGGGTCCTTTCCAGGGGAGTTCCACACAATGATGCTTGCAGTTGCTTGCTGCTTTTGGTTTATCTCTAATCTGAGGCGTATCACTTTTCGAGTCTCTGCCGTACATTGACTTATATTATTCACATCCACATAAAATATGTCTACTCCTTTGTCCAATAATCTTACTTCCCAAAGACGTATATCCAGTCTTCCTTCACCGTCTCATCCCGTCACCCTATCCGTTAAAAGCGTATTCACTCCTAATTCTACGAACCCCGACTTATCCAATCCCTCGTCAGCATCATCTGCTACCACCAGCTTTAAGGTAGACTGGTCGTCTGATGGTGTTAATCATTCTTCTACCAACCCTACCGGTCGCCGTCTCGAGGATATCGAGATGGATTCTATAGCTCCCCAAGGCCATCGTCGCCGCCGAAGTACCCTAACCGCCAACCCTAACATCCCTCAGCCGTCTACTTCGCGAACCCCACGGACACGTTCCACCAGCGCTAAGAGACCGGGGGAGCTGGAAGGCAAAATCTCCGAAGAGGATCAACGTCGGGACGCGTCAAGATCGGACAGCAAGGAAGACGACAGTTTATCTGAAGAAGACTTACACGATGACGAGGAAACAGGTCTGACGAAGAAGGATAAGCGGAGGAAACAAGCCAAGCGACGGCGCAATACGAGGTTAGACCAGAGAATTGCGCGCGACAAGATCACAGACGAGGAGCGAAAAGAGGCAGACCAGGACGTATTTAAGAAGTTAGTCGTCAATGGTGTTCTAATTGGGCTCTGGTATCTATTTTCGCTGTCCATCTCTTTAGTAAGTTAATTGCTATTTTTCTAGGGCGCCTTTAGACTATACGAATCGTATAATTGCTAACCAATCTCTGTTTTATAGTACAACAAATGGATGTTCGATTCAGGCCAACTTAATTTTGCATTCCCCTTATTTACAACAGCAGTGCACATGCTCGTGCAATTTTCCCTTGCGAGTTTAGTATTATACTTTATACCTTCTCTACGACCTAACAATGGCCAACATAATTCCGACCTGGGCCGATCGAGACACGAGTCCGAACCCGAGCGTCCTATTATGACCAAAATGTTTTATTTGACGAGAATAGGGCCGTGTGGCGCGGCAACTGGTTTAGATATTGGACTTGGAAATACATCCTTAAAGTTCATTACCCTTACATTTTACAGTAGGTGTTGATGTATATTTTATTATAAAAACTTCGAAGCTAACATGCCTATAGCTATGTGCAAATCCTCTTCCCTAGCCTTCGTATTATTATTCGCCTTTGTTTTTCGCCTCGAAAGTCCCACGTGGAAGCTAGTTGGTATCATTGCAACTATGACGGCCGGTGTAGTAATGATGGTAGCAGGAGAGATCGAGTTCCAACTAGGAGGATTCATCCTCGTAATATCCGCCGCCTTTTTCTCCGGCTTCCGCTGGGGTCTGACGCAGATCCTCTTGCTTCGAAACCCCGCCACGTCGAACCCGTTCTCTAGCATCTTCTTCCTTGCGCCGGTCATGTTTGCCACGCTGATAGTAATTGCGGTACCAGTAGAAGGTTTCTTCGAGCTGATAGAGGGGTTAAAGGTGCTAGCCAATGAATGGGGTGCTCTCAGAACACCTCTTATCCTCCTCTTCCCAGGAACAATCGCATTCTTGATGACTGCCAGCGAATTTGCTCTGCTGCAGCGAAGTAGCGTAGTCACGCTTTCCATTGCCGGTATCTTCAAAGAGGTTGTCACTATTTCGGCAGCAGCGTTAGTTTTTGACGATAAGCTTACGCCCATAAACATCTCGGGTCTCGTCGTGACTATATGTGCTATTGGCGCATACAACTGGATTAAGCTGTCCAAAATGCGTAACGACGCCCGAATGGAAGCACATAATCGAGGCTACCAGCAAGGACAATCAGGTTCATCGAGCGAATTTGAGCGTGGAAGCGATTCCGACGAGGAAGAAGCGGGACTTCTAGCTCATGAGGAAGCGAGCGGCATCGAAGATAATTTGCTTGCGGCCGATGGGGATTTAATACCGAATGCAGGTCCCTCCAGCTCGACAGAACCCCATCGGACTGAACGTTCTCGGGAAGATTGATTATAGCATGCTACATTTCATTTGTATATGGTTAATTAACAGAATAGAAGCATAGGAAATATGGCGCAACTTGTACATCAATGTGGGATTCAGCATGCTCGAACGCGGCGGTTAAGCAACAAGACTATATGCACGAGAGAAGGGCCAGTGGGACAAGTGAACCAGTCGCCTGAAAAGTAGGAGGCCGAATACCGCATTAGCAGGAGTAGCAACTGCCCCTTAGTAAAGGGGTAAGCCTACACATTTATCTACTCAATAGGTAGAAATCAGCCAACCAGCCAATGGGCAGAAGTAGGCAGATCTCCTACATTCGAAACCTAAAGAAGTAGGAGAAAAGGGGAGCAGAACAAGGCTAGTGTGAGCAATGAGCAGACATATTAGCAAGATACCCACCCCATTGCAAATATAGAAGACCGATATATAGGCACAGGCGCTTGTTTAGTAGGTTATAGAATGTGTAAAGTTTTATAGAAACATCACCTGTATCTAGTGTACGGATATATAAGACGGCCCAAGCCGGCATCATTGGTGGTTAATGTGTATAATTGGGAATTGGCACAGGATCAAGATTGTAGCAAGACTCAATACTATATATCATATTCACAACATGCGAAGTATAGCAAGTACGAATTGGTGTTACATCATGTTTTATTAGTATAGTATGCTTCTTGGTATCTAGAAACGAGTTTTCTGATCCAGTCTGCGCGTCTTTAACGCCTAATAGTAAAGCAAGCTAAGCGTGATAACATAACGACGGCCTAGGCACATAATGCAGGTGTAGGCATCAGTAGGGTATATACATATCCTCCCCTTACTCAACCCAATATCTTCAAACCGCCCTTCGTCTTCTGGCCGGGCTTATGCACACCGGTAGGCACAGGGCCAAGATGAGGTTCGAGGCCATCGTCGCGCTTCCCGCCGCCGCCACCACCGGAACCGTTACCACCGCGGTTCTTATTCTTGTTCTTGTTCTTGCCGTTCTTGTTCCAGCGGTTGTTGTCCTTGGCGGCGGTGGGCTTGATCTCGGTGGTGCTCTTGCGCACGACAACCGGGTGGCTCTGGATGTACTTGCCGTTCATCTCCTTGGCCGCTTGGAAGAACTCGTCCGGGTCGCTGAAGGATACGAATCCGTATCCCTTGGACTTGGACGTTACTTTGTCACGGATTACGCGCGCTTTTTGCAGGGACTTCCATTGCGAGAATGCTTTGTAGAGAGATTCGTCGGTCGTCTCGCCTGCTAGGTTGCCGACGAAGAGGCGTAGGTGCGAGGGGTCCCATTCGAGGAGCGTGTCGTCGGACCATTTCTGCCCACCGCCTGATCGCACGACCGTCTTCTTCTTCTCCCCGTTTGTTGCTGAAGCAGCCGCTGCTGAAGCGGCGGCGGCACTGGCACTCGGCTCCGCAGCGTACGTCGTCGTCGCGCTGTTAGCATAGCCTGCTCGTCCCCCAGACCCTGCTGCTGAAGCTCCTGCCGTTGCTGGTGCACCAGCACCCCCTTCCTTCGTGGGATCTTTCACATATGCGCTCTGCCACTGCGCGATCTGCGCTGCCATATCCGGGTCATAGTCGTCGGTCTTCGCCTGGTTGGGAGCCGGGAAGGGGTTGCGGATCTGGGGGGCGGCGGCATACGAGGTCGCGGCGGTGGTGCCGGCGGCCACTTGCGGCGCGCTGTAATAGTTCTGCTGGTAGCCCTGCTGCTGCTGCTGCTGCTGTTGCTGGCCGGGGTAGGAGTACGGATTCGCTGCTGGTGGCTGCGATTGGTGTTGGTAGCCGCCGGTCACGGAGCCCGGGCGCGCGTACGGCTGGTACGAAGAGCCATATTGGTTTCTGGAGGGTGCGGCGGGGGTGGGAGCGCCAGCATATGTCGGTGCGCTGGAGTAGGCAGGAGGCGCGTAGGGGCCGGGGCTCGGGGAGTGGGTTGGCGCAGGCGAGAAGGCCGGCTTGAAGCCGGAGAAGCGCGAGGGGGGCGGTCGCGGGGGGAGCGAATTGCTGGAGCCTGGAGGAGGCGGATAGGACATGATGAACTTTTCTGTGCGCCCGAGAGGTGTGGTGTGTGTGTGTTTCGGGTGCAACACGTACCTACGAGTCCGGATATATAGCCTGGACTCTTTTTCCTGCTTCTTAGATGCCTGGGTAACCTGGAGCTTTTATTGCTCTGGTTTCGTGGGTTGGGTTGGGGACGAGTATCGAAGAGTTATGAATATGTGCGCGTTCGAATTGTAAAAGGGTTCAAATTACGGTATGCGCGTGAACTTGGTGTTGGTGTGGTGACGGTGTGAAAATTACAGGTTGATTGGATTATATCGACATGATTCTATGGAGTGCAGCCCGATTCGAACCAAATTCCAAGATTGAAGTCTCTTTGATATGTGGCGCATTAAATGTGGCGCAGCATTAACATTTGCATACAGTCACGTGATTCAGATGCCCATACCCACTTACACCAGTTATTGGGTCTTGTCCCAACAGAATGCTGTGACTTTTATCGTTGACATTTACATATAATTAGGTGGTACCAAAATGGGAACATATTATTGGTTCATACTTAGGTTCGTACACACATAGACAGCCCAAACAACAAGGTAACTTACACCTTGAGTTTGTTCAGCTCATAACCTACTCTTAACGTCTTCTTATGTCATCCCATGTTAGGTTTTATGCAATATAAGGTAGGTATAAAAAGTGATATTTAAACTTTGAAAGAGATGGCTAAATGACATCTAATTTGACTCTTGTTCAAGGCCACTACCTACCTAGAGACCAATGGAATGCTTCGTTATACCTTACCTAGGTAGGTATTCTACTTTTTTATTTCGACGTTTATCATCAACACGCATATTCCCTCTTACTTATCAGGTGAATTGCCATCTTGGCAGTCAGGCATCTGGCCGAAAGTTGAGAGATAAGGCCGCTAAGCATAATAATCAAGAGGGCCGGCAATCCGCATAAAGGGCCGAGAACTTAGAAGGTTCCCCTGATTGGCCCAAGGTCATTAATTTATTGCCCGATTCTCCCCATGAGACATTTTGTTGTAGCCTCGCAGTAATGAGTGGGATCTGGTGTCAATCCTAACCTAGTTAACTCGTCTAACCTAGCCCATGTTCCACCGCAACTACTTTCGGTCGTTTGTTGCGCCGCTTTGTAGAGCCCCGACAACTAAGAACCAATTAATGAGACTGGGGACATGTTTAAGAAATTGCCACGGCTTGGATTGACGTCTATTAAACAACACGGCTTTACATTAAATTGTTTTTTGGACCCGTCTCCGAGGTCTCTGCGAAGGAGCACTGTTTATTATAAGTGACTGGGTTTTTAATACCTCCCGGTACTCCCGTGTTTCGACATTATCATTGTCTCATAATGATACAGAGTCAGCAGGCTGTTTTATGAGTATTCGGTTGCTAAGCAATACAATAAGCACAGGGGACCCATTGTGGGATTAGATCTAGTAGTTTCTTATACGTAGCTGATGATGGAGCGGCTATCCAAGAATAAGTACAAGCAAATTTCTCAACCTTGTTGGACCGAGAGTTCAGCCTGATAGACAGTCTTACACGAAGATGGCTCAACAAGTATATTGCCATCTAACCCATTGTTGCATATTATCGTACATAGGTAGGTTGGCTTAATAAAACCCGATGTGGATCCAGGCTCATCAATGACCAAGCATTTCGTCCGTCCCCCGGTGGATTTACGAAACGGCGTTAAGGTCTCACGGGGGGATCTGAATCAACCAAGATCAACATGAGGCGTATTCCATGTTAGAAAAGAACAAAGTGGCATGTTTTTGATTACCTCTAACTTAGCAGATTATTATTATCATAAAAGTAAATCGGTAAGTATCAGTATTAGATTGTTAACGTGTAATGTCTACTACTTCGTACATGTAGGTAATTCTCACGATCCGTAATCGGTGATAGGTAAGGGACAAACTATGCGAACCGATGCGTAGCGGATAATGAAAAAGAAGAGTTCTCAGTAATAAACCCGTGCCTTCCGGGAATTCTTTGATTGATGGGACGCAAGTGCTGCATGTCCTGTCATCTTTAGCTAACCTAGGTACTATGCAGTAGCTTAAGCTTACATGTGGTTGGCTAAGACGGGTTGTAGACGGGTTGTAGGTACCTACGGAAGGTATTTCAGTAACAAATTCCCTCCCCTCCTACCCTCCTACCCTTTTTTCTCCTGTGCACCACCTTTCTTACTTACCCCTCCATCACATCCACTTTCAAATCCACTTTTCCTAACGAACTCCATCATAGAAAAGTAACCTCCCTCCCGCGACCGCCCGTAGTCTACAATTAATTCTTTATATTCCCGTTCTCCATCTGCGCTTTTAGCAAATAACTTCATTCTTCTACCATTGAGTTACCAATATAGCTGCAATCATGTCTGGTGCCGTGTAAGTCCAAATATACCTCTCTCTCTCTCTCTTACCTTGGCGATGATGATTACTCTTTTACCCCGCCATCAGAAAAATCATCACCCCGCCGACTCCCATCTTTCTTTCTACCCAACAAATTGAGTGTCTTCGCGACCTATGTAACTGAAATAACTCTTCGGGGCCTCTAGGGCTCGTCTTGCCAATATAACCAGTTCTCTGGGAGGCCCAAGGCGAGCTTCTTTCATTATATCTTTCTCTACGAATTCGTCGTAAATCGCTCCGTTGAAGCCATGCTAACCGTTCCAAAAGCGCTGATTTGGGCCTCATTGGCTTGGCCGTCATGTACGTTCATCCCAACCCCCCAAATCCCTTAGTAAGCTCTGGAGATATTCATCTGTTATAGGGGTCAGAACTTGATTCTGAACATGGCCGACCACGGCTTCACCGTCTGCGCTTACAACCGAACCATCTCCAAGGTAGATGCGTTCTTGGCAAACGAAGCCAAGGGCAAGTCTATCGTCGGTGCTCACTCCAACGAGGAGTTCATCTCCAAGCTAAAGAAGCCCCGCCGTGTCATGCTGCTGGTACAGGCTGGCAAGGCTGTCGACGACTGGATCGAGACCCTACTCCCTCTCCTAGAGAAGGGAGACGTCATCATTGATGGCGGCAACTCTCACTTCCCCGACTCAAACCGACGAACTAAATACCTCTCAGGCAAGGGTATCCGATTCGTCGGTTCCGGTGTTTCCGGTGGTGAGGAAGGTGCCCGATATGGCCCTTCGCTGATGCCGGGTGGTAACGAGGAGGCGTGGCCCTACATCAAGGATATTTTCCAAAGCATCGCTGCCAAGAGCGACAACGAGGCATGCTGCGAGTGGGTTGGTGACGAGGGTGCTGGCCACTACGTCAAGATGGTACACAACGGTATCGAGTATGGTGACATGCAACTGATTTGCGAGGTTTGTTACCCTTATACCCACTACCCCTATATTTCATGTATCCTCGAAATAGCTAAACTAACTCCACTAGGCCTACGATATCATGAAGCGTGGTCTTGGATTAAGCAACAAGGAGATCGGTGATGTTTTGGCCAAGTGGAACAAGGGCGTTCTAGACTCTTTCTTGATTGAAATCACCCGTGACATCATGTACTTCAACGATGACGATGGAACGGCGTTAGTTGAGAAGATTCTGGACCAGGCCGGTCAGAAGGGTACCGGCAAGTGGACTGCCATCAACGCTCTGGACCTCGGAATGCCCGTTACCCTGATCGCCGAGGCTGTGCTTGCCCGTTGTCTATCTTCAATCAAGGCCGAGCGAACCAAGGCCTCGACCAAGCTTGAATACGTCGGTCGCACAACCAAGTTCGAGGGCAGCAAGGAGCAATTCCTTGAGGACCTTGAGCAGGCTCTGTACGCTTCCAAGATCATCTCATATGCTCAAGGTTTTATGCTGATGCAAGAGGTATGTCATGTTATCCGTTTATGTACGTCCCTAAGCGTGCAGATGTTTCTAACTGTAATTAGGCCGCGAAAGAGTTCAAGTGGAAGCTTAACAAGCCTTCGATTGCCCTGATGTGGAGAGGTGGTTGCATCATCCGCTCTGTCTTCCTGAAGGACATTACTGCAGCTTACCGAAACGACCCTGATCTCGAGAACCTGCTATTCGACGACTTCTTCAACAAGGCCATTCACAAGGCCCAACCCGGCTGGAGAGACGTGGTTGCTAAGGCTGCCGTTCTCGGAATCCCAACCCCTGCCTTCTCTACTGCGCTATCGTGGTTTGACGGATACCGCACTAAGGACCTGCCTGCCAACCTTCTCCAGGCCCAGCGTGACTACTTTGGAGCACACACGTTCCAGGTTAAGCCTGAGTTTGCCAACGCTAAGTACCCTGAAGGCGAATATATCCACGTCAACTGGACTGGTCGGGGAGGTAACGTGTCGGCTTCTACGTACCAAGCATAAAGGATGGTATCTATGTGAGCGAATATGAGCGCGCTTACCAATGGTAAGTATGGCGTATAGGCAGGGTCATCCTCATTAGATGAAAAAAGGAATGATTTAAACCGAGCATGCTATGACATGACATGACATAGTCAACCTACCAAGTTTAGAAGAATGAAAATAAATATCTGAATTAATGGCAAATTCCAAATTCCATGTACTTGGAAAAAATAAATATTTTAGACTATCTCTATGTCCGCAAAGCAACTTGTAGGAACTACGTATAAATGAAATGCAGTTGGTAACATTAACCAAATATAGCTGTTGGGTTAGGTTAGGTTACTTTAGGTACATACGCGCGTACTTATATATATCTCTAGGTTGAATGCACGTGATTTTTAGATGTCCGAGATGGTTGGCTCGAGCCACATTTTTTGTAGCGCGTGCAGACCCACAGCTATCACTTATCAAGCCTCAGGCGTACCCGTAACAAATTCCCCCTAAGGAAAGTTGAGCTCTGTCGTCGCGCATCTTCGCGATCATCAAATCGAAACTTTCGCGCGCAAGCCTTGTCATCGCGAATCCCTTCTTGCGCCTCGCGCTTTGCTATTTTTACCACAACTTTAAATCGATTATACTGGACCTATCTATTTACCTCTAATAATTCTGGTATTTATCAATTGGGTGTGATAGCTAAATTTATCTCGCTCAAACGACAATGTCAGCAATGGGTGACCCCAGTTACGGGGTCCATAGAGACTTGGTATTTTTCATTTGCGATCGCATATCGTTACAATTACTTGCTAATATGGACATGTTTAGCTTCCACATGTGCATCTCATTTCGACATATAGATACACCCTCAAAGCCCGAGTTGAACCCTCCGAAGTGACCGGTTGGTTGATGCAAGCTCCTAAGATCGCCCGCGACACTGCACCATTCTTCTGGACCTATCTCGATCGTCCCGAGAATGGAAATGTCTTCTTGACGTGGCAGCCGTTACAACAGATGGGTGTAAACTTTGCCAGCGATGGTTTCATCTGGCCTCCCCAGGAACAATACTTGCAGCAGGATGTGGGAAACGGTGTGGTATGACAGATCTTGAATTCTGAGCTGTGAGCTCATGTTAACTAAGCTGTGTAGATCCTCGAGATGTATTATCACAAAGCCGGATTTGCTTACGGAGAGCCATACGCGTCACATTCGAGACGTCGCTTCCGCCTCATTCCTCCTAATATTCACAACCCGAATGCTCCCCAGGTTGATCCTAGCTTATGGATAGTTCACTACGGTCCCGTCGATAACAACGAGCGTATTCCCCACCAGATGATCCCGCGCGATCCCCGGGTTCAGTCTATCCTAGAGACTCGCGCTTACCTACAGCGATGTGGTCAGATTCAACGAAAGGAGTTCATTCTCAGCGACCGAGTGAACTGGCCTCAGATCGCTTGGCCAAGAGAACCGTCGAGGCAGCCCATGTTCGCAGGCCCCCGCGGGGTTCCACAGGCGATGGCATATCCCGCTCACCCCCCTACGGCTGGTGCACCGCCATCAAAACGAGCGCGGACTGGCCAAGCTGCACAAGGCCAAGTAGCTTCCGCCATACCTGCTATTTCCCAGCAAGAAGGCGTGTATGACGACGAAGAGGATACCTCTCGTGGCGACATGTTTGACCATCTTACGCCACGGGAAGTTAGTTTAGCTCGTTATCGGCAGAATCACGAGTGGATGGAAGAGATACTGTCATCACCATACAGAATGGGCCAGATTGGGTTTTCAGATCTTGGGCTAGGTCTCAAAGGAGAGCTTTCGGATTTAACTGATGGTATTTTTGAAGCTCATAGTTTTAATGCAACCACCCAGACCCTTTCTAAACCTACCGCAACTCAGTTTGATCCGGAGAAGGCTGCTGAGTTTCGCAAGCGAGTTAATGATCGGCTTCGTTCTTTGCAGGCAGAGATTGAGAAGATGAAAGCAGACCACGCCAAAAAGGTGGCCAAGTTTAAGCACAACTCCCTCCTTACTGTTTCCGAAAGGGAGTTGCGATCAGCCCTAGATGAGCCAGGTTCTGATGTACTACAACTTGAGAGGAAAGTCGAAGAAAACGAAGACGACACAAATCGCTGGCCCTCTAAGCATAATAAGAAGGTTGATGAGATCGTATCTCAGGTTGAAGCGCACCTAGGACGTCGAGCAGAGGTCATATATGAACTGAGGAGAATACAAGACGGTGGTTATCAAGAGCCAGCTCCGGAACCGACGCCCCAGATAACCTCGGGGCCGGGCCCTGTTCTTGGAGAGCCTCAGAACAGCGGGGCAAATGGCAGCGGTGCAATGTCTCGCCAACCATCACACGCAGGGTCTCAACATAGTGGATTCACTATGGGAGATCAGGATATCGATATGGGTGGTGGAACTGCTGCCGGCCTCCTTGACCAAATACATACTGGAACAGGAGTCTCGTCTACCTCCACGCCAATGAATAACTTCCCGACTCCCCAAGCTCAGGCCTCGGGCGTCCATTCCCACGTTACTACACCAGCAAATCTGAATGCCCCTTCGCCTCTACAGCCCACCCAGACGGACGTCACGGGGGATGTAAACATGAGCGGCGTCGTCGATCCGCCAACCGGAACCGCTCCTGACCAAGGCACAGGGAGTGGTGACTGGGTGGTAGTCCCCAAAGCCGGTGCTGTTCCAGACGGCACCGCGGGTGCAGCACCTGTCAACAATCCACCGAGAACCGCAGGCGTTCTGAGTAAACAAGCATCAGCAACAGGAACCCCTTCAGCAGGGTTCGAGGGTGATCAGAACGACTTCAGCTCATTAGATGATTTGAACACGGCAGGAGATGCACTAGCAGGCTTTAGCGAGACGCCTGGGGACCTCGGTGAGGGTTTAGATATGGAAATGGAAGATTCAGCGTTTGGTGACGCTTTCCATGGCGTGGATACGCAGCAAGGGGGAGGCACGCCGGCTGAAGGTAACATCTAGGAAATGCTGTACGGTGGTTTTCCTTTCCCTCTTGAAGATGAAAATTATTGAGGATATGAAAGAGAAAGGAGAATAGCCTGGCGTAATTCTAGGACGTTGTGGCAATTCGAAGCGAATTAATATTAGGTCCATTACCTCTGATGGCCTCAAATTACGATAGCAAGACTCCCAGGGGAACAAACATGGTTTAATGGCGTTGGACGGTCTCACTGGTAAATTTCTTGCTTATCAAAGGCTCAAATCCTAAATGAGGGATTCAATCTATGTGTACTATTGTTTGATGTACGATTACATCCGTAAACTCGTCTTCCGCGCTAGGGAATGAGTTTGAAAGGATATGAACTACATTCTGCTTCTTTTGAGCTTAGTGACATCAATTCGAGCAAGTTGTATTGGAAATCATAGCTTATGAAGATTATGATATATGCTGTAGTGATCTGGCATCGCAACACGTAACCTGTAAAATCTACTGGATATCGTGGTGATCCTCTCGACTCTGCGGGGTATGATGGAATTCAAAGGCAACTCCTATCCTATGTAAATGACAATGTCTCTTAAAAATAACCCCTCAGTAACCCCAAGCGAGACTTGAGGTTGATTTTAGGCTTGCTTGCTTGCTTGCTTGGTGTTGGTTTCAGAACCAGCAGGGTTTCGTCTCAAAGCCCCAGAGCTAAGACCTTGATAGAGAGCCTTCTAGCCCTCATTTGACATGATTTTATATGCGGAAAAAGAAGCTTTATAGCTGGAGTAGGCTAGCAATTCCCGGATGCTCTCCAGTTCCGAGCTCCTGTCACTATCAGGGGCCATTAAGCACGGCCCCTTTTGAGCCGCGTTTCCTAGTATCGCATCGTCGGATCCTCGTCCCATTATCGAGCTTTTCAATTGGTTCATCTCTTAAATATTCAATGCTTTCCTTCATGTTCATGGCATGTCGCATCGACTTGCTAACTTGATGTGTAGATGCTGGCAAGAAGTAACGGGTGGTTTCTCCTTAACTCGTCTCGAATTTCTCTGCTTTCATGTTGGTATCTCGATGTTGGGCCTTAGTAGTGTCTTTCACCTCGTGGCTCTTCATCGTAGACTTTGACCTAAGTTCAGCCTAAGGGTGCCCCCGAGACATGATTATGGTATACTGTTCTTGAATGATGTCTACCACCCTAATTAATATGTCTAGGTATATCCCGGCTTAAATAAGGTGTCACGATGGCTGCTAGTGCTATTAGGGGATATGCCAAGACATGTCAAGCTATGGGATTATGTCTCAAGCTCAGGCAACTATTTGGAAATCGCGGAGGGTTGCGTAGTATGCCATGGCATTATATACCGACATGTCGTCTAACCACATGGAAAATGGTGCTGGCCTCCCATCTAGATCTCTGTTCACAGCTCTTTTCTTTCCTTTCCTTTCCTTCCTATGGTCGCTCCTTAATGCTTTGCCTGCTGGTCAGCTTATACTGTTGAGCAGTATTTACGTTCTTTTTATATAGTTCTTAATTTGTTTGTTTTTCGTACATACAATACGCCTCATCTAATACGCAGTTAGAGGTAATAGGAAATGAGGAAATCAGGTCTGGTCACAGCTCTTGCTGTTATACTTGGTGCTGCCTTCAATGGAGTACTTGCTACGCCAGCCCCTAATTTTCAGCAGGGCCAAAACTTACCTGCTCCCAACAACCCCAGCACGGCGTCATCTTCCTCCAGCGGCCAACTACAACAATTGCCAAATGTTAGAGGGAATAAGGGATCCGGCACGAATGCCGAAGTGAAAGGTGGTGATGGGCTTGAAGCAATATCCTCGGAGGGGTTGGTACAACTTCCTGGCACACCAGTGACTGCTGGTCAGTTAGTTGCTCTCCCCGGGCTAGGAGAGTCAACAACTGCCAGCGAGATTGCCACGAGTAGTGCGACTATTGAGTCCTTAGCAGCCGGAACTACTTCTAGTGCTATCCTTAGGACAACGACGGATGCCAGGACAGAGATATCCTCAAGTACAGCGGTACTTAAGACGTCGAAGGTGAGTTCTTGACTCATAGCCAGACATTCCAAGCTGCAGCCCCTAACATTCTATAGGTCATCGTGGCTTCATCTTCGTCAAGCTCCGCAGTGTCAGTCGGAAGCATTCAGAGCTTTCAAGCTATACCTATCGCAACTGCTACTTCTTCCGCGGCTATCAACGTCGGGGTCGTAGCAGACTCGAGCACTTTAGCGGTAGCTTCCAGCTCTGCTTCTATCCAAAGCTTTCGCATCATTAGTGCCGATACGGCGGCGGCAGTTACATCACCGGTTTTCGCGAATGTCTCTACTTCAGCCCTTGTGTCTACTTCGGTCCTTGTATCTACTTCAGCCCTCGTGGTCAATATTCCCGGAGCCGTTGCCACTTCGAGGTTCGGGGATTTCTCTAACACCACTGCCACCACGGCTGCTACTGGAGCAGTAGCTACGAATATAGACGTTCCTCCTGGATCTGTCCCAACTGAGCTCGTCGCACTGCCTACCGGTGGTGTAGTAACATCTGGAAGTCTCCAGTCTCTGTTAGGATCTGAAGGCACCGAAACCGCCGGGGTCCAGCAGTCGCTTTCCGGCGCCTTGGGCAGTTCGAGCGGTCGCAGTTCCGGTGCTACTACTACCGAAGCACGTCCCGCCGAAGCGACGAGCGGGTTGCGAGAGCTCCCTAGTGTGCAAACCACGCTGGGCTCACTGGTGCCAATATCCTCTGGGGTTGCGAGCTCCACGGCGGCGGCAGCAGCTAGTGGTGTATCAGCGAATAACACTTTGCCATCGTTCAGTCTAAGCGCCGCGGCGGTGCTGAAGGCAGATGCGATAACGGCGATGTTCGTTGTGGGAGTTACGGAGATTTTGGCTGTGTTTTTTATGTAAGTAGCGTAACGTGTAGTAAATTGATGTTTCTATGCAGCATTAAGATTCAAGTGAATAATCATGTGCGGGCTTACACATAAGACTATTGAATGCCTAGTGTGCCGATCATCAAATCGAATGTGCTTTGTTGGCTGCAGGGTGAGAATTCGCCTTGGGTCTTAATAGGAGGCCTGATTTGGGCTGAGTAGCCTGCAGCTTTCGTGCAACCCAAGACGTGCCGCAGCATAATACCAACATCTAAGCCCGTGGCCCTCTTTCCCTCTTATTCTATGAGTGTGGTTACATACTTAAATATCATGTAGTCCAAAAAATTTTTTTGTTAATTCATAGTTCCGAGAAGGATGTGATGAGATATGAGCAGCATGTTTGAAAATAACGATGTCATTTGGGGGACCAAGCGCTCCTGGGAAGCCGTAAGTCAATGGGGAGAATCTAGTATTGACTCGACTACGACAGTTCTATATCCCCATAAGAAAACACGGCCAACTCATGGACCAGGCGCCCTAGGGATCGTCTCAAACCAACATATTTATGCTAATAGTATAGATAACAACATCGAAGCAGAAATCTGCGGGATTAATGGCTTCAAGGATGAAAGGCAGACACGACCCGAAAATGACGCCCGAGACGATACCCTTTCCGCAGCCAGCTCTACTAAGGAAGATCTTGTCATGATTGAAGAAAGCCTCGAGATATCCATATGTGACACTTGCTTTGGAATGGTAAGCAAGACATACACGTTGAATAGGTCACGCATTAATGAGAATAATAGATTATCCTGGAAGGTCTCCAACTTAAGGATAAATTCATCACGGAAAATGAAGCAAAAGACGTGAAACTTGAAGTGAGCAGCACTATAGTAATAGTTCGAGATGAGAGCTCAAACTCGTACGGAGGACTTCTTGATCAGATATCGGGCCGAGTTCTGGTTAACTTGGTTAAGAGTTACAACGTAGAACTCAAAGCGTCATTGAAGACCTCCAAAATTATCCAGGTAATTATATACGGGCAATTCGAACAGGGTGATGCAATCGGGGATATGCTCCTAGAGCATGATTACTTCCTCCAACAACCGGATTCGTATGATGTCTCCTGCCCATACCATAATCCCCAATGCTTTTCGTACTCCGAGAAAGAAGATAATCATTTTCAAGAAGACCCTGAATCGCCCCCATCACGACATACCATTCTGGATAAAAGCGACAAAAACAAAGCTACCGAGTTGCTAGACTGCGCGGTTGGGCCCACCAACTTCAGGAGGGTACAAACTTCAAGGATTATTACGACAGAACTAAAGCCGTAAGTATTCGAATGTATTTATAATAATGGCGCGAACTAAGAAGTAGCCAGGTATCAAAGCAAAGCTCTCGCTATGATGATGGAGAAGGAGTCGGGAGATATTCGTAATGCGGAGTTCCCTTCCGTTTGGGTTGAAAAGACCGATACGGAGTCTTCTGTCTCTAGGTTTGGAAGCTAGCCAACACCCGTTTGGTATGTTACTTATTCTGCACAGATTCTATAATACGGTGACTCAAGTACACACTACCCGAGAGCCGAAGCTCTGTCTTGGTGGTCTTCTTGCAGATGTAAGGCCTCGCGCTGTGGCTTATCGAGCTTTACTAACATATATTTCCAAGGACATGGGTCTTGGGAAAACTCTTACAGCCTTAGCTCTCATTGCAACATCTCTAAATAACGACAACAAGGATGAGTATTGTCAAGTGTCCCATATAAATCTTATAGTCTGTCCCGTGTCAAGTAGGTACTAACAGCCGTGGCTCGTCGAAATGCTTTTACTAAATTATCCTAGCTATTACCGGTTGGCAAGACCAAATACAAAGGTATGTATCACACTGGTAGTTGCTGTTAACTCTAATCTGACTATATCAAAGACATTTTAAGAAAGGGTCCCTGAGCTATAGCATCTACCATGGACCGGCGAGAGACAAGGTTCTTACAACTCTCAAAACAGTCGATGTCGTCTTTACGACATATGAGACTCTCAGGGCTGAATTTCCTGGTGGAAATTCCTCGATTGGGCTGTCTGGGCTTCTCTATGGCATTGATTGGCATCGGGTTATTCTTGATGAGGGTAAGCGGCAGTTGCTATCACTGACTTTGGTTTACTAAAAGGCTTTATAGCACATGTTGTGAGAAACCGTGCTTCGAAGGTATTTCAGGCAGTAAGGTTGCTCAAAGCCAAACATCGTTGGTGTTTAACGGGCACGCCTATCCAGAATCGCTTAGAGGACCTAGGTGCTCTTGTCGAATTTCTAAGGGTCGATCCGTTCAATGATCCCGATATATTTAAATACACATTCTTAACCCCGATCTATAACGGACAACAAGGCGGATGGGAGCGACTTAGGTCACTAATCAAATCAATCGCCCTCCGCCGAACGAAATCAGCAGTTTGCGCTGATCTTAGTCTCCCTCCACGGAGAGATCTCGTCCATTATGTTCACTTAAACGATGACGAACAGAGACTATACAACTCGGTCAAAAGGGGGTTCGCGCTAGCCATTGAGTCAGGAGGAGCAATCATGAATACATTTCAGTTTATTCTCCGGCTTCGGCAGATTTGTAACCATGGTAGTGACCTACTTCCAGAAAATCTGCAAATCTGGCTTCAAGATGCTACCTATCCTCAATCTGAAAGGTGTGAAATTTGTGGCAAAACTCTTGACCATGAAAACGAATCGTCTTATCATGTATTTTCATGTTTCCATCAGGCATGTCAGGTATGTCTCCAAAGCAGTGGTATCTATGATGGTAGTATTCTTACCTGCCCTGTGTGTAATGACACCGCCCTGGGGGGAGATGAGAACATGAACTCGACCAGAGGCTCCGAAAGCTCCAAAGTTCAGCCACTGAGATATTATCCTTCATCAAAAGTGAAGGCTCTGCTGCAAAACCTGCACAACGATCATACAGCGGCAATTACATCTAACCAGCGACCAGCAAAGAGGTAAGTTATCTTCAAATATGTTCCCAGATTAACGGAGTTAATCAAATATAGCATTATATTCTCAGCATGGACAGGCATGTTAGATCTTATTGGCAGAGCGCTATCTTTGAACTCCTTTACGTACCAAAGGCTTGATGGTAGTAAGAGTCTGGCGCAAAGACGCGATGCACTTGAAGAGTTCCGCACCGATCAGAAGTGTACTATATTACTCGCTTCACTGGGAAGTGCTGCGGTCGGGTAGGCTATAAGAACTTGACACCTACGTAAGTGCATGACAGGTCTCGCAATTGACTAACTGGCTAATAGACTTGATCTAACCATGGCTAGCCGCGTCCATTTAATGGAACCTGGATGGAATCCTCTGGTAGAACAGCAAGCCATGGACCGCGTCTATCGTTTGGGACAAGAGAACGAAGTTATAACCACGCGCTATATTGTGTCTGGGTCGGACTCAATAGAACAGGCAAGTCTGCAGTAGACAAACACAGGCACTTCTAACAGAATTTGCATAGTATATTCTACAAAGGCAGTCGCGGAAAACGAATCTCATTGCATCTTCCCTAGAGGATTCTACGGCTAACCAAGACGAGGCGAGAACCATATTACAGGTCAGTTATGGAAATTTCTAAGAAGTCTTCCGGTATCTACAAACAAGACTAACAGATGTAGGATTTCAAATGTACTATTTTATCTAAGAGTAATTAAATTATCTTCTACTTGATTTAAATGTGCAATACGTGTACATATAGCCCGAAAGGATAGAAGAGAGTTGCGTCTACCTAAAATCGATACATAACCCCCTTTGCTTCTTTAAGAGAACCCTTGGATATTATACTCTCCTTTTCTTTCTAGGTGGGTTTATAACAAGGTCCTCGCCAGCTTGGATTCTGCGAACGACTTCTTCCCACTCGTACCCAAAGCATTTCTCAATTGTAGCCATCTTTTTTCTCATAATTTTCAAGTGAAGATCTAACTTTTCTGCCGTTGCACCGTGCTTCAAAAGTAGTTTCGTCAACTCAGCACCTTTCTCGTTTCCCATACGTATTGAGTGATTTAATAGGCTCCTTTTCTCACTATTTTCATTCGGATTAGCTCCATTTTCCAGACATATTTTAACAAGAGGAACGCTTCCAGTGGCTACAGCATGTGCAATACCTTTACTATACGCTTCGGGCCAAATGATGTGCTGTTTCATTTCATCAAAACGCCTCATCACTTCGTCAGGAGTGTACATGTCAATGAAAGGCTTAAAGAAGATCAGTTCTGGTTTATTAATTTGTTCGGGGAATTCCACTTGACATTCCTCGACCAAAAAGGATATTAGGCTTGGACTCCAAACTCTGAACGCAAAAATGTATCCAGATATTGAATAACCATCCAAATGGTATAAACTAGTGTCCTTAGACATGTCCAAGTCATAACTGTCTACCTGTATTTCTGACATGCTTTGTCCATGAGAGAGTAAGAGCTTGATATTTGGGAAGTTTTCTGCCCATAATGCTGCTGGCAATGCATGTGAAAATTTCGACAAATCGAGCCACGGTTGACTTATCAGACAAGAAAGAGTATGCGAGGAAGCTTTTGAGGAAGCTTCACGTAAAAGCTTGTGCCATTCAAGTCCCGAGAAAGTGTTCTCTTGTATTCTAGTCAGCATCTCTTCGATTATTTGCCGCTGATCTAGTACCACTGCACTCCTGAAGATCTCGAAAAGATCATCTGACGGTTCAATAGGCAAAGCGTCGGGGCCTGTGTGAATTCTCTCAAGGATCCCTGATGGATGTGCTGCGCGTGTATGCTTTTGAAGTTCTGTTGCATCGCAGAACCCTATCTCTGAAAAAAGACAATTCTCCATGGAACATTTGTATGACCGTTTGTGAATCTCCAAGTGTCGGTCTCTAACTTGTTTTGATTCAAACCCACTTTGGTATGCGTAGCAAAAATATTGATCACAATGATATGTCTTCGTCCCGTAAAGGCGTTTCAGATGATCGCAACGACAGCCAACTATATGGTTCGGGCCCTGACATATCATGCTTTCTATGGCTTGCCGAAGTCTTCGCCGAGCGAAGAATATCTGGAGAGGGTCATTGATTGATAAAGCTATAATATTTAATGAGTAACGTTGATACTATCAATGTAAGTTTTATATCATATCCTTACCATCTGGGCTGGTTAACCCAAGTTTAGCTTGTGTCTGAGAGTAGGCTGCAGCCGAGAGAAAAGCTTGAAGCTCGGGCATATCGGCCAAATCCTTGAATGTACGAATAAAACGGGTTGGAATAAGGTCACTATTGGCGAGAGTGGTGCCTCGGATCTTGTGGAGTTGTCTCAGAGTTGTGACAAGAGAAACATCTAGATCTAGATCCCGATTCTGTAAGTATATCTTAAGATGCTCTAGAAACATCGCTGATATGTATTCAAACATAACATAATCGCCACCCATAATTCGTCTCTGGATATCGTCCTGTACTCCTGGCGGAGAACAGAATAGTGGATTCAACGACGAGAATGATAGATACGTTGTGCAAAGTACAGCGGTATTGAGGTGTGCTTCAGTGAGGTTCAGGAAAACACCGCTCTGTTCATGAAGAAGGTATCTAAATCAAATTAATAATCTTGTAAAGCAGGGGCCTAAGATGTGACTCTTACTCTTTAGCGGAAAAGTGAACAAACCGAATAAATCCTCCTTGGACCTCAATGATCGGTCCGCATGCCTTATAAATATCGCGGAATTCCTTGCGCCCCTTGGTGAAATCAGACTTTCCTGGCTCCACGGCTAATATCTGTAGGATCTCCTCTTCCCTCAGGGGCCTCTGGGCGCAGGCTACCCATTGTAATATATTACGCACAACGTCACGGAGAACCTGCGTATGCTTACTCTTAATGCTATTAAGGAGACGGCCATAACTACAAGAGCATTAGTAGTCCGCGAGTACCTATTTATAAAAGCTATGCTGAGTTCTTTGCTACTCACGCTTGGTCTAGCCCATCCGGGATATTTTCTATCTGCATCTCGATGCCTTCAACGGTCCCCTCATTTTTTACCATCTGTAGGACTAATTTGGCGTAGATGAACATTCCTAGTATCTGTTAGTATTAAATGCCATTTCGTCCTAGAGATAAACTTTCCATCTGACTTCGCTGTAATAGTTTCCAATACTTCTCTGACCCTGATGCAAGTTTGGTCATCTGCTCCATATATCTTCATCTCATCAATAATGCCTTCACATTCAAGCTGGACGAATGAGTCGATATCCTGAAGATTTTTATAATCGACTCGAAGAGGAACGGATTTGCTTTTTAGTCGTAACGAGATTTCACGCTCTTCCCTACTGCTGATGAGGAGTTTCGTCTCTGGGCATTTCTCGTTGATTTGTAACACGCTAGAGAGGAGATGCTTCCAGGAATTCTCATTTAACTCATCCAGGCCATCTAGTATGAGGTAGCTGGCCCCTAAACTGTTGAGGATGGTACACAGTAGGTCCAAGACGAAATCGTAATCACTTTTCAGTTTCCTGTAATTAGATTGAGAAGTTTCACAGACGATTGGCCGGAGGGTTTCGTCGTATTCGAGAAGTTGGAAAATGAGCGAATGGAGGACTTTGACGGTGTCACCAGCAGCCTGGTCATCGTGGGATAAGAATACGAAAAGGACTCGTTGACCAGAATCCTGCATCTTTTTTATGAGGTTGCCGACAAGGAAAGTCTTACCTGTCCCATTAGTTAACACAATGTCACTTAGTATAGGTATTCAATAAAAACATCCCAGCGCCAGGTAGTTACTTACCACAACCAGGAATACCATGAAGCCATAAACATCGTACAGTACTATCTGCAGGGTCATACCATATTTTAGAGCCCGGTTCTTCGTCTAACCAATTACCAGACACAACAGAGCTCCGGCGTAGGATGTCCATCAATTCTACGTCGTAGTTATGTGGATTGAGTTCGTTGCGGATGGCATTGAAGGTCTGGCTTTCTCGGAAAGCCTGTGCACGTGCATGCTCCTCAAGGGCGAGCTTCCTAAATTGGTGAGCTCGTAGGACGTCTTCGAGTGTTACATTTGTCGTCATTATGGCTTTATGATACTCTATATTTTCTTGAATTTTCGCTATGCTCGAGCGAATATTAGGCCACAAAGACTCAAGAAATACATTCAACCCTGGAGAAGATTGTAAGCAATTATCAAACAACGTTTCTACCGTTTACGTACTTCGATTGGAGAGAAAGTTTAATAATACGGCATAAAAGTCAAGAATATCTGCGTAGAAGAGACATAACACTCGGCGAATCTCGTGGTTGGATTCAAATAACTGGGCGTAAATCCTGAAACTAGGGAGCGTCATACCTAGGTCGCCTATGACTTTGACCACTTTCTCGAAGGTTGAAATAACAGCGCTTGACGCCTAGTGAAGTAAGGTTAGGACTCCTATTTACTATATTAAACGTGACGATATCTCACTTGGAGTATGAACTTGAGTGAACCCTACGTTCCAACAGCGTTATTATTAACATCTAGAGTCAACATTAGAAGGCGCGATGGTTCATACCCAAATAATACCCATAATATCGGGCTTTACTTGCACGAACACCTCAATGACGGCGGCATATTCCTTAAGACCGTTGATGAATGGGTCGATACGTTTTAACCCTCGGAGTGTCCTAGTCTTTGCTTGTTGTTTCTGTATCTTGATCGCTTCGTCGATTACATCGTCTGGAGAATTGATTTTTGAAAAGTCATACAAGGCTGGATTCTTGAGGTTTTTCTTGAAGTCTTCCTTCGCAGACTTGAAGGCTTCGTCGAGCCATGATGGGGGAGTGGTTGCCATTACCGCTATCTATCTAGAACACTGTCGATAGCAGTAGCTTCGACTTCGAGGTGTCGCAAAGGAAAACATAATAGCGACTCAATCAACCTAAGGAGTAGAAATAAACTACCAGAAATGTGACAATTGGGGGGTTTCAAAGGATCTGCCTTACGATGTGGCATGAAGGCGGTGCTTTGGGCAGCATGCATAGTCGGACCTATCAGCTATTGAATGGCTCACCGCGCAAAGGCAGGCTGTACTATCGGCATGCTGTGTCACTTCAAACACTGCAATGGTCTGCATAACGAGATTGTAAGAGGGTATGAAGGCTGCAGCGTAGATTCTGCCTGACCTAGATATGCTGTGCTCGGGAGCTAATAAGCCTACGAGTCTTTTCGAATTGATATGTTTTTATTCCAACTATTTACACTGTAATTACCCCATCATATACTATTAGGTATATGTAGCGTTTAGATAGATGATAAAATTAGCTACCTTAGGTACCTAGGTAGGTATGTAGCGAATATATACCTTTTGTATCTCTTGGGGTGAGAAATAGGGGGAAAAGGGGGAATATGTACCTGGATACTTGCGAACTTGCGATAAGATAAGAGAAAAGAATATTGACTTTCCACTCTTAGTTACCATTAAATGCCCATAACATGATTTATCCTATCGTAGTCTTCGACTTTTATAATTTATATCATAGGATTAATGAGTGTAGCATGGTTGGTAGCAACGCGGCCACGCTCTCTGGCGCCGGTATTGGCTCGTCTCAGCCTTCGCCTGCTATCTTCTAAGCCCCAACCTCAGCCTCTCCTCACACTCGCCATTGAGTCCTCATGCGATGACACGTGCGTCACAGTGCTGGAGAAGGACCATGACGCCGACCATGGAGCAGCGCGCCTCCTCTTTGACAAGAAGATAACATCCGACAACCGGCAATTTCGGGGCGTATGCCCTATGACTGCCGTTGCGTCGCATACCCAGCACCTCGCGGGGATGTTGCGGGAGGCTATGCGCGCGCTTCCTGACGCGGGGCTGGTAGAGACGAGAGACGAGGCTGCGGGCGGGGACGTGGTTTGGGTTGATGGTCAGCCACGTAGAAAGCCTGATTTCGTTACGGTCACACGCGGCCCGGGCATGATGTCGAACCTAGCGACGGGTCTCAACACAGCTAAGGGGCTCGCCGTCGCCTGGGGTGTACCGCTATTGGCCGTTCATCACATGCAGGCACACGCGCTGACACCACGACTAGTCAGCGCGCTCGAGGCTGGGAAGCAGAAGAGCGTGCAGCAGGAAGGACAGCCGAGGGAACAGGTACCAATAGGAGTTAAAGAAGAGAAAAAAACCCCAAACCAGGACTCAGCAACTCAACCCACATTGACCCCAGCCTTCCCCTTCCTCTCCCTCCTAGTCTCCGGCGGCCACTCCCTGCTCGTCCTCTCCCGCACTCTAACCAACCACTCTATCCTCGCCGAAGCCCAAAACATCGCCATCGGGGACATGCTCGACAAATGCGCACGAGACATCATTCCCGCCTCCGAACTCGCCGGCGGCAATGGCGTCATGTATGCCGCGCACCTGGAGCGCTTCGCCTTCCCAAACGGCCCGTCCGACTACGCGTACACCCCACCCTCCACGCGCGCGGAAGAGATCAAGATCTATGATCCCGGGTTCGGCTGGAAGCTTACCCCGCCTCTCTCCGAGTCTGTTAATATGTCGTTTGAGTTTGCGGGGTTGAACGGGCAGGTCATTAAGGTTATGCTGGAGAACCCGGATATGGAGCTTGCGGAGCGCCGGCTTGTTGCTCGGCATACGATGCGCTTGGCTTTCGAGCATTTGGCGAGTCGGTTATTGCTTGCTCTTTCCAAGAGCGGGGTAGCGGTTGAGGGGGAGGCGGAGGATAGGACGCTGCTGCGCAATGTCCGTACGCTTGTCGTGGCTGGTGGTGTCGCTAGTAATCGTTATCTGATGCATATTCTACGCAGGATACTCGATGTCCGTGGTTATAGCAATATTGAGCTTGTATGTCCGCCATTACCGCTATGCACCGACAACGGTGCTATGATAGCTTGGACCGGTATGGAGATGTACGAAGCGGGTTGGCGGAGCGAACTAGATGTTCTTGCTATTAGGAAGTGGCCTCTTGATCCGAATTCTGAGAATGGTGGTATTCTAGGAGCTCCGGGCTGGACGAATGTCGACCAAATGAGGTCATGATACTCCCTTTATGAAGAGGTTTACTTATAATTGGGAGGCAGTAGAGAATCTTGTACGACTACTGTTTGTACTATATTGTATAGCATGGTATAGCATATACTGGAGTTAGGCTATCTAAGGAAAGCAAAGCGAATCTAGTTGTAGAAAAGGGGTAGAAGGTCTTGACTCCTTAATCGTTGTACAGTTACGCGGTGGATCCTACCTAAGGTAGTGACCCGGTTAGGTACTGAGATAGTCTATCAAGCTCTGTTTTGCACTTCCCCCCCCTTTCTCCCTTACCACATGCCAGCTGATGTTCCCTGATATCATCCAGTATGCCCTTCGTAATAATTCATCCCTAACCTAACCAAACCCTTGATTTAGTCCAGGGAGCTGGTAACGTTGGTGAACTCGCCCTTCTCTAACTTCGTCTTCCAGAATATCGGGTTCGTATCGTTGAAGCCATGCTTGACCCAACCCTCTTCCTTGACGTGGTACAAGTTGATGAAACCACCCGAGTACGCATCTCGGTGCGTAGCAGCCAGGATACTCCGACGGCCTAGTTCTAGAGCATCCTCCTCGTTCAAATCGTAGCGGTACTCTGCATCGAGTACACCGTAGGCAAATGTCTGACCGGAACCAACACAGAACAGGTTTCCGGCAAGCCGGGTTCCGTCGGAGTCGATATAGTAGAGAGCGGGGCCCTCCTCCTTGGTGACACCGGCGCACATGGTTCCCATAGACAAACCCATGCCCTTGTACTGATAGACGAGGTTGGCGAGAATCTTGGAAGCTGCGGCGACGCTGATGCGGCGCTTGTGACGTAGCTCGTGTAGGCGGCACTGCATGCCTAACCAGGCGAGCCAGTATTGGCAGTCGGCAGCACCACCGGCCATAGTGCCCAATAGGCAGTTATTAATCTCGATGACCTTCTTGACGGTCTGGGAGGCGATCCAGTTGCCGGCCGTAGCTCGAGAATCTGTCGCTACGATGATACCGCCCTGGAATCGGAAAGCGAGGGTTGTTGTACCGTGCGCGATCTTAATGGGACAATCGGGGTTTGAGCGGTCGTCGGTTGCTGCACGGAGCCATGCTGAGGGCTGGTTTTTTCGAGATTGGTTAGCTTCGTTTGCTTTTACTTTCACTTTTCTCTTCTCCCTCTTCCTGAGAGTTAGGTATATTTATAAAATACTACTTACTTGGGCTACAGGCGGCATAGCGAATTTGAGAGATAGGCCCGGGGCGACATCATTCTGGAGATCTTCTTGCTCTTCGTCTGCAAAGGTCTCATTGTGAAAGGCAGTCGGGCGACTGTACCTGGCTACGAGGGTATCCATGGCCAATATCTAGACGAGGCAGTACTAATCGGGGTTGGTGCTAGATGTAATTAGAAAAATAGAATTGATGTGGTGTCGTTACAGGCGGGATGAATGTGTAGAAGAGCGCAAGGCAGCGAAATGATTGACGTCTGGTCTAAAGCTCAAGGCAGCTGGCCTCACGCGTCGTTACTTTAGGTACTTCTTACCTTTCAGTGCTCTTTTTAGATGGTCCAAGCTCCTTCTGTAGATATGTAGGTACTTTAGGTACCTAATGTACCTCTTTACTATGTACATCCCACATTCAATTAGATGATCAATATTACATAATCTCACTCACCTTAGTTGCATACTATTAACATGTATCCGTACTAAGATACAGAAATACAGAAATAACCTCAGCAACTACAACTACGACATCATTCCTCAATTAACATCAAATACAATCATGAATTAAGAAATATTTATAAAAATAGGTAGGTAATCAACATAACCAATACCTCATAAGTGACCCAAACCTGCACTTATACAAAATTAACAAATAATAAATAAGATATGACCGCGCTCACTACAATTGAATACAGGTTACAGCTATATACTCGTAGAGAAGATAGGGGCGGCCGTTAAAAATGAGATAAATGAAATGTATAGGCATCTATGTTAGCCAGGCCTGGATTGCCTGTCGTCTTTATACACCGTTTCGTGGCCACATTATGCCATGGTAACACCGTTGGTGGTCAACTTTTTCTCTGTCGTCTCGAATAGATACTACTAGGTGGGCTCTTTACTTCTAAATCTGTATCCCATCCCCATTCTCATCCTTCACCACCACTCCCCCGAGCCATTATTTCCCATCCCGTCCGTAATTTAGTAATTTAGTATACGGAAGGTCCGCGATACCCTGAATATCCATTCTGTTGCCCGTAGCTATCACCATACCCGCCCCCTACGTTCGGTTGTTGCCCCGCGGGAGCCGCACTTTGCTCTTGACTTCTCATCGGTAAGCTGGGCGTTAAGGGTCTGCTGGTGTACGAAAGGCTTAATGGTGAGTAGGTATCAGATGGCTCGACTGCGACGCCGATATATGGATCCGGTGAAGGGGAGCGGCGGTCAAGCGGCTGCTTGGAGTCTGATACAGAATTGGTATATGTGATGGTGATTCTAGTCTCATTGGTTTTCGAGCGGTCTAGGAGTAAAGAGTTACGTGCGTCCAAAGGCGTCAAGGTGTCCATATCACGCTGGTATTGTTCTGCAATGTGTTAGAATATTGTTCCTAGTTTCACCTCCTAGGGAAGGCTGGTATTGTTTAACTTACCCATCTCCTTTCTGCGCTTGCGGTGAGGGTTTTGCTTGCAGCATGCTATAATTGCATTCCATGCGATGAGAATTGCGAGAGTTCCTGCAAGACCCGATTGTATGGCAATCAGAACGACACCGGCAACTGTCTGCGTGGTTTGGGCGATGCCGAATTCTTCGACGAAGAGGAGAACGCAGACGATTGAAAGAACGCGCACAACCGCAATAGCAATGTTGATCACATTGCCAGATTTCCGCTCGAATGGTTTACTCCAGACCAACAAAGCCAACATTGACCCTTCGACGATTAAAAGACAGATTGACTGTGCCATACCATGACCATCGGTGGCGGCGAGGACGCAACCTTTGGCAAACATGTACGCAATGACTGGCACGAAGATCCACCAGTAATCTTTCCTATACGATTCGTAGAAGAGTGAGTACTTAACCCAGTGCTCCTTATCCTCGTAGAGACCCGACGTGTCTCCCTCGCTGTTCTTGAGCTTATGTGCGATACTCCAGATCCTCCAAGAGAAGAAAGCTAGAATGGCAGTAAATAGGATAAGAGTAACAGCGGCAAGTGCCTGGGCAGCCCAAGAATCGCCATGTGTGAATTGGAACACACAATATAGAACCCAGATGCTGTAAAGAACCAGAATGAGGGACGTGATAGCACGAGCAATCGAACCCCAATAATGCTTGCGGAAACCAGTCAAAGACTCAGGAAAGTGGCCATATAGGGACCAAGCCTCGAGGATAACCTTCACCAGCAAGATACCGACGACAATAACAGCAACGACGATGGCGACGATCAATAAAAGCGTCATAAACGTGTTGGACTGCGGTACAGATAATTGCTGAGCGTATCCTTGAATACCCGAGACAGCCGCACGGATCGTCGCCTCGGTACTCGTCGCTGTTTCTCCGTCGGTGCCCGTTGCGTTAACCGACGTATCGACATCACGAATAGCAAGGTGAACCGCTTCCGCCATGGAACGACCGAAGAGCGATCCCTTCCCGTTCGCAGTTGTGCCGTCGGGGTAAACGAGAGTAGCTTTCTGAAGGAATTCAACACTGTCCCTGGTTAAGTTTCCACCTGTCATTCCTCGAAAGTTGTCGATAGAGACTTGCATCTGTCTCCATGGGATGATGCCCGTTGAGAAGCCGAAGTTCTTCGTGAAGCTACGGTAAACCTGTGGCGTCTGGACAGACATCATACCGTTCATGGCGAAACCTTGGAAAATGCCGAACATTTCCATGAAACTCGGGCTCATGGTACCTCCAGCTCCGCCAGCCGCACCAGCTCCTCCCGCTGCACTGATGGCTCCAGCACCACCCATCAACAGAGCTGCTCCCGCTACGCCGGCGGCGATATACGAGACTGCGGGTACGTCGGTCGTCTTGCCATTCGTTACTTGGGCCTGGACACAGGCAATTTCTGCTCCGGTATCTAAGGTCTTAAGCTTTAACGTCGCCTGGGCTGCTATGTCGGGTACCTGAAAAGCAACAGCAGGAATGACACCAGCATATTGAGGAGGTATCGCCTGAGTACCTCTTGCAGTAAAGACACCGGCCGGAGCTGTTCTTCCATTAGCATTATAATTTTTGAAAAGAAAAAGAAAAAGAAAAATCGGCGAGGCTCGATAAGCATACCAGGACACAATTCATCGACGAATGTGGTCTCATTGCAAGGATTAAAAGCGTTTGTGTAAACATCTTGCCCGTACGCGGATACGGAGAGCCATGCCGTTACATTTTGTCGTTTGTCGCTCGTGCCTACAATATCGAAAACCACGAGCTTGTCGGCATTATTATAAGAAATTTCCACCTTTTGGACCCTAATGCTGCTATTCTCCTCACAATTGTTGAATCCATTTGTCACTAAAACATCGCTACTCAGGACTCCGCTGGCAAGTGCCGTTGCCCATATGGCCGCTCGCCGGATATTCCACCTCGAATTCGATATCGCCATGCTGATCGGATTTTGTCTATATCGTAGAATAACCCAAGGAAATCGTGAGTCCACTGGGAAATGGAAACTGTTCGTTATCTATATGTATGTTGCCTGTGTAGACGCCTGCCCAGCTGTGTGAAAAAAAATCAATCGCTAGATGCTGCCTGGGTATACCACGGCGTAGATAGCCGTTTTGATGAGCCTATTAAAAAATCTGTATCGCTTGCAAAAATGAACCGGATCGAAGAAAAGGCGTTCGTCCGGGGTATATGATGACTGGTGATCTTGTTGGATGAATAACCGTCTTAGGAGTTTAATGTAGTTACATAGAAATGGTGTACGATAAACAGCACAATACCAAGGAGATGGTCTTGTTGCCTAAAGAAAAAGCATTCAAATAAAATATGGCCAAGGATCAACCCGTGGCAAGAATAGAAAATCGGCAACAAGACGTTCTCCGAAGAAAGAGTGAAAGGATAGGATAGCAGGACCCAGGACCGTTCCTAGATATGGAAGACGAACGGGCCTGGGACGCGTTGTCAACGATGACGAGAAGGTTGACGATAATATGTGAGAGAGAGTCGGCGTCGGCGTCGGCGCATATATGAAACGAGTTCTTACTTAGAGCAGTAAACGAGTGTGGGTGAAAATAATCACTAAAAGACAACTTTGAAAGCAGAAGGTTGTATAGGGCGCCAAAAAGGAAAGACTGTGAAGGTCAAAGCAGGTTGGTTGGTGAGAAGAAGCCAAGCTCAGAAGATGCACCTCCGTTCCACGACCCCTGATGAGATCTCTTCTTGATGAAAAGAAGGGACCGGTTGACTGGCTGCGCGTATATCCCCTGTCCAAGTTGAACATTCGAGGCTAATACCCAATACCCCAGTCCAGCTACCCCCTGTCGGAGCCATCATCGTGGAGCCCGGCGCAAAAGGTGCGACAGGGGGCTTGAGAAGACTAACCTGGTTAGGTCGAGATAATCCACATGAAACCGACCTCCTTAGAACATCATTGGACGTCCGGCAAGCTCCACGGCCGACTAAGCCGGATTTAGGAGCTAGATGTAAGCCATCTTGGAATTTCGAAACATGATGAGAAGAAGTTGGTAAATGAGTAACGCTACACTCCCTCAAACGACGACTGCCGTAGTGTAATCTAGTAGCGTGGCGGTCCGTCCACTGAGTAAATATATATTTAACATGTATTTACTTAGGTTAGGTAGGTATCCGTATGAAAAGCATATATCTAATTAGTATATAGTAGGTTAGGTACCTATAGTTATCAAAAGGGAAGCAAGAGATATTTGTGCATTAGATTATACATATGCAGAACATTAATAAAGTAAGTGATAGGTACATACATACATATAAGGAGGTAGGCATGATCATAGAGGGGCTCTCATTTACTCGACCAAGAACAAAGTAATTCCAGTTTGAGATTGAGACGAAGAATTTGGTTGGTCAAAAAAGGAAAAGCCAAGGGAGGAAATTAAAGTCATTGGCTAGAAATTGTTAGGTCATCTCCAGAATTGCTTGTGAGAATGAACCGCCACCAGGGGGGACGTTGTCAGTGCAGGGGGTCTCAACTTCGGCTTCCATCAGAATTCCAAGCCACGTTCAAAACAGGAGTTATTCTATCAGTGCTCAAAATACGATGTCTTACATAGTGTGTACATGTGTACATACAAACGCATAACTAAAGAAAAGGGGAAAACACTTTTTCCAAGTTTATTCTTCTTTTCTTCTTCTTATTCTTCTCGGCGTCATGTATAAGTTAAACCCAACACGAGAATGATCTGCAATTATGTTGCCATTCTTTAATTTTAGAATTATTCACTCCGGGATCTTGATATTATGTATAGGTTCATCTTATTATTGAACCCTAGCGATCTAATATGACGACGAACCGTCTATCCTAGACCTTGGCCATACAGGAGGGACATGGTATATTGAGTACATAATTTAATGTTATTATGCATGTCTTCAACACCAACCCCCGTGTCGCACGATGATGCCCAAAGGGAGCTTCAAAAGAATCCAACAGCCTACTACTTTATATATTTATATATATTCTTAGGTTAGGACAACGCCTTCATATATTCGAGTCATTCTTCCTTCAATATGTATTTGATCCTTTTTACAATCTACTAACTGCAAGAGGCGTCTTATATGTTATAAAACGGCGCAGTTATTAAACTACTATATTAAGGCTAGCTGCACTAGTTAGCCGTACCGCTAGAGGCGCTATTACAAGAGTAGTGAATACATGCATATAATAACTGCAATCCCCCACAGGAACCACCGTGGGTCCTAAATCAGATTCGAGTTTAATCACTGTCGTGTTTAAGCTTAAGTTTTCAGCATAGAAACATAATATCAGTGGGCATATTGAAATTAATGTTACTATTATTTCTGAGTCGTGACTCGAAAAGATGAACCTCCTGAAGCTAGCAAAGTTTTCTCATACATTTGAGACGCAAGGGAGAACCGTATCTTTCACGAATAAATATTCTTAAGTACAACACATTTAAATAAAGTAGGTTGCGACTGAAGGGTAAGCTAATGAAATTGATAATAAGAACAACTCATAACATGTGAGACCCGCCTGTCTAGATAATGTACCTAAGGTACAGAGGCCTCCAGCCTTCACAAAAATTTTCTACATATCAAAATCTTAAGCAAACCCATATTCAAAGGTACGAATCGAGGTATCTGAATTGTGAATGAAACGTCTATTGAAAATCTAGAAGAAAGCACACCAAACCACCCAACCCCAATGACACGAAAGAAAAGAAAAGCGCTTCTCATCAGGTCAGACATTTGTGTGCATTCCGCTACTGTCATATATCTCAAAAGGTTCATCAATAGTCCATCCATCCATCCATCCATCCATCCATCCATCCATCCATCCATCATATCATATCGTACTGAACGACATCCGTAAATCTTTTCTATCACTGGACGCAGCCCAAATAAAACAGAGACAACTTTCGTCCAACTATGCATGTTCCACATATATAAGATATAACGTAGGATAAGTGATAATCGAGAAAAAATAGTCTGGAAGCCATTTGGGCGGCTAGACTTCTGCTAGAAAATGAAAATATATAAGTATTGTCCAAATAAAGCCGTATAATATTGTAAGTTTCGCATGGAATTTTCTTAATACACCCAAGATCATCTTAGGGCGTCTTAAAAACTCCAGCTTGAGGGTATCTGTTATAAAGAGGCATCGCGAAGCATATTGCAAAACAGGAATAGGTTCATCATTCACGAGTTGTAAAAGTTGTTTTGGCCTTGGTGAGGTGAGCGATGATAAGGCGAAACGGAGCCTCCATGGTTGGAATACTGCTCGACCGGTTGGATATTACCAGCTGCAAGGTTGCTATAGCATAAAGACCCGGCAGACTCTTGAATTCCTAGAGGATCGAATTGAGGAAATGGTTCTAATCCATCTTGCTGAGATTGCAAATTCACGTAGGAATTTAGAGACTGGTCATATGACGATATTGTGGTGACGGGTACCGTATGGTACGGAGGTTGGGATGGTTGAGGGTTGTTATAATTGGGCATCATCATACTAGGCCCCTGATTAGGCGTCATTTCGTTATACGACTGCGCTATCGAGTGTGGGTTGTAGTAGTCACTTTGTAGGGGGTTTCGTACGGGCATCCGGACTACGTTATAATTGAAGCCATCTTGGGAATACCCCGTCGGCCCTGTTGGCATTGGAACGGAAATCGGCGTGTTGCAACTCTCTGGACTAAAGCTTGGATGCTCTTGTTTTACTGGGGGTATTGGAAAATTAGGGCGTGGCGGATCCTGCACGGGGCTGATGATTGTATCTGCGTCAAGTTCTTTCCTGCCGACAACTTCTAAGACGGGAAGGCTGAGGTGCTCCATATGTTTTGCTAAATGAACCGTAAGTTTTTTCCAAGTCGGGAATGTCTTTCGACAGAACCGGCAAGGCTCGTTAGATGGCTTATCTGACGTGTCAACGTGGCACGACTCTACTCTCGACCACGTGCGGTCACCACCGCCAGCCTTCTTGATGGCAGCTTTCGTCTTAATTTTTGGCTCTGCGAATTTATGCTCACGAACGAGATGCTGTAAGAAATTGTCACGTCTGTAGCAGATATGTCGGCAGTCGTCAACGTCGCATGTCCACCACTCGAGATGACGATGACCTTCATTTTCATGACGGACCCAGTCAGCTTTTCTTTTGAACATCTTAGGATTGGGGCATTTCTCCCAGGTGCATGTGAACGGCTGAACATCCTCGTGGACGTGCTTGGTCCAGTCAGAAGGTTTCTGGAACTTTTTACTCGTGAAGCATAGTTGGCACTCAAACTCTGCCGGGAGGGACGAAGTCGGAGGCATGGGGATACCTTGTGGGAAGCTTTCCGAGCTAATACCACCTTCGAGTGGCGTGGTGTCGCCGTCGGACGAATCTGGTCGAGCTGATAGGGGGTCAAGACCTCGCTCGTTGCCTCTGCCATCTAGAGGAACAGCTGACCCACCAAGATCAATGCATTGTGTTCCACTATGGCAATTTTGCTGTCGAACCTGATTTAGATGCTTGATTTTCGCGGTCTGAAGTTGCTTATAGCGTATAACCATCTGATGCGCAATGCGGTCGGCTAGCCATCCATTCTCACTTGGAAGACCAGGATTTTGATCAAATACATGTTCTCGGAAACCCACGAAAGTTGGTTCGATGTGTCTCGATTTGTTCAACTCGGTCTTTATGTCCGCGTCGTCAAACCCTTCGTCATCTTCATCTTCATCATCGTCGTCATCCTGTTCTATTGTCGATCGCGTCCCCGCTAGTGCAGCAACTGGTGGACCACCTTGCTTTTTCAACATCCCCACGAGATTTGGGTGTGAGAAGTATTCCGGATTAGAGCTCTTCGGAAGCTCCGTCTTACTCCTCGGCCTCCTGAGAGTATTTTTAACGGAGGGTATACTGAGAGCTCCAAATGAACTCTTCGGCGAAGTCACCGATGCACTAATTGAACCGCTCCGAACGTGAGCTGTCCCGATTGAAGCAGCTCCTGTAGCCATTCCGAGCAATGCGGTATTTAAACTAGGAGGCTGCTTCTTAGTAATGCCCCAACTAGAGGTACGCGACGGCGGCGCCAACGTATCTTTAGACTCTCGACGTTCACGTTCTCCAGTATCCTCTGGTGGTACTTCACTAGCATTGCTTCCTTTACGCTTCAACAACTGGCTGGTGCTAGGCTTCCGTACAAGGCTAGGAATTCTTTTCATGAAACCCGGCCGGCGACTGTGTCCACTAATGGATAGTTTCTTAAAGAAATTTCCGCTGAGAATTTCCTCCATGTCCACGATGCTAGGTAGGCTTCGCCGGCGCGTCCCCCAGGTAGCTGCTCTCGAGACAATTGAGTCGGTATCCTGGCATTGCCGGTTGAACCTTTCGATAGCAGCTTGTGATGTTGCAGGCTGATAGTGGGTGCCAGATTGAATAGCATGAATTGTCGGCGTATCCCCCCAAGTAGGGAACTGTCGCATCATATCAATATCAGCGTGCGTAATAGGCCCACCTGGTCCGTTGACATTAAAATATGTCTGATTATGAATGTAATTGTTCTCAGTTGTATCTCCTAGAGGAATTTCGGTGGAAGGTATATTATCATCTCCCGAATCCTGTCCACCAGCAAGCCTTTCCTGACTATCTGAGACGTTGCTCGGGTTACCAGCCGATCGGGAGACCCATTTAAAAACCTCTTTGTTCTTCTCTGCGCGTTCCCTTTGGGTAGCTTGCTGATTAGGACTTGGGATCTCCTCGGAAGGACGGTTTCCTGGGGCAAGGCCTCGATACCCTCCGGCAGGCTGTGGTAACCAGTTACCCTGTGCATCTCGTAACACTGTGGTCTCGTGGGTATTCTCGCTGGTCAAATCCCCGGCTATGCTTTGTGAAACGTGCACAGTCCGAGGACTTTCGGCGCCCGCAATAAAGGACCTCTCTACACCTTGTATTGGAGCTTCTGCATCCCTGTTCCACATGGAAACGGTAACGCGGGGACTTTGGGTAGCCATAGCAAGCGTAGTCGGCGCAAGACTATCATCACTCGAGAAACTACCGTCGTTCGTATCAGGTGTTAGCTGAGGCGCAGATTGATTCGAATCGATGGAGCTGGTAAAGGGCTGAACTTGATTTGCGAAATGCTGATAGTCAGTGGAATCCGCCAAGCCAACACTGGTGTCTATACCACCACCAAAAGTTGATGTAGATGGTACGGCAGGCGTTTGATGAGGACTCAGAGGATATATAGCATCTCTAGTAACAGTGTTTTGGATGGGTACATGGGTTATGGGTTCCTGAATACTGTCGAACCCTTCGAGGAATTGAGGCAATGTATCTTGGGTGTCGTTGAAGTCAACCCCAAGAAATGGGTCATCAAATTCGCTACTGAACTCGCTCGGCTGGTAGAAATCGGTGGAGACGGTGTCCGCGGGGGTGTTGAGATTAGCTATAGGTGAGGCGGAGTTACTTTGAACGTGGGAGGAATACGGTGACAATAGATGAGATTCAATAGGCGTGACGGGGCACTTTTGGTTGTTATGATTGTAATTGTAGTTATAGCTATGGTGAGTATCGCGGGGGGGTTGCTGTGTGCGATCATTGAGGTGATCGCGAAGGTCGAGCGACGCAGGCGAAACTGTGTATCCCGCACTCATGGTCATAGCTGGGGTAAGGATAGGTGGGCGATCCAGGGTTAGTATATATTAGGATAACGTATAATACTGGAACCGCACAGCTCTTGATAGACTTTGTCAAGGGGAAACCATGTTCCTCCTATACTATAAGCAGCGGGCGCGACAATTGTGAAGATGGCTGAGCCAGAGCCTTGCGATCTCAATGCAACGAATGTCTTTAGGACCAACTATCTTCAGCTATTTCATGGGGTAATTGACGATATACGGAAAAGAGAAGGTATGATATCTAGGATGACGGATCTAGTTCTCGGTTGAATATCAAAAGACTTGATTCAGAAATTAGAAGAGGATCTAGTAGAGTCGTTGGTTACAATGCTGAGAGGGATGTTAAGTCGGCAAGCCGATACAGCGGCGGCGGCGCTTAAGGTGAGTGGAGTTGAACGGAAATCGGCGCCAAAATGGAAATACCCCCAGCTTAGCGCGACCTCTTTTCTCCGCCTAAGACAATCTGATCGAAACCTGTGCCGATGGAGTTGCAAGGGGGCCGTGCAAAAGTACAAGGGGAGCAGGGGGGGGGAAGATGACGGAAACTGGTGATCGAAGGCTTAAGAATCTAGTATTTCAGTGGACGGGGGGGGAACTGTAGACTGGACACTGGACACTGAATACGGATAAAGGGGCAGAGAAGTTGGGAGATGGAGGATGAGGTGACCTGAGATGGGCAGTACACTTGTCTATGTCGATGGGCAAAGTCGACAAGGCAATTTTCTCGCGAATCGATACATTGATGATAGGGCTCGCGCACTACTGCGGCTCCCCTTCGAAAGTATCTTGCGCCATTTGATTGGGTCCCTGTCCGTCATTTTGTCATGGCCAGCCAGTCGAGGCGTTCTGCCTATTGAGTGAGCAGGGGTTGTAAGGCACTCTTCGCTTCCTTCTCAGCCCCGAATAAGTCCAGGGCACCCCACTTGTGAGCCCACCATGTTGCATAGATGGCACATAGATGGCATAGATGGCATAGATGTATGTACACTCGACCAAACGAGATCGCAAGGCACTTCAGATGACAGACGGGTACTATGCAGGTGAGGCTTGTTGTAAGTTAAACTGCAAAATGATGACATTTGCTGACCCGAACTGCCGTGACCAATTCATACATATGGCGGTGCTCTGTGGAGCTTGTGGCAGTAACAGGTATGTAAAACATACCAACTAAAACATACCGAGATCTAAGACGGGCCATTTCCTTCGAGATTCTAGGTTGGTAGACATGGTGAACGTATACAGATGCTGCACGTCCAGGATGTGGGAGCCGAATCAAGATGTTACCCGCTGTTGCTCCAGCCGCATCGTAGGTTCTCATTAGGAAGAAAATCGGATATTCTCTAACTACTGTCTCGATCCTCTCATTGGGAGAGACAGAGGTGGTTAGCGAATGCTACTGTAGCACGAGCCGATATAGATACGGCCCGCTAGCTAAAACGTGAACATCCACGGTTGGTCGTATGGTATAGCAGACATATCCTTATCGCAATTATACCGTCTTAGTAGGTAGGCTTAGAGGAAATGGAAGAACTTCTTCGTGTTCCTTCAGCGTATATTATCAATTGAATATGATTTATTGACGTCCCTGCCTCGATAGCCTGCAGTAGCGTGAAATCCACGGCAGTCTATTGAGTGTATGTAGAATGCAGAGGGTATAGCACAGCCACGACTGCGCTGGCATATTTACCTAGAGGTAGAAAAGTGTGTAACAGGGTCAGGCAGAAGTGACCACAAACAGCATTGCCGGAGAGTTGTCTTCAATGTGTATGTAGAAGCGAGTATCACGGACGTGGAGACTAATTTCATCCATATTCCAGAGTCTTCGAAGTATAGTACTGGGTCTGTACGGGGATTTGGGATCTGGGACGTGGGTTGTGTCAAACGATAGAGATGCAACGATGCAAGCGCGTAGGTGCGTACGGAAACTAAGGAAAACCAAGAAAACAGAATAAGCTGCTATGTTGGTATTAAGTCGGTATTAAGTTACCTAAGTTAGTAATAAGCATGTCTGCTCCCGGCCAACAGTCAAAGGTTGAAGAACGGCACAGCGCTAAATCTGGTATTTTTAACCGCGCAACCGCGATGCAACACGGCCGTTTATAGAGAACTACCCCGATTCTGCAAAAAAATATCTTTGCATCTTTTACTTGCGTACTAAGTTTGCGAGTATCGCTGTGCCGCAAAGTTTGCATCATTGACGTATCAAACCCGTTAGGATTTTGGTTTAAAATCCAACAAGTTCCAAATTCGAAAAGTACCTAACCTACCTAAGCATTTGAAGTAAAGAACCAGAGAGAGTCACGTGTTTGCCTTATGACTTCCCGTAGTTCCCGTCCTAATCCGTACTTGTGGAAATATGGAGGTGGGGGGGCTTACATACACTAGTAACCCCTCCCCCCTTCCCCCCGCAACAACACCATTCGCCGGGCATTCTTAGGCAAGTCTCAACCGCCTAATAGTAACCTTTTTACGTGCCGTTTTTATGTACCATCGACGTCACGTAACCAAAAACACATTGATATTACTACAAGTAATGAAGATAAAAATAAAAATAATTCCAAGTTATACTGGGAAATATGTTTCAAGTAAGTTAATTCATTCCTCTTGCTACCCCAAGAAAGATACATGCCTGTCTTCCAATATGCAGGAAGATATTCTTATTAGTATCACCCTAAAATAACAAAATAATCCCACGCGACACTTCCCCCTAATATACCACTCCCCTGATATATCATATCATTGCATGTACGTGACTAGTTAGGTATTGACTTACCATGTTCTAGCCAAATCCAGAAGATCGTCTTCATCTTCGAATGCACCGCGCCCGTTCGGTCATTCTTACAACCCAAGAGTACGTCGAGCACTCCCATCTATCAACTAAACCTACCCATCTTTAAATTCCCCGGGTTGTGGCTCAACTCTACCCGACTAGATACCATATATAGCAGGTCTCAGTATTATGTAGCTACTCACATTAGAAACCCCGACTGCGAGTATGAGCCTCACGTGTACCTCGTAGATGACAGAAACTCATAACTAACTCTTAATTTCTCGCTCCTCACAGGCTAGTAGAGATCCGAGCTGCTCAGAGAACCTTTGAGGGGGCTTATATGCGGACTGCTCTCTCGCAGTTCAGTTTTGCTCTGATCATACTCAAGATTTTCACCTCAGAATTCTACGCCATAGGCGCTCTCTTCGCCGTTTATGGTGCGGCAGTCTTACTATGCTCCATATATCGTCGGTATCAGGGTAACACGCAGTTTTTCACCTCGACCGACAACGACGGCGAGATGAAAAATAAGTTCCGCACCAGCGGTAACAGCGTCCTGCTTCTCACCGCTCTAAGTATCGGAGCTTACGTTGGTCTAATGGTTCTAACTTGGCAACTGGAAGCGTGAAGAATGGTGACTGGAAACCTATAAAGTCTTAAAGCCTGAAACAGAACCCTAAATTATCTGCTAGCTATCATTTCTAATACGTTTTCAGGGTTAGTAACGTTTCTTGAAGTAGATAGTAGCCGACTTTTTGGTCGTTTCGGTGGGAGTATGCCAGACCGAGGTGTTGTACAATGGTGTAGGTAACATCAGCTTACGCAACTATTATGATGGAGCACACGACATATAAAATAATGGAGCATCCATACGGGATATTTATTATGCATCTGAGACATACTAGGCACAATGACGCCGAAGAGAATGTGCTCTATATCGCTGTGCAACGAGTAACGAGTAATCTCGCCAAACTCCTAGACATATCCAAGGTTTCTTACTGGCTACGACCTTTGCACCCCGGGTCAATGCCAATTATGTGGTAACAAGCGTAGATACAGTCAGATGATAATCGTTTGCGGTGCTTGCAGGTAGGTAATGTTCCATTTGGTACGTTTTAACATGTCGATCCGTCTAATTGGCATATTCACATTCAAGACGTCCCAGCGAATATTTTAAGCAGTTATCTACTGAGAGTGTTGATACTCCCAATTAAGTACATATAGTAGGTAAGAGTCCAGGAAACCAAATAACACACTCGTACCTTTTATCACCAAGAAAGCAAAACAGACCAGCCTCAGTAATACCCATCTCCCCGCATCCAAAAGCCAGTTTTGCGCGATCCGCCCTTCGCGAAAATTTCCAGTTACCTAGGCCATATTATATAAATGTATAGCTAACGAAGAGGGGAGAGCAATCAACGAATAGCAATAGCGCTAGATATTAGAGCGAAATGTGCTCTTTGGCACTCCGTAAAAAGTAAAGCCTTCGCCTAGCCTTAGGCACTTCTCCCCCTCCCCGACCCTAGGATCCGTAGCAAGCAGCTTACAAGTCGCGCCAGTGAACTGAGTACACGCTCCCAGCTAGAAGTATTCAAAGGATAGCCGGACGGGAAGCCGCATTGGTTACCGAATACTTGTGATCCCCTGTCCTTCGTGTCCTGCCAAACGCGAAAAGCCAAACGCTCCCCTGTGGTTCTTCCAGTTTCCTATATAAAAGATTCCTTTACCCATAATAAAAGATCTATTCTTCTTATATCCTATTCCTACATCAAATGGCATGTCCCGGTAAATTCCCGTGAGTAAGAGAGGGAACTATATGCCTGCCCGTCAGTCCGATATGTCCTTCGAAAGTAGCTGCACTTCACCCATGCGGAAAATCGACAATGAAATATTGGTGGGCACTTTCTTTTGTATCGGTTAGTCAATGCTTGATACCGCCGTTTGCGTATATGGATGGTGTGTATATTGCTTGGCTAGTCGAGGCCGATATGACAGTAGAATGAGTTCTTCGATGAGTCCCCGTCAAAGGGTTAGTTGTCGTTGACTTGGTCACACATGGTGTATATTTGTCGATCCCACCGTGCTATGAATATGCCACATATCCTTGCACCGGAGCAAGACCCGTTGCTCAGCCCTTTTCTGATTCGCATATTTTCCTTCGTGTTCCCGTCCCTTCCCTGTTTTATCCAGGCATTCTTCATATTTCAAAATAGGAAATGTCGATTTCGTCCACCAACATACAAAAGGGAATTTTAAATGATTTAAGTTATATGAGAAAGCCAACGCCAGACGACGGCAGAATGAAATGCTGCGGTGAAAAATACGCGGCCAGAAGATTGCGAGTTGTCTGATACTCCGCACCATGCCGCGATCGAGCTCTGGTCATCGTTGGCTATAGTAGACTCCTCCGACATGAGAGGGATTCTCGCTAGACGAGAGATGTGCTTCGGCGGGATGGCCATGGTTCTCATACCACCCACCATAGTCTTCGTTGGGTCTAGAGTATTGGTACTGCTGCTGCCATACATCATATGCTAGATGCGGCGTGGCACCAGCAGAAAGAGACCCCTGAGTGGCCAAGCTTGCTTCTGGCATGATGTTGGTCGCGCTCGGTGATTGCACCCGGTCGTATGGTCTTGTCGACGAAGAATCAAATTGTTCGGATTGATGGCTGTTGAATGACATCGATCTCGCTCCCGATGGGTACGGACGCCACGTGTCATCGAGATGCGTCTCGGTATCCATTCTATTTATCCCGAGTGAATTCGCCGACCATGTCGATAGTGATGGAGTCGTTGTGTGGGAGGTATATTGAGAGAATCCCGTAGTCTCGGAGACATCGTGGGGATAGGTTGCCCAAGGGGTGTTCGTGGCCCCCGACGTCGTTTCGGTGCTGTCATCCGCATCTGTCGACATCCAACCACTTGTCACTTGCCCATAGCTAAAGGACCGGCTGCTAGGTGTTGTCGATGGAACTTCTCTACTTGTTAGCAAACGGCTTATAGCCGTAGGGCCTCAAAGAAAGATTCATATTAAACATACTCCTAACAGAATAAGTCTCATCTTCACCAGTTTGTACTGGTTGTTGTCCTATATTTGGCATCGATGGCATTGCTGTAAGCTGGTGGTAGGCCGAATTCGGTTGCCCTTCCACGATATGACCCATTGCTGCTGCGGGAGATATGGTGGGTGACGCAGGGTTAGACCCAATTGATACTCTTCTTGGCCGATGTGTCATCGTGTGCGGTTGTGTTTGTGGATTTACTGCGGTATATGTGCAATCCTTTTTGAGATTGATGCAACTTTCACATCGGTTCAGGAGATCCTGCACCTCAGGCTTTTTACACCTGATCTTCCTTCTCCGGCAGTGTTCTATACCGAATTGCGCTTTAACACTCATACGAACTTCTCCTTGAGCTGGCCACTACTTGGCGCGATAACCACTTACCACATGCGACTGTTGATCGATGGTAGCCGAGCCTATTCCTCCTTCTCTCGTTGGGATGGCCAGGTAGCCCATGATCGGTTTCGTTTGCCCCCTACGGTCTCGAGTTAGGAGTCGAGATAGGTCTTTTCAACTTATGTTTTTCAGATGGGATACTCTGTTGTATGGTAGGGAGGGGGGAGGATCTAGTTGCTCTGGGCTAATTGTAGACACGGCCGGGGAGGGGGTGAAAGCGGAGTCGTGGGCCAGGTTGGATGCTGATAAGTCTTACCTCTAGGGCGGAACTTGTCCGTGTTAGATGTCTACCCATGTAGGTAGCTTGTGGCGCATCCATCTCAGAGCCCTCATGTGAGGACGCGGAATGACAAGACATAATATTTATGGTGAATCTGGACGGACCGAAGATATGTTATATGCTCGAGCAGCTACGAACCCTTCAGATCTATCTGTGCTGAAGAGATTATCGGCGGATACTTACCTTCAACGGGTCTCCCCAACATGAGAAGTTAAGGAGTAAGCCGCTTTGAGCAACCCTTTTCTTTGAATTGGGGGCGGCTGGCTTCTGCACTGTGGCTTTCCACCCGCTAAGTATCTTAACGGTGGATGGTAGATGGCAGCCTTCAACAGGTTTCGATTCGAGCTTCTTAATCACTCTCCGGGACCACCATAAACCGAAATATGGTAACAATGGCTAGCAGAATATGGTGGAGAGGAAACAAGGAATGGGCCAATCGAGTTCGTAAATTTTCTTGTTGTCTTGGAGCCAGATATGCAATCCGACCATAAAAGCAACCTAACTCTCATCCAAGAACCGCTGCGTTAGTATTGCTTAATAGAGCATGTAAAGTGCGTGGTAGGACAACGCATATAGACGTCCACACCTTGTCACCTGCCTATGCCTAGAAGAACCCTTTAGGTTGGGAACAAGGATCCAGCAGATATCTGGATCGGGAAGCTTGGTCCTCACGGCTCCGATTCTGGCACCTGAGACTCCTGTACATATAGACCAAATGGGTATCCTCGGCAGTGCCTAGAGTATCAGTTGCAACACACAACCTAATGTCCTATCTCCAGGATAGAAAGGGAGCAGTCGGTTGAGCTATAGCCAAGGATTGTGATTCTCCTTTGCAGTATTTGCGTTTAGCCTTATGGTAAGCCTAGGAGATTCTGAGGATCTCACCGGGTCGATAGGGATTAACGAAGATGTGACTGGGAGGACGGATATAGCTGAACGCCACCCTTTTGAAGCTAGAGCTATGGCCGAACTTGAACGTGAGCACGGCCCACGGCTTCTAAAAATTTCACCACAAGGGACGACCTAGGTTTCCCAAGCCAGTAAAGTTAGCAAAATTCTCGTCGTTTTTACGCTAGATGGGATGTGATAGTCTGAGTCCGGCACCGGAAACAACCATGAAAGAAGATCTGTCTGGGGCAGACGTTGAGCATATATCAGAAACTATGAGCTACCGGTGAGTGGCTGGAGGATCAGGACGATCTGCGTGCAGGACAGGGACAGGATCTAAGCTCTAAGATATGCAGGCGACTTTGCTACTTGTTTTTCCTGTAACGAAAGGATGGCATGAAGAGATGCCGGGGCTAAAATTGATGACGAGAGCAGGAAAAGAAAAGATATAATTTAATACGCTATATCGATCCACGCATGATTTTAAAAAAAGGAATATCAAATCCTAACTGATATACTGGCAAAAGGCAGCGCTATCTGGAACTTGGAGTTGTCAATCCCTATTATCCTTTCGCCTCGATGTCAAATATGAGGCGGGTACCATCTCAGAATCCACTAGTTGGTTTTCTTTACTTCAACCTTCGACATTGGATCAGACAACCCTGTATCCAAGGGGATTAACCGACTTGCTATGCGCCAGTAGTACCTCCGACGAGCATATATTGCTATTCGTATGATGTAAGTACTATTTGAATTATACGATTATTCCCATAATAGCCAATAAGTACTTTCCATAGGCTGTAGCTCTAAAGTTAAGGGGGGAGTGTAATGCACGTATAAAATGCACTAGGGCGTTAAGGAACGGATACGCAGTGCGCCGAGAGAGCTATGCCACGGTTAACCCGATGAGAGGTAGATATCTTATACGCTAGATCTTTTGACAAGTAACTATGTGGATTGAGCGAAGCGCAGATCTGTAATAAGAGAAGCAACATGTTAT